GAAAGTATCACCGTCGGTGTTATTGAGACGAAAGGTATGTGGGATACATGTGTCCTTGCTTGGCTGTCAAACAAGGGTTTCTTGATATATAGGAAAAGAAAGAAAGATTGATAAGATTTCGCTGCGATATTCAATTCAGAATTTACTCAGATGTAGAGAATTGGAAAAATCACAATTCTAAGGAACAAGACATCGATTAACAGACGACGAATAAATCCCATTGGTATAATCTAAACACATGTAAAAAAAAAAAGTTGCGCTCAACAACCCAGAACACAGATAGACACCAGGTCCATACAAAACACCACGCTCCACCCAAACCCCCAAAATATGCATCGAAGCTTACATCCCAACCCAATCTATACACCCCTCCCCATCCCAACGATTTCAACTCCCAACCTACAACCCCCACGGCCCATCCACAACATTCAACGCACTCTCCACAGCCTCCTCCAGCGTCTCCACCCGCTGCCTAAGCACGCGATTCTCCTCTCTCTCCCTCGACAGCCTCCCCCAAACAGCAGCCTGCGACCCGCCCTCGCAATTATCGCAGCCCTGGGCGAAGTTAACCGCCGCATTACGGGGCTTATCGTACGTGCTTCCGCGCTTCAAGAAGTTTGATTTGCGATTCGTCGGGGTAGTGTCGAGGGGGTCCGAGTCGAGGATGGAGGAGGAGCGTTCTGTTCCGGCGGGGCTGAGGCAGTTGGGGGAGAAGAGGCTAGTAGCGTCTGTTTCGCACTCTGACTCGAAGCCCGAGTCGACGCTCATCTGGGAGTTGGAGACGCGGGTGTGTTTTCTGGGTGTGGTTTGGCAGGGGGCGTGTTCGCAGCCGCGGATGAGTGCCATGTTGCGCTTTCGGGCTGCTTCTTCGTCTTGGCGGGCGCGTCGCTCAAAGGTCAGGTCTTCCATTAGTTTGCGCATTTGTTCGTCTTGCTCTGTTGCGCGGGCGGCCATTGTTTCGAGCTGCATTTTTAGGTGGCGTGCTCTTGTTTCGGCTTCGTCGAGCTCGTCGTCTTGCGCGCTTTGCTCGGATTGCACGTCGACTAGTGTGGTGGAGAGTTGGCGGTACGAGGACTGGTAGCGGGCGAGGAGGGCCTCGGCGTTTGTGAGGAGGTCGTGGAAAGAGGATGGCGCTAGGGGGTCTGCAGGCCCGTGTGGGAACAGGGCTTGGGAGATGTTGAGGTTCAGGAGCTCGTCGTCTGGGTTGTGGTAGGTAGGCGACGCGACTGGAGGTGGCAGCACCGCGTTCTTTTGTGTGGATAGCAGCCACGCGAATCTGGTGCTGGGTGTAGACGGGTTCGGTGTTTTTGTCGGAGTCGCCGGGCCTTCGGGTCGTCTTGTTGGGCTCTGGCTCAGGCCTCGCGTCAACGATGATCCGCGGTTGAAGAGGTTCGCCATCATGTTACCCCGCTCTTCGTGCTCTTCCTCCTCCTCTTCTTCTTCGTCTGAAGAGTAGTATTCGGAGCCGACCTCGGAGCCTGACTCGGAACCTTCGCCTGTCTCGGAGTCTTCTCCGGACTGGGAAACACCTATCTTCACGGGCCCAGAGGAGCCGTTGAACCAGTTCTGCAGCGCGCGGATCTTGGGCTGGCTGGCGGCCGACTCTACTGCGGGCCTCGAAGGGATGAAGCTGGCCAGCGACTTTGTTGGCGAATGAAGAGATGTTCGTGATCTATGATGCTGTAGTGTGGATGTTGCGCGGGTAAGGTTGTCAAAGAAGGTGCCGGTCAATGTGCGCTGGTGGCTGCTGGGCGCAGATCGGGGGTAGTCCTGCAGAGGAGAAGGAGCGTCGCTGTGCGGGTCGTAGGCAGTCGCAGCAGTCGCAGTCAGTGCAGAAGGTGGAGGTCGGATGGACGAGGTGATGTCAACGTCGTCAAAGCTGTGAAACTCTACGGCGGGTGCAGGGACCGAATGCTGTCTCCCCCGCGGCGACCCACGGTTCGAATGCGAGGCCTGTGGCGGGTGCTGCAGATCTAGCTGGAGCTCGAGGGGACTCATGACGGCTGTTTGTTTTTCGTGGCAGATAGATTGGTAGCGAACGAGAATTGCCCGGCTGCCGGCTAATCTTTCCTCTGGCCTAGGACGAGATGAATTGCTTGTTGTAAAAGAACTCTCGTCAAATGCTGGGTGGGGCTACCGATCGAGGAATAAGTCAGGCGGTGAATGAGGGAGGAACAACGTTGTGCAATTGTTGCTGCAGGGACTTATGAAGGAACCAAAGTTAGGCTTGCTTCTGCATGGGCAAAAAAGGAGATTTGACAACGTCAACCGTTGTTATGAGGTGGTTGGCAGGGAGGCAGGAACCAAGTTTTCCGAGGCTGGCGGCCCAGCCCCGTCTTTATTCTCTTCACCGCAACACCACGCACACCATCCAACACGTCGCTTGCAACGCCCGCTTCTCCCGCGCGACGAATTACCAGTCGCGGGACACCTGGCTGTTCTAGACATGCGCGTTTCGTGTCGTTCACCGTTTCGTCCAGACCAGCGGCAGACTAGCGCGAGGTCGTGTTGTGCCAACGAACAGCCGCTGACGCTTGGCTAAATGAAGACCAATCTAACCATCGGACTGCACGCGGTCGACACGCCCCCTGTCATCTGCGCACCTCCGACTTACTCACCCCACTGCGATGGCCGCACCACACTAATTTGTCTGAGCAAATTTGATCAAATGCGCGTCCTCCGATGTTCCCCAACGCTCGGCTCCATCGTCCGGCAGCACGACCCAAGGCGCTTTTTCTCCAACGTAGATGTGTTTCTTGACTCGAGGCTGCTCGCCTCGCATGCTCTCTAGATTAACCGAGCTCATCGTCACGCTCAAGTGGTCAGCACTGAAGGAGTAACTCATAGTGATGGGAGTGCCGCAGCTGTTGCAGAACGTTCGCTCGGCTACATCTGAGAACTTGAGGGTTTTGAGAGTGGAAGATGAGGTGAACTTAAAAGCCGATCTGGATAGGCTGACAAAGGGGAGGTAGCTGGAGCCGGAGACGTGTTGGCAGGTGCGGCAATGGCACAAGACGATGTCTGATGGGCGGGCGTTGGAGGTGTATTGGACAGCACCGCAGCGGCAACCACCTGTGAAGACTGCTTCGTCTTTGATGGCTTCGGGGATGTATCTTGAGTCATCGGCAGCTGGTAAGATTGTTAGTAGGTGCATACAGTACCTGGCTGCAAACGAGACTCACGTTTCCGCGCAATACCCAAAAAGACTGCGTCTATCTCCTCCACCTTGCCATCAATCGCCAGCTTCTCCCATTCCTCCTTGTAAACGCCTTGTGCTTTCCTGCGGATATCATTGCTTGCAAACGTCCTCGCAACATCCTTGACAATCACGTTCTCCACAAAGAAATCATCCCACTGCTCCATGTCGTAGAACCGCTTGCCATACCCAGCTTGGCTGTCCACCGTAACGACTTTCTCCACTTCCAGACCAGCACTTTCAAGCATGTTCTTGAGCGTCGATTCCGACCTGCTCCACTCACGATTGTACGGGATAGGAAGATCCAGACGGCGAGCCACGCGTTCGAGCACCATGCCCGAGACTAGATTCCTGGGATGGGTCGCGTCCATCGCGATGACGCCTCCTGGCTTGAGATAGTTTGCCCAGTGCTCAATCGCAGCCTTTGGATCTGGGAATAGAACGAGAGCAGAAGCCACAGTGATTACATCAAATGTCTTCCCCTTCATTTCTTCCATCTCATCCAAATGCAAGATATCTGCCTTCACGAACGACATATTGGCGTATTTGTCGCCGCCTTGGTTCTTCTTGTAGCCGGCTACGGCAAGCATGCCGGGCGTGACGTCGACACCGAGAACATGGCCTGTGGGACCTACGGCTTCGGCTTCGAGGAAGGTCAATAGTCCCGTACCGCATGCTAGGTCTAGCACTTGCTGGCCGGGCTGGATGTCGAGGTAGGATGTGAAGCGTTGAGTGAAGTCCCTGTGCCATGTGTCGTCGTAGGTCCACGATTTTGGCTCGTAGAATTTTACGGCGCCTTCTGCCTGATTTGCGGTACTCATTTTGGTTGAATAGTAAGATCCGAGGTGATGGAGTCCGGAGTATAAAGACTGGCAAGCAAGAACCTAATATAATGGTTTGGTGGATGCTCTCGAAGTGATCATTCGCAGTTCACCACGTCTGTTGTCGCTTCGTGGATGTTGAACAGAGTATGAATATAAGACTGATTGTCGTATAACCACTATCTGATTATGTCGAGTGAACTGAACATACAAACGTGATCAATCGATTCGTTGAAGGTACAATGTAAAGCATATAAACATCAGCAGGGTGGGGGGTGTTGAAGTCATCTTATTTGGGAGTACGCGCTAGTGGCTGACTGATTATGTCCTCTTTCGTTTCTTCTTCTATGCTCCCTATCAGACGTGTCGTCGGTAAGAGCTTTGGCAGGACAGATGCCTTGTATCGATCGTTCTTCTCACTTCTAGGTAAGGCAAGTTTCGATTGAGCAAATATCAACCAAGTACGAGAGAAACAGTGACTTTGGGTAGACGTAGTGCCGCATTTTAGAGCCATTGAGTGGCCTGCTATTCATGAAACCGATTTTGATGTTCTTGACGCGTTACAATGCGGTGGAGGGGTCGTGGACGTCGCACTCCACTGGTTCGCATGTGGACTGCACTTTCCGCATTCGATCGTTCGCACTAAAGACGGCAAGCGCCTTGTTTGTCTACACTCCAGCGACTATTCACCGTGAACCTGAGCAACGCTGAACTCCCAAAACGAGTGATACTTCACCGTTAAAGTTGTGAACGCTGATTGGTGCTGTGATTGCCATATCACATCACCTGACATGCCAAGAAGAGCACTAGATTAGAACGAACGTCGAGCTGCGCGTAAGACTGCCAGGAGGACGTCTCGCCAACAACCCATCCCCAAATATCACCAAACCGCGCGCCGACATCGACCACGGTACCAACACGCTGTTCTCGACGCGTGCAGAAAGCTTTCCCACCCTCTGCGCGGCCCGCGCCCGCTGACTCGCCCCTGCGAAATTGCTTTCTCCTCAGCCTGCAACCGGCCTGCGACAACGCGAAAGGCGCTCCCCCGGCGGACTTCCATCGGCCCCGTCAACCAAGACATCCTCACCACCACCACGCCGCACGATAATGCCATAGCAGCCTGCTGCGCGCGCCTCCCACTTCCGCGACTGTCTTTCCCTTATAATTGCGCGTGTCCACCCCGTGCGGTGACCCCTTCACCCGTTAATACCAGCCGCTGTTTGCGCAGCACAACAAACAACCTCGACCACAACCACCATGACATCGATGCAGGCTAATCCGGAAATGGCAGGACAAGGGCAGCTGCCTGGGAGTCTTACCAGGGAGCGCGTCCAGCAGATCTACCAGGTATTTCCACTACAGACCACGCGTCGTTGTGCTCATGCAACGGCCCAACTGACCTCCACGTAGCAATACCAGCAGATGAAGGCGCAGGGTGTCCCCGAGACCAATCCTGATCTGATCAAACTGCGCAACACCCTCGCGATGGTCCAGAAGCAGAACCAGTACATTCAAAAACAGCGGATTCTTCAGCAACAGCAGCAACAGCAGCTGATGCAGCAGCACCAGCGACAGCAGAGCCTGCCAGACCAGCAAACCCCACAACAGAACGGCTCCGTAATGGGCATGTCCAACGGGTCTGTGACAAGCGATGGCAACATCGCGACGCCCGCGCTGGCTTCGAATGGCCCGCTAGCTGGCGCGCAAACTGCGACAACAGGGGGTCAGTCTCTCTCTGGTGACAGCCAAACGTCGACGTCGACTTCCAGCAGCGCCAAGGTCTTGAACGATAAGCAGATGCAGATTTTCCGCGCACAGATCGGGGCGTTCAAGCAGCTGTCCAAGGGACTCCCGCTGCCTGCTCCTATTCAACAACAGATCTACGGTCACCACCAGAAGAAGCCGCAGGATGCTGTTGAGGCGGTCGTTGTGGCTTCACAGGTTCTCGACAATGCTACACGCGCTGTGAGCACCTCGAGCGCAAATGCCGCTGCAGTGCAAGAAAACAGGAGTCTCCCTCGTCTCCCGGATACGTTCATCGAGCCATGGAGCAGCGAAGCCTTCCGCGACGTCAACTACATTTCTCACGCTCAGCGAAAGAATCGGCCATACCTTGCGACAATCATGCCACAGGGTGTGGACATGCATGGTGTGCAACAAGGCATGCAGGAGCTGCGCAAGGAACGGGAGATCATCCTGTACAACCGGCTCACAGCGAGGAAGGCTGAGCTCGAGAACCTCAATGCGAATGTTGGTTCCTGGGACACCAGTAAAACCGACACGCCTGAGGACGACGGCAAAGTCAAGCTGGCCTTGGTGATTGAACAGAAAAAACTCAACCTCTTGGAGAAGCAGCGGAAGTTGCGGAGAGAGATTGCGCAGCAGATGATCCATGCCGATAACCTCGCCATGACCGCCAACAGGACCATCTACCGACGTCTCAAGAAACAATCCATGCGTGAAGCTCGCCTTACAGAAAAGCTCGAGAAGCAGCAGCGCGATGCACGCGAGACAAAGGAAAAGAAGAAGTACCACGAGTTCATCGACGCTATCCGAAAGCACCGAACCGAATTGAACGAAGCTGGTATGGCGCAGCGACAGCGCCTGCAAAAGCTCGGCCGTACTATGATCACTACGCATCAGAACATCGAGAAGGAAGAGCAGAAGCGTGTGGAGCGTACTGCCAAGCAACGTCTGCAAGCTTTGAAGGCCAACGACGAGGAGACGTACCTCAAGCTTTTGGGTCAGGCCAAGGACACACGTATCACGCATTTGCTCAAGCAGACCAATGGTTTCTTGAAGCAGCTCGCCGACTCCGTCAAGGCACAACAGCGAAACCACTCCAACCGCTACGAGCTCAACAACGCAGAGGAAGAGCCCAGCGAAGATTCCGACGATGGTGGGTCAGAGGACGGGGACCGACCTGGCAAGAAGCGCACCGACTACTACGAGATTGCTCATCGCGTCAAGGAAGAAGTCACGCAGCAGGCTTCGAATTTGGTGGGTGGCACACTGAAGGAGTACCAGCTGAAGGGTCTGCAGTGGATGATATCCCTGTACAACAACAACCTCAATGGTATTCTTGCCGACGAGATGGGTCTTGGCAAGACTATCCAGACCATCAGTTTGATTACCTACCTCATCGAAAAGAAGCGTCAACCCGGTCCATTCTTGGTCATAGTTCCACTGAGTACACTCACCAACTGGAACAATGAGTTTGACAAGTGGGCGCCCAGCGTCACCAAAATCGTCTACAAGGGACCCCCCAACGCCCGTAAACAGTTCCAGCAACAGATCCGATGGGGTCAGTTCCAGGTTCTGCTAACCACATACGAGTTCATCATCAAGGACAGGCCCGTCTTGAGCAAAATCAAATGGGTTCACATGATCGTCGACGAGGGACATCGTATGAAGAACGCCAACTCCAAGCTCAGCAGCACAATCACACAATACTACTCGACACGGTTCCGTCTGATTCTCACCGGAACACCACTCCAGAACAATCTGACGGAGCTGTGGGCTATGCTGAACTTTGTCCTCCCAACTATCTTCAAGTCTGCTACATCGTTTGATGAATGGTTCAATACTCCATTCGCAAACACCGGAACCCAAGACAAGATGGAGCTTACCGAAGAAGAGCAGCTTCTTGTCATTCGTCGACTTCATAAGGTGCTTAGGCCCTTCCTCCTGCGCCGTCTGAAGAAGGATGTCGAGAAGGATCTTCCCGACAAGACAGAGCGTGTCATCAAGTGCAACTTCTCCACTCTACAGGCGAAACTGTACAAGCAGCTTGTCACACATAACAGGCTCATGGTCAGCGACGGCAAGGGTGGCAAGACGGGTATGCGAGGTTTGAGCAACATGCTGATGCAGTTGCGAAAACTCTGCAATCATCCCTTTGTCTTTGATGAAGTGGAAGATGTGATGAATCCGGGTAAAGGCACCAACGATCTCTTATGGCGCGCATCAGGCAAGTTTGAGCTGCTGGACAGGATCTTGCCCAAGTTTCAGGCCACCGGTCATCGTGTGCTCATGTTCTTCCAAATGACACAAATCATGAACATCATGGAGGATTATCTCCGTCTACGAGGCATGATGTACATGCGTCTGGACGGTGCAACCAAAGCGGATGATCGCTCAGATCTACTCACGAAGTTCAACGCCCCGAATTCGCCATACTTTTGCTTCTTGCTGTCTACCCGTGCTGGTGGTCTTGGTCTCAATCTGCAGACTGCTGATACAGTCATCATCTACGATTCGGATTGGAATCCCCATCAAGATTTGCAGGCCCAGGATCGTGCTCATCGTATTGGTCAGAAGAATGAAGTGCGCATTCTCCGTCTTATCACCTCCAACTCAGTGGAGGAGAAGATTCTCGAGCGTGCTAATTATAAGCTCGATATGGACGGCAAAGTCATTCAAGCTGGTAAATTCGATAACAAGTCGACTAACGAGGAGCGAGACGCTATGCTTCGAGTCATGTTGGAGTCGGCCGAAGCTGCAGAGAACCTTGAGCAGGAAGAGATGGACGACGATGATCTGAACATGATCATGATGCGAAACGATGACGAGTTCAAGCTCTTCCAAGAGATGGACCGAGATCGTCTTGCAAACGATCCGTATGGCCCTGGAAAGCAGCTGCAGCGCTTGATCGGCGAGAGCGAATTGCCTGACATCTACCTGAACGAGGACGTTCCTCTAGTCGAAGAGAAGGAGGATACGCCTGTCGGCCGTGGTGCCCGTGAGCGAACTCGCGTCAAGTATGACGACGGTCTCACCGAAGAGCAGTGGCTGGAGGCCGTAGACAACGACGAAGACACAATTGAAGCAGCCATCGCGCGCAAAGAAGCTAAGGTCGAGAAGCGCGGCCGCAACAAAGTCTCAAGACTAGGCCCCGACGACGGTCCCTCACCAGTGCCTTCGCGAGAGAGCTCAGAAGAGCCAGTCCCCAAGCGGCGCGGCCGCAAGCCCAAAGCCGAGAAGCGTAAAGCTGACGAAGCCTCCCTTGACGGCGACGTCGCGCCACGCAAGCGCGGCCGCCCGGGCCCCTCAAAAGACGTACTCAGCCCCGACCAGCGCGCCTCCCTCCAGAAGATCGTCAACACGGTCTACGAAGCGCTCAACGACCTCGAAGAAGAATCCCTCACCGACCCAGACCTGCCCAACCGCGGTATCATCGACCCCTTCATCGAACTCCCCGATAAATGGGACTACCCGAGCTACTACCAGCTCATCAAAAACCCCATCTGCATGAACCAGATCAAGAAGAAAATCAACAAGAAGGAGTACAACTCGCTCCGCCCGTTCCGCCAGGACATTGGCCTGCTGTGCAATAATTGCCGCACGTTCAATGAGGATACGAGCTTGTTGTTCCAGGACGCTAATCTTATCGAGAGCACGGCGGTGGATAAGCTGAGGGAGGCGACTATGGAGTTCCCTGAGTGGATGGACTTTGACGATGCGGCGAGTGCGAATGGCGGGTTCAGCACCGCGGCTACGAGCGCGGTCGGCACGCCTAGGGGCGGCATGTGAGGTGGTGAGTTCGTCCTATTTGCGCATTATCACAGTGTTGGTTCGGTTGACTGACTTGGACAAAGGCGTCAATAACGATGGGCATACATACCTTTCCCCCCATACTGCAGTATATACTATATTTTTTATTCGCCAGGCTGGCTGTATCATCGATTGAAGTAAAGTAAAGCTAAGATTGGAGTGGCAATGTTTGCGCGGGATGACTTTGTCTTACCCCCCTTCTTTCTTTCTTTCTTTCTTTCTTTCCTTACTGCCGACACTTTTGTTGGCGCGCCTCCTTTTTTTACTTTCCCACGCGTATAGGCGCTTTTGGGGATTTCTTTGCTCACGTCAGGTGGGGCACGATTGATGCGAATCCGACGTTTTACAGGTTTGGAGTGGCTGGGGCTTTTTTTTTGAGGTCGAGAGATGGATGGATGGGTGGGTAGTTGCTGTCATACCATGCCATGCCATGCCAGTGAAGTGAGAGAATAGCTAGTGTTTTTTGCATGCATAGCCAGGCTAGTAAAGTAAAGTAAACCATACCAAACCAAACCACCCATCGAATCCCAACGTCCACACAGACACACAGACAGCAGCAAATCCACCCACCCCCATCTCCTCGCCTCGCAAACCAAGTCCTACATCTCCTTGTTATACCTGCGCCTCATTCCAGCGCACGCAGTCCTCGAACGTGACGCCCGAGCCCCCAAAAATATCCAACGCACTCCCGATGGTCAAGTCCACCTTGCCACTGCTCAGCTCCTTGACGAGCTCGAGATCGGCAATCGACCGGCCGCCGCCCGCGTATGTGACGGGGATGCGGCACCATTGGGCGAGTTTGGCGACGAGCTCATGGTCGATGCCGCGCTGTAGGCCTTCGACGTCGGCGGCGTGGATGAGGAATTCTGCGCAGTGGGGTTCGAGGAGGGATATGGAATCTGGTTGGGGGGTGTGTGAGTTGGGGTGTTTATACGCGTATTTATGTGTGTGTGAAAGGGAGGTTAATACCTTGATTGAGTTCAAAGTCCGTGATTGTCTGCCACTTGTTTGTCGCGACGAACCATTTCTCGTCTTTGCGGCGGCATGAGAGGTCGATTACGAGGCGTGATTTATCGTTGTCGAGGGCGGCGAGGACGGCGCGTAGACGCTCGAGGGAGAACGCTGAGGAGGGGAAGAGGTACGATGTTATGATTACCTACTGCGTGTCCGATTAGCCTTGTTCTCCACGGTATCGTAGTGCGAGAGCCTCACCTTCTCCGCGCCCCGCTCAATCCACTCGCGCGCATTCGTCTCGTTGATGCCGCCGCCGACTTGCATGCCGTTCTTCCAGGCTTCGAGGGCGGATTGCGCTGCTTCGTCGTTGCCGGGGCCGAGCATTATGACGTGTGCGCCGGCTAGGTTGTGCTTTTTGTACAGGGCGGCGTAGTAGGCGGAGGGGTGCTCGGAGGTGAAGTTTGTCTTGAGGATGTCGGGCGTTGTCGTGTTGAGGGTGCCGCCAACGATCTGCTTGACGCTGCCGGCGTGCAGGTCTATGCATGGGCGGAAGCGCGTCATCCTGGGTATCTGACTGGTGAGGAACGAAGAATTGTGGTGGTATGCGGGGGAGGAGACGGAGGTCCGAGATGCTTGGCGGAGGTTTACTTTTAGCGCGGGAATTTTATATGCGACTGAATCCATGCACTTGCTTACGTCTTCCCTTCCCAACGACACATGATAATGGCGCCCGCCCTGGGAAAACGAAAGCGCGTATCGCGCGCAGAGCTTGAGCGACCGTCTCGGTCGTCGTCGCCTGCTTCAGACGACAATGACTCCGGTGCAGAGGACCTACAGGCCATATTCCGGCGGGCGTTCGAGGCCAAGTTCAAGCCTCTGGCCGTGGAGCCCAAGAAGCAGAAGGTGGAAGAGCCAGTAGTACAAGAAGACGACGACGACGACGAGGAAGAGTCAGACTGGTCTGGCATCAGCGAGGACGAAGCAGACAAAGTGGAGATCGTCGAGTACACAGGCTCACGGCGCGAACGAGACGAGACGTCCAGAGCCGAACTAAAAGCCTTCATGTCGTCCAAACCGCCCACATCAGCAATAGCAGCACCCTCCACAACCAATACCACGGGCAAGAAGAAAGAAGACGACGACGTCAACGAAACAACAAATCTTAAACACGACATGGCCCTCCAGAAACTCCTCCGCGAATCGCATCTCCTCTCCGCCTCGTCGTCAGGAACATCAACCCCCGCGCTGAGCACCACGGGCATCGCGCGCCACAAGTCTGCCGACCTACATTTGCAGTCCCTGGGCGCCAAGTCGTCCGTCTTCGCGCAGAAAAAGATGCCCATGTCGCAGCGCAAGCACATGATCCAGAAAGCGCGGACAACCGAGGAGAAGCGGAGAGCAGAGGCCAAGGAGGCAGGCATTGTGCTGGAAGTGGAGAAGAAGTTTGGGAGAAAGGACGTGGATCGGAAGAGGGAGAGGGGTGTTGGTGGCCCGAGTATTGGCAAGTTCAGGGGCGGGACGCTGAGTTTGAGTAAGAAGGATGTGAGGAGTCTTACTGGTGGGGGTGGAGCGAAGGGGAAGGGGAAAGGCAAAGGGAAGGGAATGAAGGGTAAGCGGTGAGATGTAGGCACTCATTTGCTAAATGACCGACGTTCCCTCCGTGGCTAATATCCCACGCGAGCCTGCGTTTTCAAAGAGAGTGAACGCACAGAACTTGCTTGGTTTCCATGTCTATAAAAATAGCAATAATACTCAGCGGAGAGCAACCATATCCAGGATCAACCAGCCACAGACTTCCACGTCACGAGCACAATAGAGGGGGAGCAGATGAGCATCTGGCAGAAAGGGAGAATGCTAAAGTTCAAACTGAAAGACTACGGAACTAAGCAAGGACATCTTAAGTCGATATAAGTTGCAAATACTTCAAGATGGAATATATATGAGGTTGCCTCTCGGTTGATCGAAATACCAGGAACCAAGGTGCAGCGAAATCATGCAATAGCTTGACAATTACAACTGTATTTAGTGTAGAAATCGTATACTTAAGTTTTCAACTGTATACGTCTCGCGTACACATCCTGTAATTTTACTTGTGTAGTTTTGCAGCTTGTAGGAGCCACAAAGAACAAAACGGAGCTTACTTCCCCTCTACACTTGACCGAGAAGTTGCTTCGCGCTTTCCGTCACTCACATCAAGCCGTCCATCTACCACCATGGAATAGGAATCAGTCGAGCCATAAAAAGGCCAAGTAGAAATTGAGATTTAGTGTCAATGCATTCACCGCCTTCAACTATCCTTTCACCAGCTTTTGCCAACCTCTCATCAACATGTATACTTGTCTATCTATTCCGACTCGTCGTCTGTGTCTTGCCCGAATACAAGCGGCACGACATCCTCATCGTCGTCGCTATCTCCTGCTTCGCCTGGCTCAGGCAGCTCGGGGATGACTGACGCAGTAGTCGTGGCGGTGAAGTCTGAGGTCGCTGGTACAACTGGAGGTTTAGTAGGCGTGGTGGCAGGTAGTATGGGATACGATGTGCGCTGGGCTTCCTCTCTTTGTCTTACGCGCTCGCTTGTCCTCACGCGTTTGGCGGGGGAAAGAGGTGCGTCAGCGGCGTGCGGGCGCTTTCCTATATCCTGAGGGGTTGCAGGCTCCGGTATATCAGATGTTGCTTTTGTTTGTGAGATGACCTCCTCGTCTGCTGGTGCTTCGGACATGGTATGGTCCGTTGCTGCTGTTGATGGCTGTCCTGCGGATTCGAGGAGAGTGTCTAACTCTTGGCCTACGAAGTGTTCGTCTACTTTGTCTGGGACTTCTTGCTCCTCTTCAAGCTCTTTTTCTTCGGCTTCTTCCTCCTCCTCCTCCTCCTCCTCCTCATCCTCCCCATCCTCCTCCTCCGCTTCGTCTTCCATCTCGTCATCCAGATCCGTGTCCTGGTGACCAACACGAATGACGGGCACCCTCGGTCTCAGCATACCCTCCACGTCTTGATCCTGCGGAAACGACCGTGCCATGAGCGGTAGAATACTCGCAGCCGGCTTGCCAAACTTTTTGCTGGGGGGTGGATTCAGGACACTCGCGACCATGGCGTCCTTGTGCTGGGTGAGGATAGCGGTGCGGTCCAGACGAGCCCGTAAAGAATCGGAAAGGTACTGTGCGCGGATGTTGGCGAGAAGGAGGGGCAGAAGGTTATATGCGGCCTCCTTCAGGCCCGTGAAATTGGCGAAGGGGTCTTTGATACCCCTTGATGCACCGAGAAAAGAGTCTGCATTCGCTATGGCCTGTGGTTGACTGTGACCGTTTGCTTTAGCTTCTCCTGGGGTCTGCTTTGCGGGTCCAGCAATGACTTCTGAAGGAAGGAGATCCTCACAGCAGGCGCGTATGAGAGGGGCAAGCGAGTCGGTGGACGACTTTGGGAGGGTTACGCCCGATCTTTTGAGCAGGACTGATGCAGCTGAATAACAAGCTGTCCGAATTTGTGCCGATTCTTTCTCTGAGCCAAACACCCAGACGAGTTGGTCAAGGATAAGCGCATCCAACGCCAATGTGCTGGACTGAGACCTGCTTGTTAGGGCAAGCAGCACCTCGAAGGTGGCCACGTGGATTGACGGTAAAACTAGCCACAAATTTTCTCTTTCCTCTTTGCTAGTCTGATTGTTGAACCGCACGGCATTCTGGAAAGCCTTGCCTCCAGAAGCAGGTACAGTGAGAGACAGCATCCTGGTAACAAGATCCATAATCACTCCAACGTTGAAGTACACAGGATTAGCCGTCGAATTGTCGAGGTATTCCTTCACGAGCCACAGGAGATTCGTCAATCTTTCGCTGCCCGCAAAGATGCCCGACCAAGGTGGCAATGCCATGCTGTCAACTTCGAGATCCTGGACTTCATCGTTCAGCGTGTGTCCATTTACCGAAGGCGCTTCACGTGTGGTTGGCTGCCAGTCCTCCAACACAGCGCGGAAGACCTTGTCAGCGACCCGGTGTGCGTTGTTGACAGTGGTTTTCAGCGACTTTGCCCAGTCCTCACTAGAAGCTCCTTTTGGTGCACAATTTGGCAGCTGGACAAACAACCTCCGTGCCGCAGTCGTAATCTCGGATGTGATTTCAAATTTCTGATCTTGGTCTTGTTCCTTGGATAGCTTGCTGGAGGGTGTGGGAGCGATGAGACGAGCGAGGAATGGGTGAAGTTGCTTGAGGTAGGAGCGGAAAATGGTAGGATGGCGTGGGAGCAGTTCGTTGAAGCTTTCAAGAATGACGAGTAGCAAACCAGCCGGTGCATTCAGGCTGGCAATCTTCAAGCTGGTTTGAACAAATGTCGGTAATGACGGCGTCGTGATCTCGCGAATTATGGTTGGATATTCTCTTGTAAGAAGAAATATGCGCGTCAAGGTGATGAGACAGAGTTTCTTGGACGATGGCGGATCCGGCTTAACCAAGATACCCAAAAGCCCGCGTACCCAGGGGAGACATTTTTGCAGAGTTTCCCACCCTCCAACCTCGACAGTTGCTTTGATGAGCACAATGGCGGACCATCTTCCCTGAACAGTCCTGTCCTGGAGAAGAGTAGAAAGCAGGGTCCGGTACTTGTGGACTGCCACTGATGCCTCAGAAGAAGAGGCCTTGGAACCAGAAGTTTGGGCTGAGGAGAGGAGCGTCCTGCAGTTGGCCAAGGATGCAGCAATCGCAGGCACGTGTTGCGGAAGCTGTGCGGTTGCTGTGGAGGATATACGAAATGTGAGCGCTCGAAGCGTCGCCAGCTCAGTTGCAGCGGGTGCCATAATGTTTCTGTCTTTTTGTCTTGCAGTTCCCAATAATAAACCCTACACTACCAAGGCGTTGATGCTGATGAATCGGTGACAAAAAAAGTTTACATATCGGGGCTTTGTCGGGCCGCGGCACGCTAAAGAAAGAGGCAGGGATGTATCGTCTAACCTAGTGCATGAGCGGGACAGGCGTTGCGTATGTTCAGTGACAGTTGTACGGCCGTGTCAAGCGGCTCTGCATGTTGTATTTCTTTTGAACATGATTCTGGACATCCCGCGACTTGTTCCAGCGCGACAGATTTATCTCTAATACAATGGTTGTACGTGTTTCTTCCGCTGCACATTCTTGACATGCCCAGGACCCCGAATCAACGTCATCCTATACATTGGTAGCTTACAGCTGCGCAGCACGCCCCGGAGAGCGAAAAGGCCCTGCGCTACATACAACAGTTGGACGAGGCACGATGTACCGGACGCTGGAAGGACGTGCCAGAGCTATGCAGGAAGGTCGAGAAGCATGCTCCACACCGCCGATGTCAGCAACCTCTCGAAGCTTCAGTTTGGCCTATCGTGGCTAACAGCGCGTCCAGGCCTGACACTCACCGCACGATCCGAGGCCCAAATCGCCGAATATAGTACTCAACGGCCCTCCACTGGCGCCTCCACCGCCTCTTCTGGCCTGTCGCAAGTCATCCCGTCTCTGCTCACCGCAGTCGAGGAGGAAGGAGATCACAATCAGGATGCTTTCCAGGCCACCGTCTGCCTTGGATGGCTGCACTATGTGCTCGACGAGCCTGGGTTGGCTGTGGCGCGTCTCCCCGGTGATTTCAGGGCCGTCGCGACCACCATGTCGGGAGAAGGAGCGGCATTGAGTGGCTGGTCGAGGGTCTGTCTTGCCAAAGGCGCCTTCCTGAAAGGTTCCGCGCAAGAAAAGTCGGGTGCAGTTGGGGATGCAGTCGCGACGTACTCCTCAATCGTCCCCTGGCTGTCGTCCCTCCCCTCTACCAATGCCGAGTCACCTCAGTTCAAGATGTGGACCGAGCACCTCCTCGTGCGGCTGTGTCAGCTATCTGACCAGTCCAGTGGGAGAGACGAACACGTCGAATCGTCAGAAGCTCTGCAAACATACCGCTACTGGGCACGACTGTGGGAAAGCTCATCAAAGAGTGGAGGGCATGACTCGGGAGACACAGCTCTATCCCGTCGCCTGGCATGGAAAGCATACTACGATACACTGTCCACCATCCTGCGACACGACTTGACTTATAGTCCTGAGTCGGCGCCTGCCACCCAGGAGAAGTCACCTCTGCAAAGCCTGTCCACGACGCGACTACGGCAGCGCGCAGAGCTGAAGCGTGTTGAGACGATCTACGAAAGTCTTTTGATACGAGAAACGCAATTTCCCAGAGCAAGTGAAAGCAACCGCGAAATTGAAGCATGGACAGACTCCGTCATGTACAACTGGCGCCTTCTCTGTGGGCCAACTTGGAGTGATGGCGACCTCGGTGAGGGTGGGAAAGAAGGGGTTGGACGAAGTGTGCTTGACGTAAGTCTTACGATACTTTACACGAGTAGTGGTGGTGGCAGACTGACGCAAAGTCCTAGATATTGTATCGAGCAGCTACCAAGACGTTTCACTCCACACAAATCCTGCGACATTTGTTCGTCGTGCATGCGTCACTGGCCGAATTCGATCTGGCATTCAAGGCTTTCGACTCCTACGTCGAGATCATCACACGCGGGAAAGATCGGGCTGAGGAAGCAGGCCAAGATGATGTTGAGATCGATAATGACAGCACCATTCTTCGAACTTCGGCAGAGGCGATACGAATTCTTTGCCGATTTGGATCACGAAAGGAAGCCCAGAAGGCGCTGGATGTTGGCCATCAACTCGAGAAGTGGTTGGAGCAATGTGAGCACGTTCAATCATCGTCGGACACTGCATTTGTGGCATCCACGGCAACGCTGGCGGAGCCCGCTGCCATTGCTGCCGCATATTGCTCCTTGGGCATCAGTCAGGCCCATTGGGCACGCTTCACATACGAAGTCGACCAGCGAGCGGCTATCCAGGCTAAAGCAGTCCAATACCTGCGTAAGTCACTCGCCCCGAGTCTCGGTGATGCCAACAACATCGATGCTCTGTACGCTCTGGCTTTAGTGCTGGCCGAGACGCGAGAAATCCCGGGGGCGATAAAAGTCGCCAAACGTGCCCTTTCCGCCGCTACCAAACACAACACGTCGATCAGTGCCGATGGAGTATTATCTGGCGGGTTGATAACCGAATTTGGTCGAGAGCGCAAGCTGATCCCTATTTGGCATGTACTTGCCCTGCTCTTAACTTCGCGGTCTGACTTCACTGCTGCCGAGAAGGCATGCGAAGCAGCTTTCGAGCAGTTCGGAGACCCCACTGTTCTCTTTGGTTCAGACGACGCGGATGCCTATCGTAGCGAGCATCTTAATGCGGCAAATGGAAACGACACATCAAGCCATGGCGTAGTAGATTACATGGAAGGTTCCGAAAAGAGGGAGATCTTACAAATCAAGATGACACAACTCGCCCTTGTCGAAGTCACCGACAGCGCCATCGCTGCCGTAGACGGTTGCGATGAGCTCCTCGCTCTGTATGCCAGACTGTTCGGGGATCCAGCTCGAGACGAGACTAAAATTGTGCCATCTATCACCACGTTGGCACCGCCCAAGAGTGCTGTTGGAACTGGTCGAGGGAGCATTTTCCGAGGACGGGGTTCGGTCAGAGCTTCACCCCAAGAGTCGGTTGTTCGAAATCCATCAGTTCTTAGCTCTAGGACACCTGCGATGGCCACTCAACAAGCTTCCGCTCCTGCGATTCAAGTCACTGAAGGGGATGCAAGTAAATCTGGTCACCATCGACACCACCTGTTTCATCATCACAAGCCTGACGAAGGAAACGCTAACATCGGGCGAAGTTCAAGCAAGGCGCGAAACCCGGGCGGTTCTGGAAGGCCCTCAGTGCCGGACAATGATCAAGCACCCGAAGTACCTCCTCTACCAGAGGGCGTATCTAACGGCACCCCAGCACGGGGCAACAACGTGCATTCAAACTCCCCTCGACGCCTCTCTTTGTCAAGCTCCCCAAGAAAGTCAATAGAAAGCAATGATCGGCCACTTCGTGCCATACCACATAATCTTTCGCATACATCCCCACCACAAATACAGGCTAGCCACTCTCATAAACAAGACGTGCGTCTGCCTGCGCCTTTTCCAAGCACAAATTATGTCCCTCCAGGTCCCCGATTCTCCAAAATCGAGGAACGTAGACAGAAAGTTTCTCTACTAGTAGGCATATGGATTTTCATCTCTGGGCTATACTCGCGAGCACAAATGTTCAACGATGCCAACGAAGCAGTTGCCGAAGCGCTAAAGCTGATCGAGAAGTTTGAGGCGGAGCTGGCAGTCGAACACTCGACTGCTAGGGCGCTTGCAGAGAAGGGCTGGGGCGGCGGGAAGAGTGTGGAAGAGCTATGGGCTGACGCCTTCGCTGCAGTAAGAAAATTTCATTGATTGTGCGATATCCTGTACTGACTAGTGATAGCGCGGAGAGTCTCTCGTGGCCCAATCTCGTCAACACCAGGCTCGCTCGGACTTTGAGCGCGCACTCTTGCACTTCCCAGACCACCCCGAAGGTATTGTCGGGCTGTCGAATATTTTACTCGACATCTACGCCGAAGTGATACCCATGGAGCCGGATCAAGGGACGAACGCTGCTAATTACTCATCTTTGCCTTCCGTTCCATTGGCCCAGCAAACTCCTTCCAATCTGAAATCTTCTCGCCTAACGAGTTATATCCCGTCGGTACAGAACCAGCTTTCGCCACCAAAGCTCAATCGTCTCGCAGCACGCGACCGCGCTTTTGGGCTCCTTTCGACATTGACAAAGCTTGGTACTGGCTGGGATTACTCGGAGGCGTGGTTTGCGTTAGCTCGGGCGTACGAGGAGAGTGGCATGATTGACAAAACAAAGGAGGTGTTGTGGTGGTGTGTCGAATTGGAGGACACGCATCCGGTGAGGGGTTGGAAGAACGTCACTTTGGGAGGGTTTGTGCTGTAGATGCGGCTTTGCGTACTGAAATGGTGACGATGGTGGGTGGCGAAGAGTAGTGGACTTGTAGCTCTGATACCCACTGCAGCGTTCCGGGTGAGGTAGTTTGCATATGTAATGTTTGGTCATGAGAAGTTGGAGTTGACCAAGTTTCTTAAACCATGGGCTGGTGAGTGATGTTCTTCGTCTGTTCATACCTTTTCTTCCTGTTCTCCTACTTGCATTTTTTCACTGCTATTTCTATTTCGCTTTGCGCTAGGACGACTCGTCGTCTCGATGATACCAGGCGTCTGTTAGCTCGGTTTTTCTTTCACCCCATTCACCTTCTTGGTTAGTCGGAATACCCGGAACTAAGTAGGCTGCAGCGAGGTCTTGCAACAGCTTGACGCCTACATGTATAAACTTTGTGAAATTTCTACGCCTTACGTGTTGTTTGTATACGTCTACCAGCATGTTTGTCTTTGTAGTACTTTTAATCTTGGGGTTTAGGGTTGTTGTGTGTGCTGCAAAGAACGAACCTTGATTCCGGATATTCCGCCTAATCGAGAGTCACCTTTCACCACGGTACACGTTTGACACAGCGACGCCGCCTTCTGAATGTCATGTTCACCATTTCACGGTCCGTTGCCCCGTATCATCGGGTGAACTCGCTTAATCGTCGTCGCCTTCACCGTGAGCTTCGTTAGCTTTTCATGATGACCGATTGACACGACACAATCACGTCAACCGCAACTCCTGGTGTCTACCACAGAGCCGAGATAAACACCATGGAACACCAGATCGAGCGGAAGATATTGGAGGAGAATATGGAAGAAGGCGATCGCGTTACGGGGTGGCTTGAGGAGTTGGAGATTGGCGATCTCAGCGACGAAGCCAAAGAGTCCACTCATGCAGTTGAGGAGCAAGAGCAACCAAGGACGCCACCGCGCCGGCTCAAAATCACTCCGGATATATATGAGAGTGTTTCACCAACAAACACCTCTTTCTATAACAGCAGCGTATTCGATTCTCGCAAAGACCTTCGATCCCCACGTTTCTGTATCCGAGACGACGCTTCAGACGCGACGAGCGTTGACGACGACGACAACGACTGGACAAATAGCAAGACTAACCAAAAGCGCTTCGTCACGCCCAAAACAGTTTACAACACGCCCAGCATCGACTCTTACAAGCCGCCTTCTGACATCGATGAAGCGCTTCAAGACGAACTCCCTAACACCAACCCCCCCATTCACTTGCCCCCAAGCCCTGGCGAATCACGACTCGTGTGCATAACCTCCTGCCTGCAATGCACGCTCGCCGATCTACCTTGCTCCCTCACTGTACCCAGCTGCTCGCGGTGCGAGAGGAATGGGATGGGGGATGTGTGTCTTCTGCATCGACGGCGGTTCATCGAGGAGGATACCCAGGATGCCGCATTAGCGTGGAGTGTGCCTGTTCTGCTCAAACTGGTGGGCGAGGATGAGGGGAGATGGCGGAAGAAAGTCGACCTGGCTTATCAGGTATGTTTCTCTCTACTTTTTTTTTATAAACGAAGGGGAAGGAAAGTACATGGTGGCGAATGAATGAACGCTGATATGAAACAGTTACACGCCCAGTGGCAGGATGAGCAGGATAGGAGGAATTGGGTGCTTCCGCGGTGGGGTGAGCGGAAGATGGAGGAATCGTACATCGTGAAAGTGCATCCTGGGGAGGGGAAAGGGCGGTTGACGTATCGCGAGTTGAAGATTGAGATGTGATTGTGTGAGCGGGTATGTGGAGTTGACGTATACCGTGGGTAGTGCGATGATTCTTTGCTTGGTTTTGTTTCGATGTATTCGACACTAGGGCATTGTCACGATACATATTTCGTTTGGGAAGTACGGCTTGGATATACCTTACGCCTCTTCGTTGCCGTCTTACTCCCTTCAATAGTGTCTCAGAATTTCAGTCTTGCCCCTTTCACCATGACATCAATAAGCTCTTTCTCCGTCTACAACTCATTCACCCCAGGGTTTGGATTTATTTTTGACACTTCAAGACAAAATAATTTGATGAGTGTGACATCCGGAGTTAGTGTAATGGCAATAGGTCAGTGTCAATAGTCCAAATCAATCCGCGGCAGCGGTATCTGGAGCATTTTCATCGCTTCCACCCTCCCCTCCTCCTCTTCTGGATCATCCACCACCCTTGTATAATCATCGTTCTCTCCTCCATTAGTATCAATGTAATCCTGGTACGCCCCACTCGTCTCCTCATCAATCCACTCTCCCGTCTTCCCATCCACAATCCGAACGTTCTCCATCGGACACGCTCCCCAATACGTCTCTTTGATGAAATCCGTCCACTGCGGCGACAGCCCATTGCCCACCAAAAGATCGAAACTTCTCAGCTTGGGGAAATCGTGGATATTGTGAATGTGGTTGTCGTAGAAAGACTCCGTCTCATCCAATCCCTGTTCGTTCACCAACTCAATCCTCAGATGGCTAACCTCATCTCTTTCTGGGAAACTTTCTTCCGATAGTAGGCCGCTTCTCATCTGGACGACGTCGCAATCAAAGTTCGCCCAAATGTAGCGGGGGGATGAGTCAATGATAAAAGCCTTTCGGTAGCTGCAATGTTCGCGGGATTCTCGACATGCTCTGGTTACAGCTGGTACCGGAGTGGGAGACCAATAACCTTGGTTGCGATGCCATGTCTTTCTGACTTTGAGAACTCGATCCTCCGTCGCGACTCCCCAGATCTTGGTGCGGAGTTCGAGGGGCAAGCGGGGGAAGGGATGGAAAGTCGCCATTGAGTTTTGCAGCGTTTAGTTTTGTTTGTGTGTTTGGGTATGCAAAATAGACGGATATAGCAGGTCTCATTATGGCTGACTTACATAAGTGCTGTCCAAGGACTGCGTTGTTCGATCAAATTTAGGAAGTTGATTTGCGGAGTCAAGTAATGTGAGAGAGCAAAAGGTGGCAGGGTACACTTGGTTCAGGGGAGGGTCCGATTGCATTTGAATACCTGCAGGACCATATGACCTCATTACGCCAAGCTCGTCCGAATTTGTCCATGGTTTCCATGGTTAGTTGTATCATAGTTCTACCCATTGATGTTAATTCTTGTTATCCCGCAGCAGCCTGACAACCACATTTAAGATTAGTATACGAGTCTTATGCTGAGATTCCTAGCAGTATACGCCTGACATGCGCTTTTGTAAATTCTATCTGTTTAGTTTTGTAGTTTGTAGGAGCCACAAAGAACGCGGCTTACTTCCCGCTCTCGCAGTTGGCCGAGGGCTGGGCTCTTCTCTTCCTCCCTCCCCCTATCCTACCCCAGAGCGAAAAGCCCTATCCGCCTGTCTAACTAACAAATTCCCCGATCCAAAGCTTCAGAGGCATGCAGCGAGGGACGTAGCGCCGAATACGACAAGATAAGACAAGAGAGACAGACACTACTCACTTGCTAGAATAGATAGCACTTGTGGGGTTGGAAATCAAGAGCTGAGAAAACCAAAGTGGGAAGCATAACTGAAAGTGAGAAATATATGCATGACACGGATCGATGGGCCGGTATGGGACAAGGCGCAAGCAAACATAACAGAACGCCACACTATAAGCCAAGAAAGGGGATGCAGAGGGAACATGTATATCGACCAGGTATCTATTCATCAGGTAAACACAAAACACTTCCCAACCCTCCTTGGGCTCAACACAACTACAGCAAGGCGAATACCAACAATTCTTTTCCACACAAAAACCTTCAGAAAATAATCCAGATATTCGCCTCAGGCGCCTTGGTCGCCATTACACTTGGAGTATCATACATGTGAACGCATCGCGTTGCATTGCGTTGCATCTACTTCCAACCCATCTATTCCAACCACGACACGTGAATACCACCCACCAAACGCCGGTTTATCACCGATCCGTCCCATATCATGCCACAACAGGCACAACGAAAACCCCCCCAAACGCCACAAATGCCATATACCCATACACCCCTTCCATCCCTACTCAAACATTGCTTGGCCCCGGCGCACCTCTCCCAGGATCAAGTAGTAAATGTGGCTTGAGGAACCCGTCGTCAATCTGCTTGAACGCATTCGCAGGATCGTGGCTGATATCGGAGAAGAGCTGCGAGACGGCGGCGGTAGCAGTGGCTACTCGCCCAGGACCCTCCGGCGCTCTGTGGCCTGATGTGGGGTATAGGGATGGGTCTTCTGGGTCTAGTGATGCGGGGGTGTGGCTTGGCGAGCGGCGTGCGCTGGGCGGGAGGTCAAGATCGGCGTCGTCTTCGTCGGCGGAGAAGCTGTCGCCGGGGCTGAGGAGGCCTTGGTCTGCGCCATCGGGGTAGGGTGAACGACTTGAGTTGCGGCGCTTGGGTTGGCCGTTGGGGCGGATTGGGGGGCTGTTGCGGGCCGTTGAGCCGCTTGAGTATGTGCCGTTTTGGCCGTTGACGTTGTTGAGGGTGAAGCCGTTTTGGCTGGCTTGCGGTGTGTGGCCAAAACCTTGGCCCTTGTTGCGCGTGTACGTACCGCCGTTGACTACTTCGATGTCGAATTCGTCGTCAGAGTCAATCTCCTCGACTACGCCGGTGCGGATGCCTAGGATTTCTAGCATGCGCGCTGTGGTGCCACCGAATATGATGACAGTCAACACGACCACGACAAGAACTGTTGCTCGCAGCGTGTCGCCGTTGTTTCCCGTCAGGCCTGCTGCAAGCGCAACGCCTACAGCACCTCGCAAGCCCGCCCAGTAGATCATGGCTTGGTGTGCATAGGGGATTTCGTCGACAGGTTCTTGTCCGCGGCGTCGCATGCGGTATCTCGTGACGGAGTTGATGAGTTTGGAGAGGGGAAACACTGCGACCCAGCGAGCTGCGCATATCCCGACCACGGTAATCATGATAAATAGCGGCTTGTATGTTAGCTTGTCGTCCGTGAACAGCGACAACCCCAAGTAGATGAAAATGAAATTCTCCGACAGCTGGGCGGTAGTTTGGAACACGAATTTTGTCGACAGTTGAGTGCGTCGGGACATGTTGTGGTAGGCGTAATGCTTCATACAGATGCCGCAGAACAGAAGTGAGACGATGCCTGAGATGGTTAGCGTTAATCAAACAAAACGGATGATGTTCTTACCAGACATGTGAATGGCGTTGGAAAAGAAATATGTAAAGTAGGCGATGAGGATGATTAGACAACTCTCTGTTCGCGGGAAGCGTCTGACGTAAGTGAATTTGAGCATCAGAGACGCGACAATGCCCAGGATGACTCCAATAAACAGACTTCCGAAGAAGACGCCAAAGAAGATGCCGATGGCTTCGAAAAGACTGACGATGCCTAGTGATTCAGCACCATCCTTGTACTTTTGCGCCGTCTCAAACAAAACAATGGCGACGGCATCGTTCAAGATGGACTCGCCAAAGATGATGGTGTACAACTTCGGGTCCACTTTGTACGTATCGAAAATGGCCAGGATAGTGACGGGGTCAGTGGCTGAGAGGGTGGCGCCAACCGACATGGCCTCGACAAAGTTGATCTTGAAGCCATCGAGGGGGATCCTGGTCCACACGAACAAGATGCATCCCAGAGTGACAGCCGAGATGAATGTCCCGGCGAAAGCAAAGGTAAGAATAGTTCCAATGTGTCTAAAGAAGTTGCCCTACTCTTGTTAATATATACAGCTTGGACGGAGAGAAAGGTCTCACTTGATGCAGTTCGTAGCCTGCCGAAAGAATAATGGGTGGCAGCAGCAAGTTGAAGAACATCTGGTAGTCGAAGCTGACTGCATCTCGAACCGATGCTACAGCTGTCAGTCGAAGGACGAGGCCTACGACCATGCCTGAAGGGTGTTAGCGAGCATCCATAGTGCATGTCAATTACGAGATGTGCCAAGGGTTCACACAGGACTAGCCTGCAACGCTGTCGTTGATCGTGTTCGTGATGCAGATCTTGACGTACCAGCAAATATGGACAGCACAGTCTCGTGGACTGCTTGTATCTTGCGCGTCTGCAGTGTGTAGCTCGTGAAGAGGGCTATTATGAGCAGGACGATGAGGATGGACAGGGCCCATGATGTGAATATCTCCTTCTGCCCCGCCTCTGGTTCTTCTGCGCGGTGTATTAGGATGGGTGGCGTTGGAGGGGTGGAAGCGCGGGGACTGACCATCGGGGTCGGCATCGACTACATCTCGCTCTGCAGGTTAGAGTCAGCCTAGGGTCCGAATTCAGGCCAGATGTCTGCGCGGGGCGCATACTGAGCAACTCGCCAACTGCCCACCACCCCATCAACGACGCCATGCTGAACTCAGGGCCGGCGTGTCATGAGCGTCGCCGCGGTAGTTGCGCGTGCAGCGAACGTGGAGATGCAATGTGGCAGCTCGGGGTCTGGTGCGACACGGGGTAAGCAGCAGACGGCGGTGCAGTCTTCGGTCAGCAGCACGCGCGTAGGATTCGGTCCGGAGTGCGCGCACGACAACAACGGCGAGCTGGAGAGGTTCGAACGGGCGGAGCTTCTGACCAGCACACGGCCGACACTGCAGCGCTCAGGTGTGTCGTTCCAGTGAGGCACTACGCACGCTTCGGGCGGTAGCGTGGCAAGGGTCCGGCTCCACAACGACGTCAACGCCTCACCAGCCGCGCCAGACTAGCCATGCCTGCTGCATGACATATCTCCAGTATCACCGGGGCACATTCTGCCTGCCCTGCCTGGCGCCTGCCCGACTCCACGGAGCATCTATAACCTGCATAGCCTGATCTACACCGCCTCTTAAAGTCCCATCTAGTCCCTCGTCACATTGCTTCTTGCTCTCCACCTTGGCTCAGTACTTGTGCCCTCGCGCGCCTAGATACCCTCACGGCTGCACCTTCCGCTAGTGGCGCTTCCAGCCAGGGTAACGGCCAGACAGGGTTTTCTCGCACCGTTTAATACTTTAGATTGCGCCTGCTCCCACTCGTTCCTACTCCACAGCGATCTTCTCCACCCCCAAACATACATCCTGCATCCGGGCCACCGCGCACCACAGCGACGTGTCTGCCAATCACGTTTGATTCGGCCCTGCGTCGGTGAGCCACAGCGTCCTCCACGTCGGTAAGCCTCGACGTCGACTATCATGTCGTCCTCCAACATGTCGTCCTCCCAACACGACGAGTCGACCTCGCCTGCTGCCTCACCTCCCATGGCCTCGCCTCGCAACCCTCCCAGGCTCGACACGAATGCACGCCCCCGCCCCAAGTTCGTGTCTTTTGGCCGCGAATCAGAACTAGGCGGCCCTCCCATCATCACCGAGCGTTCACCGCTTGTGCGGCCCTCGAGATCGGCGCGCGAGGTTGACCCACTGCTCAAGGAGCCGCTGTCGCCTCTGGAGAGCGAGGAGGACTGGCAGGGCGAGCCCGAGACTGAAGACACTAAGAGCAGTTGGTTCTTGTTCCTGCTGACTCTTGGCGGACTCGGTCTCCAAATAGGATGGTCTGTCGAGACGTCCAACGGATCTGTGAGTGCTTTTTCCACCCCATTCTACGCGTCGCAAACACAGTGTACTAACTACAACACAGCCCTACCTGCTCTCTCTTGGACTCAGCAAGTCCGCCCTGGCTCTCGTCTGGATCGCTGGCCCGCTATCAGGTGTTCTCGTACAGCCCTATGTCGGTCTCAAGAGCGACAACTGCCGCAGCCGCTGGGGAAAGAGACGTCCCTTCATCTTCGGCGGCGCGGCAGCGACCATCCTGTCTCTCATGCTCTTATCTTGGGCTAGAGAGATCATGGCTGCCTTCCTGGGCCTTTTCGGCCGTGATCCTGAGAGCGAGTTGGTCAGGACGAGCACCATGGTCTTCGCTGTCTTCTTCGTCTATGTTCTCGACTTTGCCATCAACGTCAGTAAGTAGTTCGAAACTGCTATTCCTCTCGTATCTCCTTACTGACACCCTTCTAGTTCAAGCCGGTATTCGCGCTTACATTGTCGACGTTGCACCAACCCATCAGCAGGAGTCTGCAAACGCATGGCTGATGCGATCTGCTGGTGTTGGTAACATTGCGGGCTACCTTGCTGGTTACATCGAGCTTCCCAAATACTTGCCATTCTTGGGTGGCACCCAGTTCAAGGTTCTCTGCGCCATCGCTTCCGTCATCATGGCTCTCACGGTCGGCATTAGTTGTGGCGTCTGCGGCGAGCGCGACCCTACCCATGACGATCCACCACCCGTGCAGCAGGATGGCGTTATAGCTTTCTTCCGGTCTCTCGCCGTCTCGGTTCGCAGGCTCCCAGACCAGATCAAGCGCGTTTGCGAAGTACAGTTTTTTGCCTGGATCGGATGGTTCCCCTTCCTTTTCTACATCACAACCTACGTTGGCCAAATCTACGTCGACCCACTCCTCGAGGCAAACCCGAACATGACGGATGCTGAGATTGATCAGATCTGGGAGGACGCTACCAGAATTGGTACGAGGGCTCTGTTGGTGTTTGCTGTCACTACTTTCCTAGCCTCGGTCGTCATGCCCTTTGTCATCCCCCCAACCTTCCAAGCGCCAATTCCCGACCACCCAGCCACCCCCGCTACTCCCTTGACCCCCGCGACCCCACACTCTATGGGAGGTTCTGGTTATTTCGCGCTTAGGGAACCGACCAAGGGCCCGCCCCAGAGCAGGTCGGAGAAGATCTTCGCGGCAATGGACAAACTCCAAATCAAGTCGCTCACGCTTCGTCGCTCCTGGTTCATCGCGCACATCTGCTTCGCTGTGCTTATGGCACTCACCTTCTTCGTTCATACCACCATGGGAGCAACCATCCTCGTTGGTGCAATTGGCATTCCCTGGTGTCTGACAGGTTGGGCTCCATTCGCCATCATCGCTTCTGAGATCTCCAAGCGCGATGCTATCCGACGTGGCATCATTCGACCCACTGACCGCGAGTCTCAGCTTGTTGCTTCGAGTGAAGATGACAACTCTGGGGCCGACTCAGCTGGTGTGGTGCTCGGTATCCACAATGTTGCCATTGCTGCACCTCAAGTGATTGCCACTCTCGTAAGCGCCGTACTCTTCAGGTTGTTGCAGAAGCCCCGAGGCGTAGCCGGCGACAACAGCGTGGCATGGGTCTTGCGATTCGGTGGAATCTGCGCCCTGGTTGCGGCGTGGCTGACGCTTCGAGTCAAGGAGGAGAAGATTGAGGAGGAGGATGAGGATCCCGAGGATTTCTTCAGCAACCACCGAATCCGCGCTGGTTAGAGTATCTTTGATCTGCCAAGCCCTGGATAAAAGGCCTGCCCTCACGAATCGAGAACAGCCAACTTACGTCGAACGAGATATGATCACACAATTCATGTACTTATGACGGATCAGGGTAGAAATACCCGTACCATCCGCTGGTTCACGACGCCTGGTTGGTTCGATTCGATGCATCACAGCGAGCGATGGAGTTTGAACAGGAGTTTTCGGCACGTACACGTAGGTTAGGAGTTTTTTTTTTTGGACGGCCGTCTTTTGTGTGCTTGTTCAGATGGTTAGAGTTGTAGATTAGACTGGTAATCTGATATGATCTACCCCTATGTTTCTGTGCAATTCAAACAACGATTGGCGTGATATGTGGAGTGGGTATATGACAGCCAAGGGCAGGAAAAACACCGAACCACGGAAACACGTCCGCATCCTAACTTCTTCGCTCTCGTATCTGTATCTGCACTCACTCCCCAACCCCCCTAACATACCTCGTCCAACTCACATACTCCTTCCCCGGCCCATTGACATCATACCGCACTTCCCACCACATCTCCCCCTCCCTCTCCCCCTTTCCATCCCCCACCATGGCAGCAGAAAACCGCCAACTCGCCGTATACACATCCCCACCACACAAATGCTGCGCCTGATTCCGCGCCTCCTGCACCCCCTCGCCTCCTGGGGTGAGGGGGCCTATTGCGACGAAGAGGCCGGCGTTTTCTGAGGATGAAGGGGATAGGGGGGAGGGAGAGAAGTGCACGGCTATGTACGGCCCCGTATCTGCTTCTCCGGCGGCGGGCGTTGGTGCAGTGGGGGGGTGGAGGGTGTATATGTATTGGCGTGTTGTGGTGAAGTGGAGGTTGGTGGTTGTTGTGAAGGTGCCGGTTTCGGTGTAGAGGAGTGTGTTTGTGTTTGTGTTTGTGTCTGTGTTTGTGTGGTCCGAGGAAGTAGAAGGAGAAAGAGAAGGAGAAGGGCAGGGTGTCAGGCGCGCGGTGCCGGACACGGTGCCCGAGGGGTGGGAGGGCAGTGCGGAGGTGAGCGTGCGTGTGAAAGTCCAGTGTGTGGCGAGGTTGTGGAAGATGCGCGTTGGTTTGTCGACGTGCGTGGTGGTTCTGGCTTGGGGCGGGTCGTGGGTGGTAGTCGTAGTCGTAGTCGTAGTCGTAGTAGCAGCTTTCGGATCCCAGTTCCCCAACAACACCGCATTGACGCTTTGCAGCGTTGCGCGGCTGGGATTCAGCGCGGGGTTCGATGTCGTTATCCAGCTCAATTTCTGCTTAATGACGGGCTTGCTTATCTCCCTGCTTTCTGTCTTTCGTTCACTGTTGAGTGTGCCGTGCGCGTCGGCGTATAGGCATAGGATGGCTAGGGCGGTGCCGACTGCTAGGTCTTTGCCTGTTGGGCAGCAGACTAGGAGTTTCGTGGGGTGTGGTGGGAGGGCGGCAAAGAAGGGGCGTATGTGTGGGAGTTGGGCGCGCAGGTCGCGCGATCCGAGTTTGCCCGTTTGGCAGTTCAGGTGCAGATACTTTACCTTTGCCTTTGCGTCAATATGGGGAAGGGGGTCTGGTGTGCAGCTCACGACGACGTCGAAGGGCGATGTATCGACGTTTTGGCTCGAGGAAATGTACAGGGTACTCGTGGGCTTGATGAGTGTTGGTATCGCGTCTGCGCCGCGGTCTTGCTTGACCAGGTCGGCGATGAGGCGCGGTACGTCTTCTTCGTTCGTGTTCATTAGTAGCTCCCTGTTCGCCCAGAAGAGCGGCGGCGTTAGCCCGTGGGACCACGCCTCGTGGTCGTCGGCGGCCCCCTGGATGTATCCGCCTTCTGACCCCTCAGCGCCGTGGACACGCCTCGACGCGGTGCAGAGCACGACGGGGTGAAAGTCCGCGAACGCCGGGGCCGATTCCGGGAGCGTAGAGCTGTGCGTGACCCATATCGGACGGAGGGGTTTTTTGAGTTTGGCGCGCAGATCCGCGATGTTGGGTTTACACACGTCCTAGAAACACCCATACATCAGTGTCTATTCTTCGGCCCAAAAACGACAGATACAAAACAGAACGTCGCCTCACCAAAAACTCCCTTACAAACCCCCCAATCCTGCCTTCAATCTGCGCCTTCTCGCTCTCCGACACAGCAAGCGGCGGCGTATACAGCGCCTCCCCCTCCCCAAACACCACCCGATTAACCACACAGCACCAAATCGGCACACTCTTACTCAACGCATCGGGCATACTCTTGCCCCGGCGGGTGGAATCCACAATCACGCACCCGCCAGCCCTCTCCACAACATCCAAGACCTGCAGATTGAGGCGACGAAGACTGAACCCCCACTGCCCCATGTGCCCATCCGTGCTCTTGAAATACACACTCTCTGATTTCTGGCTGGGCGGGATATACCAGCTTCCGCAGCGTTCGTTGGCGACGAGCGGGAGGGCGTAGGCGGATGCGACGGCCGTTACGAATGTGCTGTCTGAAAAGATGGAGGAGAGGCGGTTGTGCGTTGAGAGGGTTGATCTTTTTAGGGAGGAGAGGGTTGTGGAGAAGTTTGGTGTGTTGGATAGGTGGGGGAAGAGGATGTCGGATTGGGAGAGGGGTTTGGACATCTTGGGGGATTTTCGATGGTTTTGAGAGAAGATGTAGAGGGTGTGGTTGGTGTTCTCAGTTCAAGGTTGCGCACCCCCGCATTATCTTGATGTTTTAAACTGCCAGAAAGATCGGGGTCGGGTTCGTTATTGTGTTATGGAGCGTGAGACTTCAATCTGGAATTTGGACGACTTCGGTTCGGTTGGACTTTGTGGTGGTGAGCAGTCGTTTGCACCCGTGATAGGCGAGTCGAGGTTTTGAGTGTACGCTAAGTGTTGCCGCTAGTTTTCTTTCGTAAGAAGAGTATATGATTATCGAAATTTATATTTTTATATCCGCTGTCTCTCTTTATCTGCTCTATTTTCGATCCTCTAAAAACTTCAGCTTACTTTCAGTTTTTGACGTCAATCCAAGAGCCACCTAATATGGCGCCTCCACGTCAAAATCAGCAAGTGTTTTAACTCGAATAAATAGCCATGCAAACACTAAAGAGTACCGCCCTCTCATTCACTCTTCTAATTCTCATTCTATACACAACGCAATGCAATCAACGGGGGTATCAAGTGCCTTGCCAAAAGAAAAAAAAGCCTCCAGTCCAGTCCACCCATAACCAACAAATCCGCCCACCCATACAAGATATACATCCCCTACTACACCCCACAACATCACGCCCTCATCCTCCCCACCAACAGCACAACCTTCCACAGCACATTAACCACCAACGCCAACGCCGCCGCGGGAACAAAAATCTGCGCCCACTCAAACCACCTCACAGGGCGAACTTCGGTCTCAATCCAGCCGGCGCCCTTCAACGGCAAGCCCCCGTTTTTATTCGGCGACACGCCCTCATCGGCGGGGAAGCGGTTGTTCTCGACGTAGTACTGGAGGAGGTCGTCTTTCTCGCGCCAGCGGGCGAGCAGCCAGTCGGAGAAGGCGTCTTCGGCGTGGGTGGGGATGTCTGCGATGGGGAAGCGGCGCCAGTGCATGTTTACGGATTTGGGGGGTCGGCCTTGGAAGTAGGAGCCGCGGAGGGTGAAGAGGTCTTGGCCGTATTCGCCGACGCTGGTGGGGGGTGTTAGTTTGGTGGGTGAGTGTGGTGGGGGTGTGGAGGGCTTACGGCACGCCTTCGTAGGCGACGGTGCAGTCGTACATGTAGTCGACTGTTGTCTTCAGCTCTTGCAGGCAGAAGGACAGGCCTGTGCTGCGGGGGAGCAGGGCGTGGCGCAGGTCGGGGATGTTGTTCTTGTCTGCCCATTTCTTGCTTGCGATGCGGCCGTTGATGGAGAGGTTGGTGCCTTCGGGGAAGATGAGGAGCCACATGGGATCGAGGCCCTTGGAGCCGGACATGGGCCCGTCGTGGCTGGTGCTTAATTTGCGCAGGCGGTGCTGGAAGCGCCCCTTGTCTGTTGACCATTTCCGGGAGAGGAAGACGAAGCCGTAGAACATCATGCCGGTGCCGAGGACGGGTATGTATTTTATGGATTCTTTGAGGATGATGTAGAGGTGGCCGTGCATGGAGGATGTGTAGGCCGTCCACCAGAGGTAGACCCAGTCAGTGTAGATCTGTAGGAGTTGTTAGCCGCTGCTTTCATCCGATGTGTGGGTAGACGGACCTGGTGGTTGGATACCAAGACCATACGTTCTGGAAAATCGCACTCTAATCTCCCGTCTTCTGTCTTTCTGAACTGGCCTCTGACACTCTCATCCCCGCTTATCCTCATCTTGACAGGCGCCCACCAGTAGGTCATTGTGGTCGAGACAACCCCAAAGTGCTGCTTCGACATGGCCATCCAGGCATAAAACAAGTCCTTGCTGAAGAAGTACAGCGGCGCGCCAATGTACTGGGTGATGGCGATACTGAGAAGACATGTCAGCGTCTTGCGACTGGGGTCAGCAGAGGTGTATACCTACGCCATGATGCTGCTGTTGAAGTAGGCGGCAAAGAGACACATGCGCAGGGCCTGCTTCCATGCGCCATGCTTGATCTCCCCGCCTGGATGTGGCTGCGATGTTGTAGACTTGGCCGACCTCTGCGCCTTGAGCTTCTCTATGACGGGGACGGATCCAGGTGGATGTCGCTTCCTGACGCTTTCGATCGCCATGGTGAAGGATGTGGGGTCGGGCAGTCAGCGGTAGAGAAGAGGAGAGCTGAAAAGCAGGCTGGACGTGCGCGTGCCCACTTTAGCTATGGCGTTGTTCAGGTGAGGTGTGGCTTGGGACCTGAGGGCTGCGACGGATGGCGGAGGGGTTTCAAGGGACGGCGTTGATCAAGGGTGCGTGATGGAGTTTAGGCGTGCGTGGAGGGGAGACGGCAGGCCAGGCGGTGGTGTCCATTGCTTCCCAGGCGCGGTCATGTATGCAGGAGCAGGCAAGTACCGGACCGCAGCCTTCCTGCAGCCTTTCACATGTCCGGAGACGAATGACACAACTCGGACGAATAAGCCCCACCACGCCGGGCAGGGATCAGCGGGGAGAACCCGTTCGCGCATCATTCTTCGATATTATCATCGTCGCTGATATTTCTGCATATCTCCAAATTCTGGATTAACACATACTATGATCGCTCGCCTCCACTCAACATAGCCAGAAGCCCATGGAGTCCGACGTCAGACAAAAAGCCTCTCCACGATGAAGCTCGCACACCACCGCGTCCTGCCCTGGCGGCTCCTCACCCAGACGCGACCCTTCTCCTCGACCTCCCCCCGCCTCGAAATCAAGCACATCCGCGACCTGCCCGCGCGCATAAAATCCTCCTACATCCAGTCCCCCGCCAACACGCTGCTCAGCCTGCAATGGCCGTCCCCCCCGCGCAACATCCTCGTCACAAAAAAGAAACGCACCCCCAACATCACCGCCTCGGTCGTCGAATTCGCATCACACATCGCCTCGACGTACCCCGCCATAAACATCATCCTCGAGCCAGACTCCGCCGCGGAGATCCACGAACAGCTCCCGTTCCCCGTCTACACGTACGACAAAGGTGAAGGCACACCGCAGCATCTAGCCGACAAGACAGACCTAGTCTGCACGCTGGGCGGCGACGGCACCCTCCTCCGCGCAAGCAGCCTATTCAGCCACGCAGAAAGCGTCCCTCCCGTACTCAGTTTCGCCATGGGCACAATCGGCTTCCTAGGCGAATGGAAGTTCAGCGAATACAAGCGCGCCTTCCGCTCAGCCTACATGAGCGGCTCACCCTCAGCCTACACGCCCACCTCCTCGTACCCAAACTACGCCGACATCCGCGGCAAAGCCCTGGGCCACCACCGCACAGCGCGCATCCTCCTCCGCAACCGCCTAAAAGTCGGCGTCTTCCACCGCGACGGCACGCGCCTCACCTCCCCCCACACAGGCAACAAAGACACCTACGCCCTCAACGAAGTCACCCTCCACCGCGGCTCATCCCCCCACCTGAAAATCATAGACGTCTACATCGCCCACCGCTTCCTGACCGAGGCCGTGGCGGACGGAATGATTATTTCCTCCCCCACGGGCTCAACCGCGTACTCCCTCTCCTCTGGGGGCTCGATTGTCCACCCCCTCGTCCCCTCGCTGCTGCTCACGCCCATCTGCCCGCGCTCGCTGTCGTTCCGCCCGCTTGTGCTCCCCGCCGAGACGCCGATTACGCTGCGGCTTGGGGAGAAGAACCGCGGCCGCGAGGTGGAGGTTAGTATTGATGGGAGGACGTTTACGGAGGGTATGGGCGCGGGTATGGAGGTGCGTGTTTCTGGTGAGGAGGTTAGGCGGGGAGATGGGGGCTGGGAGGGGGGCGTGCCGTGTATTGTGCGGGGGACGGTGGGGGAGGAGGATAGGGCGGAGGATCATTGGGTGGGGGGGCTGAATGCGCTGCTTAAGTTTAATTATCCGTTTGGGGATCAGGATAATTAGGGGGGGGGGGGAGGTGTTTTGGGCGTTGGGGATGGGAGGTTGGATGTCTATGGGCTGGTGAGGTGGTGTATATGTGAAGAATATGTATCTATGAACCAATATATTGTACAGTACAAGACATGACATGACATGTTCGAACAGGTGGGACGCCTCGCTATGTATATTCGACAGATTGATTGATTGATTCCCCTCCCTCCCCCCCAGACCAGATCGAATGAGTAGTTTGACCCTCCCTGCCGCCCAATAAATCGCTCGCACGCACGCTCGCTCGCTAGCTTCCAAACCCCTTCCAAAATAAAAGACACAGATAAAAGGTATTGTACAATAAACCCCTCCCCTCCAACCCCTCCGATATAGAAAGACACCCTCAAAGATGCACACGCATAGTATCATTGCTCCCAAACGCCTTCCCGCAATTCGGGCACTTCCTCGCCCGATTCGTAAGCCGATCCTGCACGCACTGATCGCAAAAGATATGCCCGCAAGTCTTAATAACCGTATTCTTAAAGCGACTCTTGCAGATCTGGCACTGGATCATCGACTCCATAAGCGCCGTTTCCGTGCTCTGATTACCCGCGCTCTTCTTCTTCCACAGCTGGACCTGCTTCTCCAGGCCGGCGACTTGGGCCGTCAGCTTGTCGCGCTCTGTGTCGGCGTCGCGCTGGGCGTGGCGGGCTGCGAGGCAGGATGTGTCTTTTGAGTCTACTTCTTTTTTTAGCTCGGCGATTTGCTTCAGGTGGCCTTCGGTTGTCAGGGCGGATTCGGCGGCTTTTTGCTCGAGTTGGCGGTGGCGCGTCGAGAGCTCGTCCATTTGGGAGCGCATCTCGGCGGTTTGCTTCTCGAGCTTGTCGACGAGGGAGCGGCTGAGTGAGTCTGCTTCTTTCAGCTGCGCGACGACTTCGGTGGATTTTGTGGCCTGGGCGCGGAGAATGCGGATTTGCTGCTCTAGTTCGCCCTTGGACTTCATGGCTGCAAAGAACTTCTGGTCCGCCTTTGCTTTGTCTGCGTGTGCTCTTGACACGCCTTCTTCCCACGCCACGACGTCCGCAATCTTCTTCCCTGCAGTTGCCTGCGCCTTCTTCCACGCTGCTTCCATTGATGGCAATTCGCCGCTCAAAAGTTTCAGTTGGTTTTCCAGCGAAGAAATCTTGCTACGTAGCTGGTCTGTCGTCAGTTCGTCGAGGGCTGCAGATTCCTGACCTTCGACCGTTTGTCCTTCAGCAATCTGCAGACGCAATCGCTGGCATTCCGACTCCAAAGCAGCAATCCGACTCTCGCATGCACCAACAAGTTCTTTCGATTGTTCGGTGGATGCGCTGGTGTTCTTCTGGTTGCCCTCGAGAATCTTGTTCTCAGCCACAAGTTCATCACGAGCATTCCGAATACGGGCAAGATGCGCTTCAGCCTGGGAGACCGCGCTCTCAGATTCCGCCAGAGACGAACGCGCTTCGTCATCGATTTTTATTCGATACGCCGTCCGCTCTGCCTGGTACTTTTGCGCTTCCTCCCGCAGTTGTTTGTTAGTTGCTTCTAGGTTGTTGATACGCTTGATAACATCTTCATGCTGCGATTTCAAAACCTTGAACAAATCCGTCTTTGCGTAGTCGTCGTCTGAAAGTCCTGTGAGTTTTACTCTCAGCGCCGAAACCTCCTCAGTGAGTTTCTTGTTTTCCTGCTCGATCTGTTCGAGCTGCTCTTTCCTTTTGACGGCCTCTGCCACAGCCTGATTCCGAGATGTCTCCACCTCCTCACTAACTACACCCGGCGAGGCGCCATTAACAGTTTCTGAGCCATTGCTTGCCGATGGTGTCTCCTCTTTCACGCTGCTGGCGACTGCTTGCTGCTCCAACTTTTGAACCTGCTGGCTCTTTAAACGGTCAATCTTCTTCTCGGCAACGAGATAGCGGTGAGTGGCCGTGTCCAAGCGGTCCGACAACTGTTCCTTTTCCTTCATTACACGTTGGAGCTCCACAACCTGATCCTTCTCTGTAGCCAAAAGCTCCGAGAGCTGCTGCTGTAGATCGGCGATTTCAGGGCTGTTAGGCGGGTACTTGGCAAACAGACCCGCCAGTGACGATAGGACCTTGTCTTTGCGACCGGAGAGGTGTTTCTTGAATGTCTCGCTGTCTGTGAAAAAAAGTGTTTCGGGAACTGTCCGGCTAGAAGTGGAGTCACCTGACGGAGCAGGCAGTTTTTCTCCAGCAAGTAGCTTGATTTCATCGAGAAGCTAGAGTCACGTCAACATGCAGCCCAACGCGAGACCAAGGTATTGCCGTACTGACCTGATCGAACCAAATATCCAATATGCGCAGGTGATCGTCATGGTGCTTTGAGCGGCTCTCCAACTCATTCAGCTGAGACTCGATCGTGTTCTTCTCCCGCTTGTATTCGCGCATCTGTCGCAAAATGGCGTCTTTCTGGAAAGCCTGTGCATCATCGCAGCATTAGCGAGCGTGTTCGCGATGGGCGGAGGAGGGAGGACGTGTAGATCGGGGGGGCGAACCTCGATGTCATCTTTCCACGGCAAGTCAGCGTCTGGATGCGATCGAGCACCGTTGACAGTCACGGCTTGCCTCTTAGCAGGAGGGGCATTATCATCATGGACGCTGGGTCGCTTGCGATCCTCCATCTTGACGGGGCCAAGCGATGGGGGTGCGACGGTCCTGGCTTCGAGCCTCATCGAGCAGACAAGGGCGTCGTTGGGCGAGGGGGCACGGGGGATGCGGGCCGCTCAGGTCGTTAATGAGAGATGAAGGAGCGAGATGGAGGCGGCTGAGCGACGGGCGGGCATGGGAACGAGAGGACGCGGGTCGAGTGGGCGAGCCGGAGAGGGCTCGTCGTGCCTTGAAGGAGAGAGAATCCACATGGATGAGTAATTAGCGGCCTGCTGAGTCACTAGCGGCAGGGTGGCTTGGACGGCGCCTGTCCGTGCCTGTCAAGACTCGCGTCCCCGCCAAATGTTTTCCTGACCATTGGCGCGACCACCCTTTGCGACAATGTCTGCCGAGGACGGCGCCGACAAGACGCAGGCGCCCAAGCCTGCGCCGACTTTTACGTCCTTCATCAACAGTGCGTCGTCTGATGTCGAGCTGTTGGCGGTGCTAAGTCATGAGCAGAGAATACGTCGGGCAAGAAGGTTGCGCCCAAGGCCGCACGACGAAGAGCCCCAATACCCCCGACACCCTCCGCCTCGACCGCCGCCTCGACCGCCGAACCGCCGACCTCGCAGACCGAACCCGAGCCTACGCCTCCGACTGTCGCACAGCTACCCACGCCCGCTGCTACCCAGGAACCTGCCGCCCAGAATGTTCCGCAACCCGAGACGAGCGCCGTTGAGCCATTGACTGCACCGAGTGTAGTACAAGCAGCGCCCTCTCCCGCTACCCAGCCTGTCCCTACACCCGTCTCGACGAACATCGAAGCACAACATGCTCCCCCGCCACAGCCAAGTCACGCTACTACGCCTCAGCCTGCTGAACCCCTCGACACTGACAGGCCAGCCAAGAGACGCAGGACGCAGCCTCCAGCGGAGGAAAGCACAGCTGCACCTCCTCCACGACAAGAACCCGAGTCACAGACTATCGTATCCGAGGATGCACACGCGACTGTAGTTGAAGAGGGGGACCAGCAAAGCGCAGCACAGACGACCGAGGAAGATGGAGTACGGTCAATCGAGGAAGGCACGTCACAGCCGACTGAGAAAGAGGCGGGCGCCCAACAATCGCGAAAGAGGACGAGACTGCCATGGGTCGCTGTCAATCACGCGCCGGAAGACGAACCCACGACTGCGCCAGCTAAACGGACTCGTCAACCAGCCAGAGCTCGAGGAAAGGCAAAAGCTGTAGTCGCAGCAGACGCGGAGGAGCAGGAAGGCGATGAGGAAGACGACGGCCAACCCGCACGGAAGCGACCTCGTGCAAAGGCGCGAAACAAGCGAGGGGCAGACGAGGCAAATGCGGACGGCGAATTTGAGGTTGAAGCCCCTGCAAAGAAACCACGGAAGCCTAGGAAGAAGAAAGCTGCAGCCGACGGGGCAGTAGAGGGGGAAGCAGAACCGGCAGCCGATGCGACCGAGGGCGCCACAACACGCAAACCACGCAAGCCGCGCCAGCCGAGAAGGAGGATACAAAACACCACAGAAGGGGAGACTGCAGACGGCGAGGAGGTTGCGCAACCAAAGCGAAAAGGGCGTCCACCACGAGAAGACACACCACCGGAGGCGGAACATCAGACCATCGACCCCGAGACAACATTCATGGACAGTCTAGCATCCCGCAACATCCGCGTAGGAAAACTGTCCAACCTCGAGAGACGGATGCGTGGGATCGACTGGGATGAAGTTAAGCAACGTCAGAGGGAAGAGGACAGACGGATAATCCACACCAAAGAAACCCAAGCAGCAGTCGACAAGCTCCTAAACGCAGCAGGCGAAGACCTAGAAGCCGCCAACGCCGAGCAAGGCCCCCGCATGCGCGTCGTCGGCGACCGCATCGAGCTGATCCACGACTCAGGCACCATCGACCGCGAAGCCGAAGCAGACATGCACATCGCGACCATGGAAGTCCACGAGGAAGCCGACCTAACAACCCGCATCACAACCCGCAGCTTCATGAAAAACGGCAAGCGCTTCCCCAACGACTTCCTCCTCCCGGGCCAGGGCCACCGCTGGACTCAAGACCAGACAGACCGCTTCTACCACGGCCTCCGCATGTACGGCACAGACTTCCAGATGATCTCCATGATGTTCCCTAACCTCTCGCGCCGCGTCGTCAAGACGAAATTCACCCGCGAGGAACGCGAGAATCCGGATAAAGTCGCTCAGTGCCTGCTTGGTGAGCTCGAAATGGCGTCGGGCTGGGGCGCCTTCCTACAAGCCTCGGAACTACAGGATAGTCACTTTGCCGACGCGGATGAGATTAAGCGCCAGATGGATGAGGTTGAGGTGCGCATGCGCGTGGAGATCGAGGCTGCGAAGGCGGAGACGGCGGAGCGGAAGCGCCAGCTTAAGGAGGCGGGGCTGCTTCCTGAGGGGGAGGAGGGCGCGCCCGATAGGGAGGATGGGAAGGGGAGGAAGAAGCGCAGGGAGAAGGGGAAGCAGGTTACTTTTCGGGAGGAGGAGGGCGTGGAGATTTTGGGCGGGTTGGACGAGGATCCGAATTGGGGGCAGTAAATGAAGTTGGGGTTGGGGTGGGGTGGAGTGAAGTGTGGATTGTAGTGGATGGGATGGGATAGGATGGGATGGGATATGATACCCCTTGAACATTGTTGTCAAGAAACACTACTGATGTGTATGCTATTCCCCCGTACTCGTGCCTCGCGTGAGTGTGGAAGTCGCTAGTACGCTGGCAGTGACATTTTGCATTTGCGTGACTGCTACTCCAAATATATACAAACTCGGCGTTGGATCTAACCATCTCACGAGATACATCTAGCCCAGTCCATCCAATTCCAGCCTTCCGCCTTCCCTGAATGTCAGTCTATCACACGCCTGTGGTGTTCCCATGACATGTCTGACTTCAAGCCATCTAGCACAGTACCGTACTGAATGAAGAAAAGTCTCAGTAGCAGCTAGACTGGTAAGCCCCAACTCCATGTATCCTCGAGTATGGACGAATGGAAAGTAAGGCTAAACAAGAACACCCATGGAATAACAGACGATAAAGATGTTTTCTTCCACATAGAATGGCAGTGAGTAGGCTGAGTTTGTTGACAAATTTTGAGAATTCCACCTGACGACGGGGGAAGAAGTGGTGTATTGCCTCACGCACTTCGTCCAGGTACATGAAGAAGACGAATTACATTACATTACACTACGCGTCCAAAACAATCGTATCGAGTACAACAACAATCACATCCTCCCACACCAAGCCACCTCCCATCTACCGAGCAGCAAACCTCGACCTCCCCCTCAACCTCTCCCCATAGAAAAACAGCACATAAACCCCCCCCGCACACCCGACCGTCAACCCCGCCAACAACGACACCCCCCTCCCCACGCCCAACCCCCCAAACAACGGCGTAGAAAAATGCACCGCACCCGCCGCCATCGCCGAGCGCGCGAAATCATTCCCCGCGAACAAACTAGCCGCGAACTGCGGGTACGAAAAAGCCAGATACAAGAAAATAGTCTGGAAGATGATGAAGATGCCGATTGTGGCTAGCGCGATGCCGATGCAGGATACTATCCAGTGGATGTTCGGCGTTGCGGACCAGGCGAAGAGGAAGAGGCCGGCGGGGACGAGGAGGGAAGTGTATAGTGCGGGGATGAGGCGGTGTTCGGGGGGGCCGAGGCCGTGGGATATGATGCGGGGTGTTACGGTGCTGTGGATGTAGTACCAATACGCCGCAAGAGCGATAGCGACGCCGACGGTGACGGAGAGGAAGGTTAGGGCTGTTTGGGCGGGGGTGAAAGCGTATATGTCGCCGTAGACGAGCGGGAAGGCTTCGAAGAAACTGTAGAATATGGCGTAGATTATGCCGATGTAGAGGGCTGTGAAGGCGATGCTTGGGTCGAGGAGCATGAGTTGGAAGGGGCGCCAGAGGGCTTCGGTGGCGATGGCGCGCGTGGTTAGGCTGGCTTGGGCGAGCTCGGAGGCGGATTGTAGGGTGGGGGTTTGGGTTAGTTTTCGGAGGCGTTGGGCGCGGCGGAGGAGGATGGTTGAGGATGAGGTTTCGGGGAGGAAGGCGAAGAGGATGAGGAAGATGGGGCCGTTTAGCCAGAGCATTTCCCAGAGGGACCAGCGCCAGGTTTTGGCTGCGACGGAGAATCTGGAAATTGTTTGTTAGATTGGACGCGTCTTGCATCGTAAGATGGCAAGGGATGGGGACGACTTACGCAGAAATAATAGGACCAAGCGCAGGACCACACGTCGCCGCAAACGCCCACAACGAAAGCACATACGGTAGCTCAAGCAGACTGTAAATATCCTGCAGCGTCGCGCCACCCGTAGCCAAACACGGGCTGCCAAAGAAGCCCTGCAGGAACCTCAACACGATCAAGCCCGCAAAGTTATCGACCAGCGCAGTCGGCACAAGCAGTATGACGAAAATGGCATAAGAAATAGTGTACGGCGGACTCCTCCCAATCCCCGGGATCTCGCTCAGCGGCGAGAAGAGCAAAGGCCCGATACCATAGGCGGCTACGTACATTGAAAGGCCGAGAGATGCTGCTCCGATCTCTACGCCAAAGTGCTGCATGACACCGGGGATGCTGGGCGTGTATATCGCGGATCCCATGTACACGCCCGTGGTGTAGACGAGGATCTGCAGCAGCACGATGGCTTTCTTCCCAGACGACCAGTTCTGCGGGTTATCCGGGTCATCTGTGGCATACCAATCCACGAGGGTCGTGCCGTCGTCGAGCACGTCCGGGTCGATGGGGCGGCTGGGCCCACGGTCCATGGATGCGAGGGAGATTTGGTGTTCGAGGTCTGCCTGGGAGACGGACTTTTGCAGTGCTGTTCTGGTGCCGACACGTGAGATCTGTGTGCGGGTTGTGTGTGTGGATCGTATGGTTTGGGGCTTCTCGAGGCTGAGGCGTTCATCGTCGTCGCTTGAGATTCTGTCCTTTTCGAGCACTGTTTCTGGGTCCGGGTAGATGGGTTCTTCATGGGGTGGAGCTTCACGTTTGGTAACTGGGGTGGCTACATGGTCGTCTTGGTGTCTTTGTGAAGGGCGAATGTGGCGGGTGTATGCGTCTGGGAGTTGGAAGTCTGGCCGTTCTTCTGGATATTGCAAGATGCGGTTGTTGGTGAGGTATCTGAGTATCTGCCCAAGCGGGGCGTCCCGAATCAGGGCGGACATGTTGTACAAAGGTAGTCGATGGGTAGACCGATATAGCGAAGTATATGGACCTGAAAACGGTGCTGTTATTCAAGATGATAAACAACGAAGATGATTGACGACCAAAGGACAACCGCTCGATACTTATCCTCTTCATCTAACCCTCCTTCCATCACATCTCTCGAGCACGCAAACGTGCTCGATAAGCTAGCCTCACATCCGTAAGCAAACCATCTAACAAAGCAACAGTACGTTTACAAAGCATCCCAGTACATTCGCAACTGAGCGCACGCCATAAGCTGCAAAAATTCCACCGATTGGCCCACCACAATACCTGAAGAGTTAGAAAGCTGCATGTTGAGGCCTGACTCGTGCCATGAGGTTGGAGTTAATGGGGGAAGATAACTAAGCTCCGAAACTAGCAAGTCCACCAACCAATGACACGCCTCGAACCGGCAGACCTAAATCTTACCATCTTGGCTGCTTTGAAATTCACCTCTCAATCCTGTTTGGATGTTATTAATCGTTCACTTGTCGCAGCAAGCCGTAGAAGATTCTGCTTGTCATCGAATTACACTGCTACTATCAACTATAATCCAAGTATCAACTTCAATACGTCTTGGACCTAAAGCCCGGGTATTCGTTACAAGAAAAAAAAAGAAAAAGACAATTATTTGCTTTGCAGCGCTGTATAGTCTAGTCATGAGACTCTTGAAACTTGGAACGCAAAAAAACAGAAAGGCTATTCCTTTTAGCAAGGACAAAAGACCAGCCAGATAAGACATGGCCGTGGAAAACGAAAAGCGTGAGTATTGCGCCACCAAACCTGACGCGGACAAGGGTATGCTTACCCTGTGAATGCAAGCGAAACGCTGCGCGAAACAAACTCTTTCCCGATTATGCTTTGAGGGTAAATGAGATATAAAATTGCACGTTACGACTGGCTCTCGAGAATTGTGGGCTGCGAATTCAGCTGCAATGCCGGCGCGATGGGATACGGAAGGTAATCTATTTGCGGCGGCATGGCGTTGGTAGCCTCTTCTCGTGTACTGGGACGTGAGCCGCCAGTGTCAGGGCCGAGATGGGGATCAGGTATTTGGATGTCGAGCTGAGAGAGTCAGTAAAGCCTTGAGAAGCTTGCAACAAGGATGCATACCGTAAGATAACCCGTCCGCCGTAATGGGATGACCTTGACGCCTTCTGGTGCGCCCACATCCCTGTTCCAGTCTTCTATCCAGCGTTCTAGTTCTGCCAAGTTGCGCTTGATGCCCGTCAAGCCTACGTCGTCCCACAGCCAGAAGGTCGCAACACCCATGACAGCGTCCAACCATGCTCGGAAGGTAAAGGGGTCAAAGGCGTCCATGAGTGTGTCGTTTATCTTCTTGATCATGATGCGGAAATCGTCTTCGGTGACTAGCGGGTCCAGAATCTCAGGATACAGGTTCGCAAACGTCGGAGCCAGGTCACCCTTTGTCATCCAGTCGCGTTTTATGCGAATGATGCGCGTCGTGTCGTACAGCTCCGAGGTCAGGGGCACATGCGGGTTCGGGTGGGGGAAGCAGGGGTGTGCAGGGCCCCATGGGAACTCTGACGCATCGTCGCCGTCGCCGTGCGCCGAGCCCGTGGCAGAGTGCGTCGACGTGGCGCGAGAACCCGGGATGGAGACGCGGGCCGGCGACAGCTTGCTCATCTCTGCGCCCAGCTCCAGGTCGCGTCCATAGGGTGGGCCAGCGGGCGGTGCCTGGTCCTGTGCATCTACAGACTGCTGCTCGACGGTCATCGCAGGGCCAGGGGTGGGCGACTGCGAGTCGACCTGCAGGCTGCTTCGATGGCGCGGGAGAGCGACACTTGCGCGGCCTGAGATGGTGTCCTCGGGGGTGAAGCGTTGGAGCGTGGGCGAGGCGACAGGGCTCTGCAGGCTCTGGCGGCTCTGGCGCTGCTGCGGCAGGGTGAGCAGCGGGTGCTCGTCGCGCGGGTCCGGGCAGGCGTGCTCAACGGGCAGGTTGGGCAGGTGTTCGCGGGGCGCCGCCGACTGCGGCGGGTGCTGCGGCGGGACAAAGCGGCGCGACGAGTTCACGGGATTCCACAGGCGCGAGGCGGGCGGGCGCTCTGGACGCGACGGCAGGCCCTCGTAGAGCGAGTTGAAGCTGAGGCTGAAGATGCGGTTGGTGAGCGACCAGCGGGCGGGCAGTGGCGAAGCAGGCGGCGCGACCGAAGCGGGGGGCGAATGTGAAGCCGTCGTTGTGATTGTTCGGAGGGTTGGGAGGCTCTCAGTTCGGCAATCGCAAGCACGGCTTGGCAGCGCTGCATGGATGGCCGTCTCGAAGCAGCCAGCGCGAGGTTAGCACGGCGGGCGGGATGCGGTGTCGACGGCTATGGCGAATGGAACGGCGGATACTATGTTGAATGCTATGTCGACGCGAGGGGAGTCGACAGAGGGGAGCGTGGGCGGGATGTGTGTCGTCTTCACGGTCCGCTACCAGCGCCATGAAACTCTCCACACCAGGGCGCAGCTGGCAGGAGCATGTTCCTTCTTCTTGTACGAGGCGCACATGCACGCCGTCGCCGACGAAATTGCATCACGACAGGCCCGCTCCCTCGTTCCCCGGGGCCGTGACCAAAGCGCCCTGGCCTTGGGTCCAAAGACAAACGACGCCTCACTGTGCGCGAGCCTGCATAACCCGACCCGACGTCCCTGCCTGCGCCTGTGCCTGTCACAAACGAGGTCAGTCCCTGAAACACGCTCAGCCATAGTCAGCCCTCCGCTGTCCAGCACGCGACGCGCCAATGCCAACGACAATGTCCAGCATCACCCTTTCTGCACCTCCATCACGCCCCCTCTGCAAACACCTCGACGCCTTGACCTGACTGCACCGCACTGCATAATCTTCGCATCGCACCCACTCTCGGCCATTTCATGCCCCTTTTCCCCACACAACCCTGACCCTCATGACGACATGCCATCATCTGTGCACCGCGCAATCCCTCCAAGAACACAACTCGTGGCATGGTCATGCATCCCAACTACACGCCAAGATAAATTCTGCATGTCACTAGCTATGGCGCTCAAGATTACTCTGCACAACTGAACAACCACCTCCATCTGAACACACAATCCGCAGAACAGAGGGTATAAAAGTAGAAAATCCACCTTCCCCCTCCAAATGGCAAAACAAAACACAACCGCACCTACTCCCTGATTGCTGTAGCTATGCGTCCGTTCATAAAACCACGTGTACTGAAAATAAAAACTCCCTGGGTATACTTTTGTCCTCCTCTCATCCATCGCCCGTCTACGCTTTCTTGTCTGCATTAGCCTGCAGCTTGCGCATCGCTTCTCGATGGGCATCAAGCATCTGCCCGCTGCGCATCATGCTGTCCATCATCGAAGCCCGCTGCTGAGCCATCGACTCGCGTTGCTGCTTCTTCATTTCCGCCTGGCGTTTCTCGTTGATCAACGCAATCCGTTGTTGCTCAGCAATGTTAGCTGCTGTTTTCGGGCTTGTCGCCTCCTGCACAGAGTCCCTCCACTCGGCGTACAGTTCCTCGCGTTTCTTCTTGGATTGAGTGCTGGTCGTCCGGCTAGGCTGATGCGAGTCGAATCCTAGTGGCGCGCCCTTGACCCCCACACTCTTCTTTTGCCACTTCTGTGACGCCGAAGGAGGAGCAGGTCTGGGTGATGTGGTAGACGGTTGATGCTGGAGCTGCGTAGGAGACGACTGCTTTTGTACCAACTGTCGTCGCTGAGCCAACGTCATGTCTTCTTGCTCCTTTGGCTCACCCAGAAGATTCGCTGACGACGTGTGCGGTGTCAGCGAGTGAGACGAGACTCGGTTTTTCATCCGGTTTTCTCGTTGACCCATGAGCGTGTCCATCGGCATCGGCGACAGAGCATTGAAGTTGGTTCCAGAATTGGAGCGGGAGAGGTCTCCTGTTGTCTGCATGTACGGCGATCGTGGTGTGGCTTGCTGCTCGGCTAATGAGAAGTTGGAGGTGGAACGGCCGAGTCCAAAGCCGCTGCTTCTCCTCATCCCGCTTCCAGTGGATGCCCTCTTCGAGTTCCGTCTACTGTCCTTCAGGGGCGCTGCAATCTCATCACTTACAGGCGCAGACAATTCTTTTGGATATCCCTCCAGAGTGACTTGAGGTGTGGTTGACGCTGCAAGCTCGAGGAAATCAGGTTTGTCAGCAGCTTCTAGCTGCTGAGCCCATTCGTTCGTTCGGTGTGACGATGCCACTTTTGAGACCTTGTCAGATGACTTGACGTTTTGTAGGCTACCAACATCAGAGAGCGCGTCCGATGCTGCTGACTTCGATTGCTGACTTTCACTGTGTTTGGGATCGGTACTGGCGGTAAGAGATTGGCGGAATATTGGCCTTGCTGAGTCGGCAGCGTTGGTGATGGGTGACCCCTCCCTTTCCTTGTTTTTCTCGGTCGCGTGACCATTTGGTTGAGCCCCAACAGCTTGGACTGCTTCTCTCGACACGTCGTGTTCTGTGCCTGTAGGTGACTGGGCTGGCGAGAGCTGGCGTAGCGATGTATTATCTTGGTTTTCGTCCAATATAGCAGCAACAGACGAAGCTCGGTCGCCTTTGTTATGTGAGATACCAGATTGGAACCAATCGCGCGATGTTTGGTTCTCGTGCTGTATTCCTGACATGTCAGATATACGCTTCGACATAACAGGCCTATACGCGCTAATAAGCTCATGTTCGGACTCAGACATAGCCGATGTAGACGTGTTGTCATCGTTGTCTTTTGCTTCGTCCTCTTCAGGTACTGCGAACGGGAGGGCCATGACTGGAGAAGTTGGCGGGACAGAGGATCTGAGGCTGCTTCTAGCCGGTACGAGCGGCCGGTCTGTATCCAAGATGTCATTGCCAGTGGCAGCCGTGTCATGATTGCTGATCTGCGTGTGCGGTATCGGATTGCCCTGAGCGTCGATATGGTGAATGGCGTCGTCTTCGAGTACGTTGACAGTGAGTTTCGATTTGGCTGGCGTATCGGTGTCAGTCGATCGTATAACACCACTCTTAGCTACGTTGACCAATTCCAGGCTGTCGTTGGGAGAGACCTCTCTTTCCTGAACATGAGTCGAGTCCTTCAAACTTGCACCAGAGGATTCTGGCATGCCCTTTTCACCGTAGGTAGACTCCCATTGCGCGCGTTCCCGTTGGAAGCTGTCTTCAATACTTTTACCGAGTGCTGTTTCCACGCGATCCTGATCCTGTTGTTTCTCAAGCTGATGGGCTACACTCTTTTCACGGTGCTCTTTGACCAATTTCCAAACACGGAGCTGCGACACAATGCCGAATACCGCGATTATGAAGACTCCGGCCAACTCAGCCTTGATGTGTTTAGTAAGAGGATATGTATTGGTGTTCAGCGGGAAAGTATTATCGTTGAGATCTTCTAACGTCAGCGTTTGTTGAAAGTCAAAGGGGTTTTCACTCACTCCACAAATAAAGCCAAAACTCTTTCCAGCCTGTGCTGCTAAGGCAGTCGATGCCAAGTACAGTAGCCGTGGCGCCCGAGAATGAGATGGATGCGATGAGACCGTAGTTACGAGTATAATGGCTGAACGACAAGGAATAGCCTCCGGCACTCATGCACCCAATGAATATTGCGCGTCCAGTTGTCGAGGCGATTAATCCGCCTGCTTTGAGGCTGAGAAACCACATGCTGAGGCAGAAGCCGCCTAGGAGACAACCGAAGCCTTCAGTGATATCCGAAAATACCAGTGATACGCCACCACAGATCATGCCGGTAATGAATGCTGCAACGAAGAAGGCACCTTCTATGGCATTAGTAACAGGTGGACTCATGAGGTAAATGATGAGAACGGTCACTGCAAGTGCACTCAGGTATGCAGCAGAACCAAAAACATAGATCCTAGCCTTCGTAAGTTGATGCCGGGATATGCACGATAATGCACTGACCATTTGTTCTTGAAACCAATGGTAGCATAGACTATACCGGTGAGAATTAGTACCACGCCGCTTATGCCCATAGCCGGTGTCAATTTTGGCTGATATGGCAGTAAGGTCTGAGAATCGACTGCTACATAACCGTATACATCAGCTTCAACGTCTTGGTACTGTTATTGACAGACATACCAGCAGAGGCCGACGAGGTCGGCGCAGTGGAAGTGGTTGCATAGGATGTGGTCACGGCGGGTACCGAGCTCGATGAGCGGACTGAGGTACGTGCTGCCGATGAGGAGCTATCGGACACTGTCTGCAGTGAGGCAGATGTTTGAGACGGCGTGATACTAGACGAAGACCGTGAAAGTCCAGTCTCCGTTGTCGTAGGCGATTCAGACTCATTCTGTCTACGCACGGCTGAGTGAGGAACTCCGACCACTAACTGCAGACACAGGAAGAGCGCCACGCAGAGAACGAGGCAGCGATGGGAACGCATGGCGAAGGTGTAGTGGAGGGTAAGTTCTAGCGATGGATATAAGCCATCAAATTATCATTAGGTGTTTCGAGGTTGCGTCTCGATGATGTCCAGGCAGGAAGGCACGGCTTGAATATCCGACGTGAGAAACGACAGCAAGAAAGAACGAATGAACGATGAGAATGAATAAACGAGTGGATAGCGGTGAGGCGGAACAGTACCTCACGCTGAAAAAAAGAGCGAATAAACGAAAGTCGACCTAGACACGTAGCAAAGTTGACGTGCTGGTATGCAAGAGAGGTGCAGAAACAGGACTGGACAGGCAGGCGCAACGGTCATTATCTAAGAGACGTCCAACAAACTTGGACAGAGATCGACAGCAATTCCTGGCACGGCGGGTCGCAAACGCGGCGTCGTAAGATGGATTAAGGCAAGCTGAACCTTGGAGTCCCGTCATGGCATGGTGGCGTCAAACGGTGCTCGACATTGGGACGTCCTATCCTGCGAGTGGTATTGAGAGTCCTTGATGACCCCCAAAGAGATTGCAGTCGTTCGCTACCGTCAACTAATATTCTTAAAACGGTGAAGCTAGGGAATGGCTGCCGTCCAATTACTCGAGCATAACGTCTAGAAGAGTTGCCGGTGGTTGAAAGGCCCTCAATATTTTCCATGCTGGTTCATATTGCAAACTCCTGTTGTTTCGGACTGCAAGCCTGTAAGCTTGAGTCCCATGTATGTCTGTGATCCTGATCAACATCTGCATTAACCTGTCAGTCTGCGCACATCCGATGCATGGGGAGGTTGGGGATGGGAGACGCGGCGAGGGGCACGGGAAACAATAGGTCTTAGGCCAATCGGGTTTGAGCAAAAGCTAAATTCGTAGGGCTGCATTTCCAGCTACAGGGGCAGCCGGCCAGCCACATGTGCATAACCAAGGAAGGGGGTGCATAAATCATGCCCCTCCTCGGGTGATATTGTATCACCACGCAGTTATCGCGACACTGAAGTCTTGTTCAGAGAGGGAAAGTACTTACATTCTTACTTCGCATACACGCGTGTTTTGGTCCAATCTCCGATGACGAAAACGTATGGCTGTAAACGGCACGGATAAATGGTCCTGATGTGCAATGATCTCCCCGGAGCCGATGATCCAGTTCTGAGTCCTGGTCGGATGCGCCGGAAAACCGCCGTCGACAACCCCATGGTGTGCCTGACACTACGGTCGAGGTCTGCCTGTCAGTCGCTGTCTCGAGTTTCAGTTTCGATACGAATGTGCATGAGATCTATTACAATCCAATCAATCCACCGTTCGCTACGTACCTACAGGCTGCAAAACTCATGGTTCCCGGTCGCGAGTAGATCCATCGCACGAAGCGAGTCTGTCGCTGCCCTTTGTCGTGGGAAGTTGGCGAAGTAGTGTGGGTCACTGAAATTGCCAATAAATGTTAAGGGTTCAAAATAATCTCACACATTACGTACATGCCGGACCTTGGACGAAGACTTTTTCATTGCAACACACGCATCAGTCAAGAGGGGTAGATCTCGAGTGTGTTCACCAAGACACGTTGTGAGCTTCCTCCAAGTAGAAGCTACTAATTCTGTGACGACCCGTCCCTTTTCGTACCGAGCACGATTGTGGCGCCTAGGCTAGTCAATATTGGTCTGGCGGAGCGTAGCGCAACTTAGGAAAACGCGTGATGGTTCACACTGATCATTGCTAGTGACTTCTCGAATTGAACAACCGACATTGTCTTAGTTCTCCACCAAACAACAGCTATCAACAGCTCCAAACCCGGCTGCCACCCCTCCTTCTTCGCTCTGGTCGCCTTTTGTGCGGAGAAGATATCCAGCTTCCCAATTCTCCAGAATTTCACCCTTCGATTCATCTCCGAATCCATCTCTCCACAGACAAACTCCGTACACCCCAAGCTCGCAGATGACTCCTCCTCTCTGTAGCTCTCCGTTGCGAAGGATTGCATTTTTCAGCGGTGGTGGTTCAATCATCTCCATTAATATGTATGCTGGCCAATGTGTTGGTGGAAGCTTCTCGAGAAATGGAGGGATGGCTTTTCGGTAAATGTTATTTCCACCTCCCTCTCGTTGAGGCTTCAGAACATATCGTGTAGCCGAGGAAACGTCAGTGGCGAGCTTTTTTGCTTCCTTTCCGGCTTCGCTGTCATCGAGTGGATAGATGGGAGCAAACGTTGTCAACAACCGGGATGCAACTTCTACGTTGGAGATGAAGCGCTTCAGGTGCGGCGAGTGCGGTGTTGCTAGTACTTGCTGGACTTTCTTGCAGCCGGCAAGCTGTGTCAAGATGCTTGGGCATTTGATCGCTCGACTCTTCTCAAGCAATAAACGCGCTGTCCAGTCTTCTTCCTTTGGATAGTCGTCCGGCGAGTATCCCGCTCGGAAGTAGATCGTTGTCACTTCAAACGATTTAGAAGGTGAGTTCGGTGGTGTATATATGAGCGTTTGATCCGAGGCTAGACTTGTGTGCGAGAGCGTCTCTCCGAAAGGCAAGCGGAAAGAGCGAACCCCACCCTCTTCCAGAAGAGCATACTCTAGGTGTCTCTGATCGAAGACATTCCTTTCTGGGTCCTGTACGACGAAAAGCACACACAGAGGACGGCCAGTTCGGGAAGATCCATATGCCTTGTGTGCAACAGCGAGGCCTTTAGCAAGAGACGAAGCTGATTTGCTTTGTCGAAGAGCATCGGCCTTGATAACGGAAGAGGTTGAAGACGGGTATGCATCGAGGGTAAGCAGGTGTCTATGCAAAGCGGATACTTGAGATGACAGTCCTCCAAATGAGGATGCGATGGTGTTGAACTCAACCTGCTTCAGTCCAGGAGTGGCATCGGGTTGTGCAGGATCTTTGTGGACCATGTAGTCCGACCGAAAGAGGCCCAGAGAAAGGTCTTGGACATAGCCTTCCTTCTTTACTGCCAGGTGAGTCTGCCAGAGCTTTCCAACAAAATCGTCGATTTCAATCAATTCTTCGACAATGCCCTGCAGCCACTTCTCGTCCCTTGCGATTGCTGAGTAAAGTTCATTATATGCTCTCTGTATTGCCAGACCTTCTTCGAAGCAAGATCGTGGAAACAAACTGGGGAAGACTGTAACCGGTGCTGTTGTTGCGAGTACGCCGGAAGGGTCTTGAGATGGCTGAACAAACGATGGAGCCGGGCGTACCGCAAGCCCATGAGCTATTGACCAATCTTTGAGTTCCGAGAGCAAGTACTGTTCCTCTTCTCGAGATAGTTCTGGGGGGTATTCGCCTTGCGATATCGATGCCATGCTTGCTAATTTCTGATCGTTCGCTGTTGACGGCTGTGTTTGATAAAGGTGAAGTCACCCGTATGAGACCTTCAAGTGCTCCCCGCGCTAGGGAGGGATTTCCGTCCGCCCCGCTGTGTCTGACAAAGCAAACGCATCGTATTGCGTTTGAGCACGTCATTTTTCAAGATGCGACTCAAACCGCAACTGATATCTGGAAGATCCGCAGAAGTAGCCCACGTCGCGCCAACGTTCGCGCTCTCACGTGACAGCTTGTGTTTGTTTGTTCGCCCCACGTTAGACATGCTGGGCTTCTCACTTCTCACCTCTCACCACATCCTCCATGATAAACTTATTGTGCATTGAAGCTTGACACAATAGTTCTTCAGCTCGAGAATGCCATACAACGCACAGAGAGAAACATCCCACTCGGCAGTACACAAACGTCAAAGGCGTAAACACAAGTTGTCCACGGCTCAGCAGTACGGACGATTCAGGTCATGCACTTTTGACCAAAAACACATTTAATGAACATGGCGGACGATCCCTGGGTTTGGACGCTAGACGAACTTGTTAACAGACTGTGTCACTCGAAGACTGTGTTCCTGGCTGCAGGCTGCGAAGATGCCAGCATACCTGATTCAGCAGCACTTGAACGTCAATTTCGAAGTCAGAACATCACAGGCGCCACGTTTCTTGACGCGCTGCATCGTCCGGAGATACGACATGGGTTCACGGTCCACAACCTAGACCAACGGTTGGCGATAACATCGGTAATTGGTTTCCTTCAAAGTCAATCTTGTGCATACAAGCAGAAGAATGCTACGGGTACTCGGACTCTCGGCGATCTTGACAACATTGATATGAATGGACGCAAGCGCCAGAAATTGACGAACGTGGGTTCTGCCGCTCTGCCCGTCATTCGACAAGATCCACAACATGCAGTGCCTGGAACGGGAGACTGGGACCATCTATTACAATGGGAACAGGTGGACAATGGCGACGAAACAATAGAGGATTTGGAGGAAGAAGACGATACGGGTGATGAAGACGACGAAGACGCTGAGGCCCCTCTAGAAGACGCTCATAGACGCGGACTGAACGACAGGCACGATGAAGCACACGACCGAAGCAAGATAAGTCACGATCAGATTGTCGAAATCATAAACGAACGTATCGAGAACTACACGGCATCCTGGAGGCCCGACAAAGAAAAGGACACTACATATGATCCAGTAGCCATGTGGGAAAAAGCGAACGCAGCAGGTCAACTTCAAGAATTTGTGAAAAAGTATGAGAACGACATGGCCTATTACGAACAACGTCTTAACACACTCTGTGACGAGATCCTGAAGTTTCCTGGGAATAACGTAGTCACTGTGCGCCTTCAATGTCGAAACCTCGAGGGTACTGTTGAGTCGTTGGAATTGGCGACATGGCTTCGTGATATCTACCAACTGCATCCTGTCGATGACAGCGAAGAGGAACTAAGTCCAGATTCAAGTTCAAGTCCTAGCATCCATCGCGATGCAACCGGGTCGATGTCACAACCAACATTACTTACACATCGACCACAACCACAACTCTCCGGGGAGATTATCGATCTTGGCTCACCATCGGAATCATCCGATAATGATCAAGATGACGATGTGCCCGTTGATACTTCTACAGACCCTGGAGTAGACGTCGACAGACACCAGTCGACTTCTCCTCGCCGATTTTATACCCCGGATTCCGTCATCGTTGATACAGTTGAACCTTCCACGCACGTCCGATCAGAGATTCTCACACACACTCAGCCCAGGCCTCCTTTGATAGTTGACGCTGCCGTCTCATTTCCCCCGCAAGAATTTATTGGCGATGAACCGGAGCACTCATCGATTGGAACAGTACGTGGCTGGAAATGGACGGATCTCATCAACACTCAAGACCGAAAAAGGATCGTTTCGAAGGCTGTCCTGGAGCTAAACTCAGAAAACCGTGAGATGATACGCACGCGACTCAAGTTTGTTGGCAAAGTCAGCCTAACAAAAGAGATCAACGCCTGCATTGCAATGATGGCGAAAAAGGAAACAAGAATGCAAGGCGTGCTACCGAGAGATCTTCCAAAAATCTTGGTTTTCACTAGATTGTTTCTGTCTTGGTGGCTGTCTCAAAGATTCTCCACAGCGGAACCGTCAAACTCGGATCTCGAAGAACTTTCGCAGTGCCTGGAAAGAGGAAGAGCCCCAGATTTGAGTGTGTTTTGCGACTACCTCGCCATCATCATGGCGACAACATTTAGTCTGGAGGCGTTGAAACACCCTGAACGGCCCTCGCAGAGGGAAGTCATCAATTTGATCTCCGATGATGAAGATGATACACACAGGCCAAAGAAAGCTTCAGTTTTACGAGCCAACTCTCCTATCGTCCTCGACTGACATCACGAAAAAGCTAGGCGGGGGTGTGAATCAGGCGTTGACACCAAAGCCGACTGTTGTTCTGTGTTAGTTTGCCTGAATGAGTGAAAGCAGGGCTCATACAAAGGCGTTCAGGCGAAGTTCTCTCATGTATACCCCCTTGCCGTTATATTTATCTGGCTTCTTGTACGAATTCATTAGAGGAAACCACCCAATAAGCAAGTCAAATATATTACTATCTTTGGACACTGCTTGTGGCAAAGTATTGCGAACTTGGTTGCCAGATCCGTTCATGATGCAGCCACCATAAAAAATTACCAGTGTGACAGGGCAAAGCACTAGCTTGCTTCCACGACAGGCATAATGCTGATCTCTTGAGCGCACCTCGGATATGCACCCCACAGTGGTATACCACAGATGTGGTAGAGATCGACAAGAACATCCTGGGGTAAATGCGTGCCGATAAGGAATAATGCCGAGCACTATATGGAGCATTGGCGACTGGTCTGAGCATCATTGGGATGCTTGGTGCGGAACCACCACCACTTGGACTGAGAGAAGCTGACATACGGCCACACTCATCCCCACATATCCGAAAGCATGTCTGACATGAATCTACCAATCTACCACCGGCTCTCGGGATACCAATCCCGATCACATGACGCATGTCTAGGAATCTTGTACCACCACTGTCATGTGACCGGGATTGTCATCATCCCAAGACCCGGTGGAAGTACTGCATATCAGCAACAGAAGTTGAAGAAGTTGCCCTTGAAGCATGTAGATGTTGGAGGTTAGGTTTGATCTTTAACTTCAAGACATGGATGATGTAATTGCTTGAAAGCTATTGAAATTGTTGATTGACACATGTTTAAAGTTCAAGCTACGCTGCAGTCTTTGCAGCTTACTTAGGCGATTTAGTGTCTGGCGTGTGGCGAATTATCGTAGCCGCTTGGGTTAACTTTGCCTTAATCCATAAGAGACTCCTTCGGCAGATAGTCCACACAAAGATCTGCACTATTTGAACCTTTTGTTGTGACGTTGAACCGCGGCATGCTTTGAGAGGCAGGATCAAGTCGGGCCTGGAGCAAACGAGAGTTGCAATTACTTGGGCAATACTACGTTTCTACTGTGTAGTCGAAGTGTCAAACACGCTAGCGTAGAAGCTTATCCCTGTCGTCACTCGTGGATCATGTCGTACGTCGTATGTTTCGGACGCCATGGACCGTCGGAGCTGATTAATGTGGCATCGGCGAGATTTCCTTCGCGTGGCCAATGACACTCGACCCATTTGATGCCGAAGACCGGGGCCGAGTGACCCTAGCTTTCATCTCATCTGCATATGAATTGATTTCTGTGTGCCTCTGACATCCTGGACCTTCCTCACCTTTTACTCACCCTCTCCTTCTTTCCACCACTGTATCACACTTTACCACTCCAGAACCCGCGCCATTGACCAGCATGGAGTCTCTCTTGCGCCAATCGAGGTCTATGTGCCCGTTCCTCCATAAAACGTCCCCCGCCACTCTGCGCTCGCTCTCGACGACCGCCTCGACCCACCATGTCTCTCCCAGTGCAGGCAGCATGTCGAACCTCCAGGTGCTCGCCAAGCGCTGCCCAATTATGGGCAAGGCGCTTGCCGTCCAGAGTGCTCGCATTGGCAACAACGCCCTCGCCGGCGCTTTCGGAGGCGCGCGTGCCTACCACTCCCGCGTCAATCGAGCCAAGCTGCACACTTCTGCGGATAAGAAGGCTCAGATTGAGGATTTGAGAAGCCAGCAGGGTATGACTCCCGCACAGAATACTCGATCCCTACGCCATTCGCGCATTGCCTCATCCATAATCAATGACGACGTGCAAGACTAACCCTGTGGCAGGCTCTGTTCCTTACCCGCATGCTGCTCAGAAGCCGGCAACCGCCAAGCCTACCCACGCCGGGGTATCGTCTGCTTCCAAAGCCGCCCAGTTCGACTACGAGGGTTTCTACGAACATGAGCTCGATAAGAAGCACAAGGACAAGTCGTACCGCTACTTCAACAACATTAACCGCCTGGCTAAAGAATTTCCCCGCGCCCACAAGGAGTCTAAGGAGGACAAGGTCACTGTGTGGTGCTCCAACGACTACCTCGGCATGGGGCGCAACCCGCAGGTGCTGCAGTCTATGCACGAGACTCTGGACGACTACGGAGCGGGTGCTGGTGGCACCAGGAATATTTCCGGCCATAACCAGCATGCAGTGGCATTGGAAGATAGCATTGCGAAGCTACACGCCAAAGAGGCCGCGCTGGTCTTTTCCTCGTGCTATGTTGCCAATGATGCCACCCTGGCGACTCTTGGTAGTAAGATGCCCAACTGTGTCATCCTCTCCGACAGTCTGAATCATGCCTCAATGATTCAGGGTATCCGTCATTCTGGCGCAAAGAAGTTGGTTTTTAAGCATAATGATGTCGCCGACCTTGAAGCGAAGTTGGCTTCCATCCCCCCAGAGTGCCCCAAGATTATTGCTTTTGAGAGTGTCTACAGTATGTGTGGGTCTATTGGTCCAATTGAAGAGATCTGTGATCTTGCTGAGAAGTACGGCGCAATCACCTTTTTGGATGAAGTCCATGCTGTTGGCATGTACGGACCACACGGCGCCGGTGTCGCAGAGCACCTTGACTACGAAGCCCACAAGGCTGGCAAGCCCAAGGGAACAGTTCAAGACCGCGTAGACATTATTACCGGCACTCTTGGAAAGGCCTATGGCTGTGTTGGTGGCTACATTGCTGGCTCTGCCAAGCTTGTTGACACGATCAGATCGCTCGCTCCGGGATTTATTTTCACAACGTCCCTCCCGCCCGCAACCATGGCAGGAGCCAAGGCCGCTATTGAGTATCAAACCGAGTACCAGGGCGACAGGCGTCTCCAGCAGCTGCACACGCGTGCGGTTAAGGATGCCTTGAGCGCAAAGGATATCCCAGTCATCCCGAACCCGAGTCACATTGTGCCTCTCCTCGTTGGCAACGCAGAGGTAGCCAGGAAGGCTTCTGACCTGCTACTCGAGGACTGGGGCATCTATGTTCAGGCCATCAACTATCCCACCGTCCCTGTAGGCCAGGAACGTCTCCGTATTACGCCTACGCCTGGTCACGTGCGCGAGTACCGCGAGCACCTAGTTGAAGCTGTTCAAGCTGTGTGGGCGCAGCTGGGCATCAAGCGCACCAGTGACTGGGCCGCCGAGGGAGGCTTCATTGGCGTAGGCGAGGCTGGCAAGGAGGATGTTGACCCACTTTGGACCGACGAGCAGTTGGGGGTCGATGTGGTGTTCAAGGAGTTGAAGGCTGGCCAAGGTGCTACTGGCATCTTGGAGGCAGTTCTTGAAAGCGAGCGCAAGGCTACCGCTCAGGTTGTCGCCGCGGCTGCTTGAGCTCTTGGAGTATGAGCAGGTAGTGCCATATGTGAGATCTGGATAGCTGCGCACAGTATACGACTACGTCCAACAAATCAATGCTATCTATTTATCTCAATTGTTTCTTTCATGCACCGTGTCTTTGCAGTGAAACGCGTCGCCCTCTGTAGTGCAATGACTTTGTTCAGTATTGAGCACGGACCATCAGGCTGGTGACGCTAACACTGTATCTTCGACAGCCTCATCAAGCCCAGCTTCTTTCAACCGCGCCTTTCATCGACACCCAAAGGCAACCGTCCGAGTCTACGCGTTGCTGACCCCGTTCAATCGCGGTCTCTCTCGCAAAATCGCCACGGGTATATTGTTTCGCCGCGACACCGCTGAGCTGTGCATGCTCCGCACGTAGTCCGCCGAAGCTCGACCCACGCTGGTCTCTCGACCTTGAGAGCGCAGCACCATGGCTCCTGGACGCAAGAGGCCACGGTCAGACCGCCCCTACCCACAGGAAGACGACCGGAACTCTCGTCCGTCGCCACATCGGCCGCAGAGCCTTTCTCTGTCACACAATCAGCAGCAGCACCAGCACCAGCAGCAGCACCAACAGCATCCGTATCAGCACCAGCACCAGTACCAACAGACAAACAGCCCGCGCGGTGGTGGTGGTGCGAGGCGCCAGAGCAGGAACAGCGGGCGCGGCGCCTCCAGCGTACCACAAAGCCCCAACGTCCCGCACGCGTCTCCGTCAGCCATGTTCCCGCCCGCGAATGCTCACCATCCCAACAAGCCCGCTCATGCGACCCCAACGGTCTCGGCGCTGCCAAGCGAGCCTTCGACGCCCACGCCTACCCGCGACGTCCCAGAGAGCAACGAGTACCTCACACCGGAGCGAGTCGCCCACTGGACAGCCGACGCGAGGAATGCCGTCATCCAGGCTGCCGTATCGGCGCGGCGCGAGGGCGATGTCTTCACGCTTTCGGTCGTGTTCCACGAGATCATCGAGGCGGCCCTGGATCACTTGATGAGCTCAGTAGAGCTCGGCTCAATCGTCCGCGACATTGTCGCTGCCCCCGCCGGCGAGCTGCTTGACCCGGTCGCGACCTTCCTCGACACGGTAAGCTCGCTAACAAATGACAAAGAGAGGCAACCGCTCGTGCGGCAGCTGCTCGTCGCGACAGATACTGATGTCGGTCGAATACGCTCCGAGCTCGAAAGCGATGCGCTCATCAACCTTGGGTTGGTTCGACCGAGCTTCCCTAGAATGGCCGTCCGCAAAGCCACCCACGCACTCTATCGCCAGTCAAACTACAACCTCCTCCGCGAAGAAACCGAAGGCTACTCGAAGCTCATGACCGAATACTTCACGACGGTGAACAACGAACCTCCAAGCCAGGAAGTCGTCAGCGAGACATATCAGCGAGTCAACGCGCTGATTGGCGCCTTCGACATGGACATTGGCAGAGTTCTCGACGTCACTCTGGATGTCTTCGCCAACCTTCTTGTCAAGCACGGCAAGTTTTTCGTCAAGCTACTCCGGTCGAGTGCATGGTGGCCCGAGCTGCGCGGACTCGAAGGTATCGAATGGGAAGAGCCAGATGTCTCAACACTCCCCACATGGGCCCAGCCAGAGTCGCCGCTGTGGTACTGTTCCGAGCAAGAGAAGGCAGAGCAGCTTCAAGTACGGGATCAACGAGACCGAAGGTTCTGGCAACGTGTAGGCGAATTGGGCGAACGAGCAGGCGTTCAGGCATTCTACGAGCTTGGTGCTCGTCGCATCGTCTCTAACAACAGGCCCCCGGACCAAACGCTGCCCGCAGAAGGCGCTGCACTCTCAAAGCAGCAGGCTGCGCGGAAGTGGGCAGACGAATGGATGGCGCAGACCAAAACTCTTCCACCTCCCAGCAATGATACCGCCGCTCAACTTCTGGGCTTCAAGCTCCAATTCTACGCCTCCGACGCTCGCGAAGCACAAGACTTTCTGCCCGACAATCTCATGTACTTAGCTGCCTTGTTGATCAAGATTGGCTTCATCTCCATATTGGACCTTTACCCGCATCTATACCCACTGGACGAAGACATGCCTGCACACAAAGACAAATTAATGAAGGCGAAGAAAGAGAAGGAAGAAAAAGATAGAGGACGAAGCGGCAATGCGCTTGCCATGGCTGCGGCCTTGCCAGACGAGACTCCATCCGGATTCCCGGTGGCCACTCGCCTCCGCGACGCGGACATGAGGACTTCAGCAAAGTTGGAACCAGAGCGAAGCACTTCCACCAAACCCGACGAGGCAACAGAGAAGAAAGCCGCTTTACCCGAACCAGCAGATCAGAAGTTCCAGCTGCTGAAGAGCTTGCTCTGCATCGGCGCCCTTCCCGAAGCCCTTTTCATCCTTGGACGTCATCCTTGGATGCTTGAGGTATACTCGGAACTCCCAGAGTTTGTGTTCCGGCTCGCACATCATTCGCTTAGCAAGGTTTATGAAACAACAAGGCCAACCTTGTCAGAGAATCTGTCAATGACGACCAAAGGTGCTGGTGTCCGGGCATCTGCAAGGCCAAGTGATTACATCCCCCGACGAACGCTCCGATGGGCAAAGCCTGACAAACAGGACGCTGGCGACGGTATCGATTACAAGTTCTACTGGGAAGATTGGATCGACAATATGCCCGTCTGTCAAGAGGTGGACGATGTCCTCAAGCTATGCACGACTCTGCTTGGGCTGATAGGACCTGAATGCGGCAAAGACATCGTTCTTCTGACGAAACTCGCACGCATCGCAAGGAAGAATCTCGCAGACGATCCCTCAGACGCAAACCGCAAGCGCTGGGTCGATTTTTCCATAACGTTTTTGGCACCCGCCCTCTCCTTTACGGGCATGAATCCTGGTGTCGTGAACGAGGTCTGGGAACTGTTCAAGCAATTTGACACCGCTACGAGGTACACCATATACCAGCAGTGGTTTTCCAGCACAAAACCTGCCATGCGAGCTCTGTTCAAAAGTATCAAGGATGAAACAAACCATTTGCTCAACCGCGTGTCTGCTGGAAACACCAAGGAGTACGGCAGGAAAATCGCCAAAATCTCTTACTCGAGCCCGGGAACCGTCTTGAGTTTGATCGTCATTCGACTTGTCAAGTATCCCAACATGATCGAAACCTTAGTGGAGTGTAGTAGATATCTCACTTTGCTGGGGTACGACTGTTTGACATGGACGCTAGTCAATTTCTTTATGAATCCTAACAAGGGCGGAACCCAAGATGATGGTATGTTGTCTTCAAGTTGGCTGAGGAATATCGCTTCATTTGTCGGCAAAGCCTACCAGAAGTACAACTTAATGGATCCGACTCCTGTACTTCAGTTCACCACACACCAGCTCTTGCGTCCGGAAGGCGAACTGTTCATGCTCGACGTTCTCGAACAGATGATCACGTCCATGGGCGGGATAGGCCTGAGCGGATCCCTCTCCGAGTCGATGGTCCTGGCACTCTGCGCTGGACCCTACCTACGCACCTACACCCTGCAACATCACCTCTCTGACAAGCGGCACCAAGCTGCTTCCTCTGCAAGACGCCTTGTAAAATGTCTGAAAGATACGGGTCTGGCACCGCAAATCCTTATTGCGCTTGCCCAGCAAATCGAAGCCTATGTTCACCGAGTTGACCAACAGGATGCTCCTGATAAGGTCGTACTCTTCAATACCGACAAGCTGCGTTCCAGTTTCTTCCAGTATCTCGAACTTCTCCGCTCATACATTCCCACAAGCGACTTTGAGGGTATCTTCCCTAGCTTGACCGAGATGATGGCTGAATTTGGCGTTCAGCCAGATATCGCGTTCACAGTTGTTCGTGCAAGCATAGCAGCGAAGGCCAATGCGTTTAGGTCCGCGAAACAGAGTGCCATCGAAGCTTCAGTGACCAATGGCGACGTTAGCATGAGCGGAACCGACAAGACACCTACCGACGATGATGCCACTGTCGCACAAGATGCATCTACAGCAAGGAAGGACACAGAAACGAAGGAACAACTTTCATCCACCGATGTCGATATGGAAGAGGCGTCTAACGACAAGAGTGTGGGAGCCACCACAACTGAGACACCATCAGCGGATATGCTAAATCCTGAGATCGAGAATGTTGTCGAGCAGCTCAAGGCAGCATTGCCAGACACGTTCGCCAATCACCCCTGCCTTTCCTTCTATGTCACGTTCTGGCAACTCTCGTTGCCGGAAGTTGACAATGTCGGAATCAAAAAGCAGTATCTCGACCTTATTGCAACATACGAGAGTCAACTTTCTCAGCCTACGGACCGTCGCGGATACAATCCTAGGATTCCCAAAGCGGACACTGAAAAGCAGCGCCGAGCAAGGGCGGAAATCCCTAAGCTAAGAGAGGAAGAACCTGTTGTTACGAAGACCAACGCGCTGATCCACGATCATCTGCAGATCGAAATGCTACGATGGTTTGATGGTTTCCAAATGGTGGATTCGCGATCAGACGCGCTTTACAACGCTCTTCTCCAGGATTGCTTTATCCCCCGCAGCCGCATGTCGCTACAGGAAGCGCAATTCGCATCTGCCATGCTCAAATTCATGCATAGGTCCGGTGTGCCCGGATTTCGCACCATTAAATTGTTGGATCTCCTCTTCAATGCCAACAAGCTTACATGCATCATCCGCATGTATTCAGACGACGAATCAACAAATTTCGGCCGATTCTTGGGCGACATCCTACGAGAGCTCAACACGTGGCATGAGAACAAAAATGATGCATATGTCAAATCGGCACATGGGTCAGACAAGAAACTCCCTGGGTTCGGGCGCCGCTTTGACGCAGATCGCAACACTACCGAGCACCTTGAGTACCAGGACTTCTGCAAGCTCCTATACAAGTGGCACAAGGCACTCTTTACTGCCCTCAAAAGCTGTATCGATAGCGGTAACTACATGGAGATCCGCAACTCGATCAACGTACTCAAAGCAGTCTCTCCAAGCTTTCCAATTGTCAATGTTATGGCCAACGAGTTGCGACAGCCGCTTGAACATATGGCTGTTCATGATGAACGGGCTGATCTGAAGGTAACGGCGACTTCCATCCTGGGAGTTTTCAAGAACGGCGAAAAGCTTTGGCAGACAGAGTCGAAGTTCCGGAATGTAAGTTCGATCAACGAAGTCCACATGCACCCAGCGACTGATACACGATAGGTCCCTGAACCACCTTCAATCACCAACGGGGCCAACAAGTCCACTTCTGAAAAGGCTCAAACACCGCAACCGTCGGATGCCTCAACGGCGAAGCTCAATGCAACTGCGTCTGCCTTCAACCCGAAACTCGAAACGTAAGTAATCGTTTATACAACGACCCACGATAACGACGCTGATTCGCCCTGTACAGTAACGGAGTGCAAAACGTACTAGCAGACAAACTGGGAGATGATACGCAAAGGCGACCTACGTCGACGCCTGCTACACCTGCACCGCTTTCAAGAGATCGAGATCCGGCATCGAGAGCACCTGAAGTCAAAGCACCTGGGACTGTTTCGTCACAACAAGACAGGATTCCTAGCAAGCCTGCAACCCCTGCTTCTTCGGCTTATTCATCTTCTGTGCCACTTCGACCCGACAACAGAAACATGCCCGTGCAGCACAACTCAGCCGGCAGAGCGTCGCATATCCTACCAATAAGGCCAGACTCGCAGCCCCCCAGGCCTCGACAGCCTGAGCGGCCCGGCAGTGACCGACAACATGACTATGGTTCTCATAGTCGACACGATCTCCGAGGACCTCCCCCTGACTATGGACGTTTGGAACGTCCTGGCGACGCTGTTCGCGACCGCGAACCATCACCAGGCCGTCGCCAGCCGCCTGGTCTTGATGGAAGAACTCCTGAGAGACTGTCTTCTGCGACTGATCGCCGCGAGTGGGCAGGACGAGATGTCAGAGAGTATGAAGATCGAACCATGCGAGCACCCTTGCGAGACGGTCGAGGCCCGCCAGCACGACCACCTCCCACTTGGGATCCTCGAGACACTAGGGACCCCAGAGACCAACATGAGCGCGCTGGTCCTCGAGGTCATTTACCGCCTCCTCATATGGACCCTTCACGAATGCACACAAATTCATCACTATCTCAGGACTATCCCTCACATCGGCGCGACGTACCGCCGTCGAATATTCATCAGAGTCTAGACCGTACAGACCGTGCGCAACCACGTCCCGTACCAGTCACGCCGTCTTCAGCGACCGATGGGCCCATGGTAAATCCGGCGCGTGCTGCTCTTATTTCCCAACAGGAGTACGGCAGGCACGAGCCCCCGAATGCCGATCGTGACAGTCGTCGTGATCGAGGTCCACACCCACAGTCTCCACGCCGAGTAGAGGAGCAACGCAGAGACGATCGCCACGGAGATGAACGCGCACCGCCTGCTTATCATGGTCGCAGTGAGGCACCTCGTGAGCATCGGGAAGAGCGACCTCAACCATACCTACCCAGTCGTGATCGTCGAGATGAGTCGGGTGGCACTCCTACAGGCCCTCGTGGAGGACGCAGCGAAGCTCCTCCACTACCGACCCGAAACCCCCGCGAAATGTTTCAACCCTCACAGGCTCCAAGGTCCTCGGGTCACCAAGCTCAGGACCCCAACTATGGAAGACTCAACCAACCTGCTGACCCCATCCCATCGGGCCCGCGAAGTGAGTCCACCATATCGATAAACGACACTCAAAGATTGACTCAGCCAGGCGAACGACCCCATACACAAGCTATGCCGCCTGGGCCTTTTCCACCTTCGGGTCCTGCAGTATCCCACGCTCCGGGCATTCATCCGAGTCGATTGGAGAACATCCAACGCGTGCCAGGCGGGCCGGGTGGACCAGGCGGACCAGGCGGACCAGGCGGACCAGGCGGACTTTCCCTCCAAACAAATGCTTCTAATGTTCCAAGCGGACCGCGAGGACCCTCTCGAGTACCCCAAGCCTCCTTGCCGTCTCCTGTGGGTCGCGGACCTCCCACTGGACCATCAGCTCCAGACCGAGGCCCAAGGGGCTCAGAAAACAGGAACGCCTTACGAGCTATCAACAATGTACTGACACTAAATGCACCTACTCCCGAGAAGCCGAGTGATCGCAACGCTCCTCCTCAACACCCACCTGTTCGCGGTCGAGGTGCGACTCGAGCCAACGGCCCTATGGACGGAGCATCTGAAACGACCAGCCCGATGCCGCCACCATCGCACGCTTCGACTCCCAATTCTCGCGCTGAGAACCAGCAGTCACGAAGCAGCAGAACGGAGAATCCACCGAGTCGCATGGATGGCACACCACACGAAGAGGTGAGATCGGAATCTCGCAGTCATCGAGATCATCGACGGAGTGAGCGATCAGGTGGTGATCGAACTCGCTCCCCTGACCGAAGCGAAAAGCGCTCTGAAGAGCGGAGCAGCCGTAGTGGCCCCACGGATCGTGTCGAAGGACAAGAAAGAGGATCTGACCGTGAGCGCGGCCGGGAGAAAAGAGGCAGCGACAGAGAGAGCAGCAGACGAGATCGCGGAGGAGAAGGCGAACGAGCAACCCGTGATGCAGAGCGTTCTGGACGTGAGTCCCGCGAGTCGCGTGACAGTAGACGTGAACGCGGTTCTCGTGACGATGGACGAACGTCTGGGCGCGACGAGCGAGATAGACGCAGCAGGGGAGGAGGAGGAGCAGGTGACGATAGGAAGAGGGGACGCGACCCAACTGACCAAGCGCATGGGGATATGAAACGGAGACGGTAGGAACGTTATGACAGCGCGGGATCGTTTTTATTTTTGCATTATTGATTTGCTAGTTCAGGGATATGGGACAAGACTGCATTGCACGGCGTTGAAGGTACGATACCCCGAGCAATCGTCTCGAGCGAATTTGGCTGGGTAGCATTTGTCACGGAGTCTGTTTTTTTTCGAGTGGGCCATCTTCGGATGCATTTCTGGCATACAGTTGATCATCTCTACTATTGTTTTCTGGTCGACATGTACAAAATAAGAATAGGTGGTGGAACTTGGTAAAAGGATAACGCTAGAGTCGAAGTAATTACAATAATCTGTTGCGCTCACTTTTCGATGACTCGGTTATCTTTGCATATGGAGCCTGTTGGTTGAAACGGATACTCAGACTTTATGTGACTGCTACAATTTCCACATCCACATCACTCCTTCCCAAACTCCCCTTCTCACTCTTCAGGAAGCAGTACACATCATTCCACCCCCTTCGGTCAATGCCTTTGCCTAGATCTATTGCATGTAGCTGAACCCCATACCGAAAAGTTTTATGTCACCAAAAGAACGCTGCCCATTATATACAAATTACACGACGTCTCCAAGAGCAAGACATCCCTACTCCTCCATAGCATCATCCCCCATGTCCGGTGCACCACCTATGCCTTTGCGCTCCTCCCCCAACTCCCCATCCCAATCCCACTCAACAACCACATACTCCGCCTCAGCCCTGACCTTCTCCCCCAACCGATCCCGCACATCCATCAGTGCCTTACCCAGCAGATTCAGCCCCCACTCCCTCCGATGGCTCTCCGCATGATTAGCATTGAACCCCACGCCCCACACTCGATCCCTACTCGCCGCCTCCACCAATTCACGCTCCCCCGTACCAAGCAGCACATCCTTCATCGCCCGGTTCGCAGGGTGCGTAAACTTGTACCAGTTGCCCACCCGCGCCACGCGGCTCTTCACGACATCCCACTTCATCTCATCGAAGCCTGCGACTTGCTTGCCGAGCCTCTTCTGCTCTTTGGGATCGGACGTGGCCATGATAAGCGTGCAGGATGGTTCGTCGGAGAAGTAGATGGCCTTGCAGAACATGAGGAATTGCTCGGCGCAGGAGAAGGTTATTGTTGGGCCGTACTTTGAGAGTATGGTTGAGGCGTGCATAGTGATGTTTCGGCGAGGAAGTTGAGGTACGTGGTTGGTACGACGATGGGGGATGCGCGCCACTGGCAGAACACGCCGTGTGGCTTGTCGTTGGGCATGTAGAAGAAGATTGTGTCTGATTTCTTTGCACGGTTGGCGGTGTTGGCCTTGCGTTTTGGAGGCATGAGTGGTAGATTCTTCGGATCGAGTAGATGTGGGCTGTGAGTTTGATCTGATGCGTGATATAAACAGTGAAGGTCGATGTTATAAATCGCCCAAGTTATTCGGAGTGTCGGACATGATCAGAATATATGGATCGGTCGACTTGGGCTAAGGGGTAGTGAACCATGGTACATCAAGGGCGCAAGCAATGAGCGCAAGAAGGGCGGATTCTGTGACCTGCAAATGAACCATATATGTCGATAGTATGAGTCAGTCCAAGAAATATTTATTGATACTCCTGAGTATAGAGCAGAGTTAGCACCTGGACATAGGTAGCCCTGCAGGCGAGAAGGGAGGTTCCTTTGCTATATCTTGATACCTATGAGTGGGTGAAAATGCACCGCTTACGATTCCTGTACCATCCCGACCGCTCGGCATCATTTTCAAGAGTTGAATATCCGACTGTATAGCTTCTCGTGTCTTCCAACCCAAAGATCCATAACCGGCACACTCTGCCCAGCATCTTCCACCGACCTGTGCCATCCTTCATCGACCAGCCCTCGTATCCTGTCCTGCAATTCTGCACTCGCGAGAACCGCTTGCGCTTGATATGGCCCCATGACACTCGCGCGAACAGCCGCACTGATAACGGTCCGCGCATGAGAGAAAAGAAAGAGGTACGCGGAATCGTGTAGCGGGACAGAAAGAATCTTGGTGACTAAGCCCCACAGCGGCGCGAGATGAGCGTTGGTCTGCTCTGATGTGCGGAGAGTAGATGAGAATGCTTTAAGAACATTGATAGCTGATAGATTGCTCTCTGCCTCGTCTGCCTCATGCCCGCTGTATTGCGTTTTGAAGCTGCGATCCCAAACGGTTAGTAGCGCCCGTCCTTGTGCTATGCTCGCCCGCCGTGCCACCGTGCAAGGTGTGCTCGCATCAAAATCATTATCGAGCGTTTCTATCTCTTCTGGGTGTCGATATCCCGTTAGTACGTACGGGAGCGCGGTGCTCGCTAGGGTCGACAGTGAGAGGCGGAGAAATGTGTTGAAAGAGGGCAGCTGCGACGCAGACGGCGGCGATGGCCTGTGATGAGCGAGATAAGACTCCAGGCCACTACTGAAGGCAAACGAACCTAGCGGCAGCGCTGAGTCCGAGAGCAGAAGTAATGCATGAAGAGCTGATTGTTGTTAATATTGCGACGGGCAAAGAAGGGCGACCACGTGCCTGCATCTTTCGCTGGTGGAGGAACTACAGTATCGCTTTGATGCAACTGGGCCCTGGCATCTTGAAGACGCCGTTCAAGGTCGGCTATCTCATCTTTCAGAGCACCTTGGTCTAGAGATAGTGAAGTCATCGAGTGAGTGTTGAGGAGGATACACACGAGATGAGTGCCTCGGTTAGTCGAAATACCATGAACTAAGTTACAGCGGGATTTTGTTACAACTAGACAACTACATCGAAAACTAGTGTAGCATTCTCATACCTAGAGTATCAGCAGTATACGCCCGGCATGCAGATCTTGTAAAAAAAATTCAGTAGGTTCTTGAGGCTTGTTGTAGGAGCCGCAAAGAACGCAGCTTACTTGCCGTTTTTGCATTTGGCTACATCACAGTATCACGACGTACAATTCACCACACGGGCTCGTTCTGATTGGAAAACAATGGATACAAGGACACATGTGAATTTTCTTGTTCATCACCTCCAAATGTTCTACAGTCGCGTAATCATGTTATTCGTAACCAATCCAAAACCAAACGCCAAACAGCCTGTGATCGCCTAAGACTGTGAACCAAGTCATACTACCCAAGAATAACCCAGAAATCCTAACCAGTTGTGTAGCCAACACGGGTATTGTGTAAAGAAGAAGCGCCAATATGTAGCGAGTTCATGTCCAACTAATCGTCGACATGTTCGCACGGAGTCCTATCGCGCTTATGTCTAAGCCTCATCCATCTTCTCGTCCTCTTTCGGGCTGTTCTTGGGAATGTCGGCGAACATAGATGCGCCCTTAGCTGTATCGAAGTTCTTGGAGCTTGTCTTCTTAAACAGGGTCTGTGGCTTCGACCTAGGTTCGCGTTAGTACCCTTCCACTACGCAGATTCATGGGCGACTTACTTCTTCATGACGTGCTTGCTGCGGAAGTCACTCAGCTTCTGTGTAGCTGGCGACATGATCTCATCTGACGGGGATACGTATTTCTGCTCCCTGATCGTGCGTTAGTACTATGCGATAGTGTACAAGACGCGTACTCACGGCTCATCCTGCATACGCGAATGCAGAACCTGACGGTGGTATTCAAGGCTCTTGGGCTGGTCTTGCTCCGGTGATAGGGTAGGCTTGACCTGGGTGTTGGTGTCGCGGTTGCTGAGTACGTTGGACGACATGGCTTCGGGCGGTTTGTGGTAGAGTTATTTCTGAAATCAAAGTTTGTTGGTGGAAAGTCGAATGTGGTGGTTGAGAGGGGCTTGCTGGGCTACGACCGCAGTGATATAGCACGCAAAAGAATGTAAAACTCGTGTTTGTAAGTCGCCTCGTTGCGGGGCAACCGCGACACGCAAAGAATGAGCACTCACGTCATAGTTCGCAACGTCCATCACCATTCATACGCTTACGGGTTTACGGGCCATAAACCCTGCACTTTCATCCCTATATCCCCTGCCTAAACCTAGCATGGCTTGGAATGAGTCACTCGCTAACGAGTGTGCACATCATCTGCGATTCCCCTGCATGGCGACCGCGTCACGTCGACTCGTGACCACGCGTTAGGTCGAACCGCGCCTTGAATTTCCAGTCGCCATGAAACCTCCGTGTGTTTAACACTAAACATGCAAAGCAAAGCTGATTGGCTAGCGACTGGTGACACAGTTTATCCTATGTTCACCCTTTTTACGTTCAGGCTCGCTAGGGGTATCTCTCATGTAAGATTTGGCCGTAAAGTGCTGGAAACTCTCACACCTTGGCAGCAGTCATCATCGGCCACTCCGTTTAACCACGCACTCTCCACGCCATCATCCTTGGCCACTTCAATGGGTAGTTGGGATGGATTCATATTTGCATCCTTATGCGCTGAATGGAACCTTCTTTTGCGCTATTGTCCAGTCGTCGAAAGAAAGATCTGTCAGACGGGTCTTATCGAACAGGGTAGAGGGTCGACGATTGAAATTAACCAAGTGGACAGATGAACCCAAGCCAGTATATGTGAAAACGTCTCTCCCCGCCTGTGAGCAATCAGTACATGGTGTTCATGAAGATACTCATGCTAGCGCCAAATGATCCCTGCATGTGTCACAGTTGCGGACCCCCGAGACCGCCATCTCGACACATTTCACACCTTGATGAGCAATGCTCTTTTCCCACCAATACTACCGATGATGCCTGCCCGCACGACACAATGGCCTAAGCGCAGCGCAAATGACTTACTGCAATCTCCAGGCTTCCTGGGCGCTGCAGCCCGGTTCTGGCAGGTATGCAATGCATTGCAGGCTCGCAAGCAGCAAATATTGACTATGGACGTGTAGCGTTCCTATGCTTCTGACTATGTCGGGCTTGCCATCCTAATTACTGGCTATATCTGGGTAGGCAGGAGAAAGACGTCTCATTTGGAGCTCCTCGCTAACAAACCAGATACAGATCCAATTCCTCGCCGAACCCTTTCACCGCATGTTCTCACTTGACAACCTTGCCATCCAATACCCGCATGCGGAAATTGAGCGCGTGTCTGTGTGTACGTCTGCTCGTCTTGGTCATGCTTCTTGAATCTGTACCTATCATCGTACTGACTGCATGATTTAGCATGGCTGTTCATCTACGCCGGTGCCGTCCCGCTCGGCATACTCGTCCTATGGGCCTTGGCCGTCCGTCCAGGCACACACAAAGCACACGTCACAATCCTCGGTTGGCTCGTGAGCATGATCCTCACCCTGTTCATCACGGACGTGATCAAGAACGCCGTGGGCAGACCCCGACCCGATCTCATTGCGCGTTGTAAACCCAAGCCAGGGACGCCCGCACACGAGTTAGTCACGTACTTGGTATGCAGCGAGGAGGACCATCACATTCTGCACGACGGGTGGCGCAGCTTTCCTAGTGGGCACAGCAGTTTCTCCTTCAGTGGATTGGGGTACCTGGCTCTTTTCATCGCAGGGCAATGCCATGTTTACCGACCTAGAGCGGACCTCGCACGCGTGCTCCTCGCTCTTGCGCCGCTACTCGGCGCTGCTCTTATAGCCATATCACGCTGCGAAGACTATCGGCACGATGTCTACGACGTCACGGTTGGCTCGATCATCGGCATGTCCGTTGCGCACTACACCTATAGAAGGTATTATCCGGCGCTACGAAGCAGCAAGTGTGCAACGCCATTCCCCAATCCAGCGGATTCGTTGAACGGGAAGTTGAAAGATGAAGAGGGTAGTGTGAGAGGTGTGCAGGATTTTGAACTGGATGATGTTGACGAGGACGATGATGAAGAGAGGGAATCGAGGCCGTTGAATAACAGAAGATGAAGCTGAAGGGATAAAAGAATATGTATGGGCAAGGAGAGATGGGCGCAAAAGCCCGACTCAACAGTCTTGTCATTGCGTGCATCACACATCTGCAACACAACACAGATAATGATGGTAACGGATGTACTTGATCAAGCAGATGCGCGCTTTTGAGGCAAGATACTATCTGGATAGCAAAAATCACCACGACCCTTCAGAAGTTGATAGCCATGGCAAGCCTGTAGGCGTTCCCGACCTATCTATGTCTCAAATCTTTTGGTACCCCTTCATCAGCGAATTCAGTCCACATCCTGACCCTCGAACTTTGGCAGACGCGCAGCGATGTCCGACCACTTTTCAGTGCCGTTCGCTAGGCTGGAAATAGCCTTTGTAATCTCATCCAGACCAGCGCGGACCTGCTCTGTCGAATCTCGGTCTCGTAATGTGAATGAGTTGTCCTTGACGGATTGGAAGTCGATAGTGATGCCGAGTGGTGTACCAAGCTCGTCGTTACGCTGAATGATATTAGTAACTCGACTTCAACGACTGGAAGATAACAGAAACTTACAGAGTAACGCTTTCCGATTGATGCACCGGAGTCGTCGACACGTGTGGAGATGCCAACTTCTTGCAGCTTGTCGCTCAGTGTTCGCACAAAGGGCTTGAAGTCTGAGTGCGAGCTCAATGGCACGATGAGGACCTTGGTCGGTGCGACTGTGGGTGGGAAAGACAAGACGCCACGAGCCTCGTCTTGCTCGCGTGTCCAGTAGATGTGCTCGCAAAGGGCCTGCGATTGTCAGTTGTTGAACATTGAGGATTCTGGAACAGAATACTTACATAGACTATCCGGCCAATACCGAAGGATGGCTCGATAACGTTGGGTGTGTACTCCCTTACGTTCTCTACCCGTGTGCGTTTCTCGATGGTGATGAGCTCCTTGGGCACTTCGACCTTGCCATCAGCGACACCGGGGACATCGATGACAATCTTGCCGTCTTTCTCAAGGTCCAGCGAGAGCTTCTCGCGCAGGTCTTGCGACAAGGCTTCGATAGCAGCCTCAACCGTCTTGCCATCCTTCTTGAATTTGGGACCAAACTTCTTCTTCTCGATATCGCATTGCCACTCCTCAATCTTGAGGGGCTCCTTCCGTGGCTCGCGTACGACCAGAGGTGCGCCGGTCTTCTTCATGTGGACAGTCAGATCGTATGCACTTCGATCAGCGCAGCCAACACACTCTATCCAGCCATACGATGTCAACAGCTCGGCGTCCCAACAGTCGGCAGCGTAATGGGCCATCTCGTTGGCCATGTGTTGCCTGAACCGGATCTTCTTGGAGTCGATACCAATCTTCAGGAGGAACTGCTGGATGCGGGCCAGGAAGTAACCAAGCGTCTCATTGTCCACCAGACCCGTCTCGACGGCCTTGCCAACCTTGGTGGTCTCGACGGTGGTCTTGCCAGACAGCTGGACGTCGCGGTTGAGAAGCTCGAGTTCCACGTCCTTGACTTCGTCGAAGCGAGGGTGCTTCTTGCCGCCCTCGGGGTCTACAAAGTGCTCGATCTCGGCCATGAGGAATTCGCGCACGCGCAGCAGACCGGATCGCGGGGAGATTTCGTTTCGGAAAGACTTGCCGATGGAGGCAGAGGCAAAGGGCATCTGCTGCTGGTTGAACTCGAGCAGCTTCTGGAAGTTGAGGAACTGGCCCTGGGCGGTCTCTGGGCGCAGGTAGCCGGGCATGTTGGAGGAGGGGCCGATGGAGGTCTGGAACATGAGGTTGAAGGCGACGGGCGGCTGCAGCTCGCCGTTGGTGGCGGGGTTCCTGATGTCGTACTTGACCATGAGCTGGCCAAGCTCCTCGCCGTTGTAGTTGTCGATCTTGGCAAGGACTTGTTCGTATTCCTCGACGGTGGCGTCGTCCATCCTGACGACGGCGATGTTCTTGACCTTCTTCTTCTTCTTCTTGGGGTCGTCTTCCTCGGCGTCGACCTTCTCGCCGCGTGCCTCCTTGTTGCCCTTCAACCTCGACTCCAGGACCTCCTCGACCAGGTGGTCGGCGCGGAAGATCTCGCCCGTCTTGGGGTCCTTGCTCATCCAGTCGGCGAACTTGTCGACGTGGCCGGACGTCTTCAGGACCTCGTGGGGGGTCAACATGGTGCAGTCGACCTCGAGCATGTTCTCCTTGAGCACAAAGTGCTTGCGCCACACGTCGACGATGTTGTTGGTGAGGGCGCAGCCGGGCGGGCCGAAGTCGTACAGGCCCGACACGCCGCCATAGATGTCGAAGGCGGGCGTGTAGAACAGGCGTCGCTGGAGATTTGTTAGTGTGACTCCCGCGGGGACGGGCAGCGCGCCCAGAGTGCAGGCACACCTTCATGAGCGACTCGAGCGAGGGCCGGTCGAAGGGCTTGCCCTTGTACGTCGTCATGTCTCCAGCCATGGCCACGGTGTCTTTTTTGCGCTTGGGGACCTGGTATCTGCCGTGGGCGGGTGTCGTGGTGGTGAAGCTCTTGGTGGGACAGGCAGCGGCGGGCGGGGTACTAAAAACGGGTCTGCATGAGAGTGAAGACGAGAGGCAATGGACGCGCAGCAACGGGGAGAGCAACGGCGAGAGACGGCGCATGCACGTGGTGTCCTCCGTGTGACGGGAGGAGGCAGCAGTTCCAACGAGTGTTTATTCACCAGCGCTGCTGCTCCACCGGCCATGCGAGTCCCGCCTGAGGGATGCACGCGCCAAGATTTTGCTCGCGGAAGGAACAACGAAGCGCCGTCCCCAACTTTTTTTCCCTTGGAGGGTGCAGCAATGCGGCCACGCATTCTCTGAACAGACGCGCCAACGTGACCGCGCCGTCGCATAGCCACAGGAGTCCCGCCAAAGCAAGCGCAAGCACATCGCCGCCATGGCCTATTCAAAAACACCCAGCGTCGCCACGGGCATGAAGCCCAAGAACAAGATCCGCCGCCAAGCTGCACATCTCTCCATCAAGAAGGCGCGCGAGGCCGACAAGCGTGACGCCAGGCTCCGTCGGAAGCGCGACGAGGCCAAAGATGTGTCCCTGCGAGAAGAGCGTCTCGCGCGAAACGTGCCTAAGACAATCGAGAGCAAGCGAGTGTGGGACGACGAGCCGGTCGGCGACGAGGAGGATGCCTTGGGATGGTCAGTCGACGTCGAGCGCCTGGCCAAGCGGAGAAAGCTGGAGCAGGAAGCGGCCGAGAATGGCGACAACAGCGACGGCGACTCAGACGACGACGAAGAGGGCGTTCTAGCAAAGCTCAAGAAGCGCGAACAGCAAGAAGCAAACTCAGACGACGACTCAGACGACGACTCGGAGGCAGACAGCATGCTCGAATCAGACTCGGACGACTCCTCGTCGGCGCCCTCTCGGAAGCGCAAATCCGCACCTCCAATACGCGCCTCCAGCCCCAGCGCGACCTCGACCGCCACAAACCTCGAGCTCTCCCCCGAGTTTCTCAAGCAGAAATTCCCACAACTCTTCGAGCCGGTCGCCGAGCCCAAGATCCTCATCACAACATCCATCAACTCATCGCTTCACAAAGAGGCCGAAATCCTCACATCGCTGTTCCCAAACAGCACCTACATCCGCCGCACCGCCCACGTGCACGCACACAAGTACTCCGTCCGCGAGATTGCCCAGTTCGCGTCCGCGCGCGACTACACAGCCCTCGTCGTCCTCATGCAAGCCGAGCACGAGAAGAAGCCCGACGGCCTCGACGTAATAAACCTGCCCGACGGACCACACTTCCACTTCAGCGTCTCCAACTGGATCGAGGGCAAGAAGCTGCCCCGCCACGCAAACGACACAGGCCACTACCCAGAACTCATCCTCAACAGCTTCAAGACCCCGCTCGGTATCCTCACCGCGCATCTCTTCAAGGGTCTCTTCCCTGCCACCCCGGAGCTCGAGGGCCGCCAGGTCCTCACCCTGCACAATCAGCGCGATTACATCTTCGTGCGCCGCCATCGCTATGTTTTCCGCGACAAGCGCGAGACGGAGAAGCCAGTCGTTGGCAACGACGGGAAACCCATCAAGGGCGCTGAAGACATCAAGGTTGGTATGCAGGAGATTGGGTAAGTCACACCATGCAAGTTCCTCCCTTCACTGGCTATCGTACTAACTACTGTTCCAGACCCCGCATGACGCTCAAGCTCCGCCGCATAGACCGTGGCATCCAGTTCAAGAGCGGCCAGGAATGGCAGTGGAAGGGGCGGATGGAGAAGAAGCGCACACGCTTCAATATGTAGGAACACGTACAGGTCGATATGTCGCTCAATGCAAAGGAGACGTATGCACGCCTTCAACTTGGCCATGTCATCTCAGTGTTTGTTGGCTTGTGTGTCCGTGATTGATATCAAGACTCAGCTAGTAATTCTCCCGCTGCCTACACGAAGCAACATTCACCTCGCCCAGCTCCTCCTTCCCCTCTCATATCCCAATAACTCCCTTGCACAGCAGATTCATGGTTGAAGTGCAGCGGAGAAACTAGCTATTGCGTCAGAGTGGACCGGCTTCTGATGGCCAAACGTTGTTCCAGAACGGACAGGTTACCCGGGGCCAACTAAATAAGACTGTGGCCCAGATTGGCCGCGGCATTGAGAGTTAGTCCCCGACTATCGCGCTGTTGTGGTAGATATGCCTGTCCTTGAGGATATGTCCACTGACCATACTACTGGTCTCGATTCGGCGTATTTGGACCACGTACGTAATGCTGTGAAACAAAGTGTCGTGGTCGGTAGCGTTGATGTGCATAGCCTTGCTTTGACGCATGGCCAGCGTTGTGCTGTACAATGTGTTTCAAAGAATGATGGGGTAGAGCTGATGGTGCATGATGCATCGACGAATCAACGACAAGTGGCTGATGTTGCTGTCGTGTCTGAAAATAAAGTAGTTGATCTGAATCGTATCTAGGGGTATCTGAGTTTGATAATCTCCGATCTACATGGTCTCTTCAGCATGAAAGTCTGCATGAAATGACTATTTGCCGCCATATCCCCCAAACGTACCAGCACCACCTGGTGTCATCATGCCGTGTCCTCCAGGCCCTGGTGTAGTCGCCAGGCCCACAGAATGGCTAGTCGGTGTGCTTGGTCCTTCACCGCCATGTCTGGCTTGCCCAGGATGGAACATCATACCGCCATTCATGCCCTGGAAGCCTGAGAGGGTTTGAGCGCCTTGTGCAGCAAGCACGGCAGCTTGTGCTGTTGCGCTTGCTGGCGGTCCAACGCCTGTGAGCCCCCACATCTGGCCGTTCATCTCGTTGGGAACTTGGTTATCAAAGATCTTCTTCTTCATCTCCCAAAAGACAGTTCCTGTCAGCCATGCATCAGATCCGGCGGTATGTGAGTTTCCGACGCGCTGACAGCCGAGTTCGTCCGCAAGATCTTGAAGCCCCGACTTGGTGCCCAGATTGTTGAGAATGTTGGTCGCTGTGGCTCCAATCACACCACGGCGGACGAGGTTGTTGGCGTGTCGCCAAAGATACTTGACGTCCAGCAACCGGGGGAAAAACACTTCTACAAGCCTGCGGTATGCGTCCTCGTCTTCGGGTAATGGTTTCGAAGTGAGCATCTTTATCAAGTATGCAAAGTCGTAGCCAGAGTGAAAGGAAATCCAATTGACGTCTTCGGTAAGCGTCATGCCAGATGTGATGAGAAGCGATCCAAACTCTTCAGGATTGATGCCCTGGGATGCGTGTTTGTCGAAGTCGGCACCAGATTTCTTGAGCATCTGAATGGACTCCTCGTTGTACATGTCATCTTCAAGCGAGAACTGGAAGTTGAATGTCCACGTGCAAGGGCAGACGATAATGTTGTTGGCGTAGCGCTGCAACGACTTTGGTTGGTAGTTGAGTTGCGAAGAGTCGAGGTGCGACGGAGGAACCTCGCCTTGTATTGAGAACAGGGTGACGCCTAGCTGAATGATCTTGAGCAGATCGACATTACAACGCACCGTCTGGTAGTGATACGAGGCTTTTGAGTTGAAGTCACCAATGGGGCGAGCGACGACACCGGGGAACTCGGTGTCCTATTGTGGGCGTGAGCATTGAGTGGTTACAAGAGAGCAGCAAAAGAAGGATAGATACCGCGTCCAGAGGAGAAATTATGCCACCGTTGATGGCACACTTTCTCCACGCTTGAGACTAGTTTACAAGAAAAAAGTGACGCGACCAACAAATAGGAAAGGGGTATACTGACCATGCTGACGTAGGGATACTGGTCGATGAGCGAGCGCAGGAGGTCCATCTCTTGGTGCAAGTTGGAGCGCCAGACGTCGCGTATCCGCTGTCCCTGAAGGCCCTTTGCGCCGTCCTGGCCGCGTACGGCATCCTGCTGTAGCTGAGCACCATGTGCAAACCGCATGCGCGCCTCATGACCATCCAACCCCGTCCCTCCACCTGCCCCTCCAAGCGCTGCTGCGGCGCCCAAGCCTGCCCCACCAAGCCCGCCGCCCAGGGCTGCGGCACTCGCCTGGAAGCTGTTCTGGCCGTGGCCGAAGAGGTTGAGATTGTGTGCCTGGTTGCCGCCGCCAAAGCCCGGGTGCTGCTGCATGTTCTGCTGTTGTGGGAGAGGCGGTTGTGGCTGTGGCTGCTGGTGTATCGGGGCGGAGAGGTGTGCAAAGGGGTTGGAGAGATTGTGGCCGGGGAAGCGGCCCCCGTGAGGCGGCATCGTGCGTGGGTGTGTTCTGGTGCGTTGCTGGCGAGCCCGTGTGCAGTCGTCGTGGTGTGGTCAAGCGGGCGACGCAGGCACGTCTGAAGATGGACGGGGTGCGCAGTCAGGTGCAGCGGCTGGCGACCAGTCTGGACAGTTTGATAGGGCGAGTCGGGTTGGGTCGCGCAGGTGAGTGGATTATTACTGGAGCGTCTTGTTGAATATGGGAGGTCGAGGTGGAGAGGTGTTCGCGGAGCTGCATGGCGGCGGATGGCCCTAGCGCCATGTCTGTTTCGCCAAGGTGAACATCATTCGGACCTCTGTCGCGACGACGACGTCAATCCACCCTGCGCCTCTCCCAAGCAGCCAAAGAGGCCTCACAGTACGTCTGGCGTCCCCAATGGCCCAGCCGCTGCCCACCACTGCCCGCCGAGTCACGACTAACACACGCAGCTTCACCACCATGGCACCACGCCCCTCCATCACCGGCTTCGACCCCAAGAAGTTCGCTGCGGCCTCTGCAAACGGCACAAAGGGCGACCCATGGGCGCGATAGTACGAACCCACACATGTCTCTCTCACGTCTCCGTACCCTAACCACGCCTGCGCAGTGAGCAATGGCGATACACGGGTCCCTTCACCCGCTTCAACCGCTTCAAGGGCAGCTTCCCCGGCCTCGGTATTGCGACCGTCGCTTTTGCCGGCTACCTTGTCGCTGAGCAGTTGTTCTTCAAGGACGACCACGCACATCACGACGAGGGACACCACTGAGAGTGCCTGAGCGTCGGAAGAGAATGGCTTGCAACCCTGAGGCGTACTGGCTGGTTTGGGATTGTGACTGTGGGAACTGTATATATGGAATACCACACAGCATCATCCAAAACAAGTTCATATCGCCTCGCCGCCCTTCGCGCCGATGTGTCCGCGAAGCATCCTTCACTCGTATTGACCAAGTCACGCTTCCATCAAAAAGCGAAGAATGAATGACCCGCATGTTATGTATTGGCATTCTGAGAGAAGAGTGACTCGTCAGCATACTCAATTCATTTATGCAAGACAGGAATTCGAGACCCTGACTCAGTTCGTCATATTTTCTTCGTACGATATACTGGCCAATGCTTAATACTCTGCAAAAGTGATCTACAAGCACTGATAAGGAAGGGAGCGAACAACTGATCATGTTTGACTGTCACACCTATTTCTGACTGCATAGGACGTACTTTGTACTTCAGAATTCTGCATACCAAACGTCGAATGCCTGTCATCATACCAGAACAGATGTTTCTGCGCTACGTTTCATCATAAGAAACAAGAGCTTTTTCGGCCGTGTGAAACCGATACTGTTGCGCGACCTACATTCTGGATTTAACCCCCATGTCATGCAAGAGAGCCTTGCGCAACAACTACCCATCGAGACATTGTCCGAACATGGGGGGAAACACGGACCATGGTGGTGTGATCGTCGAGCAAAGGATTTGTAGCACGGCTTATATCCTCGAAGTAGCCAATTATGTATATTGGCCGCAATGCTTGTGAATAGTAAGCCGCATATTCACTGTTGATCTTGAACAAATAGACCAGAATCCTCCATTGTTCGTCCCCTCCCCCTTTCAGGCAGATATCGGCAGTACGAGCAAAAGGAGAGAAAAATATCGAACCACTCCATTGTGTGCACTGCCCAACAATCCTAACATTCTCCCACAACCAGGAAATATTCAAGAGATTGTGCGCCCCGATGCGACTTGCATGCTCACCCACGTCGAGTGATCTGACCTGCAGTAAACCGTTCATAGCGTTATTGGTGGCTTTTACAGATTTTCGATCGCCAGAGAAGGATGATCATCCTAGTCTGCGCCGCCGCCAACCGGCAGCACTGTTAGTCATGAACAAAAGGATTTGCAGCTTCCTGTTTTGTCAAAAGCTCAAGTCTCGGTTGATGAAGGTGTGTTTTATGTGATGAGTTGCGAGCTGGAACCATCACCCATCTAGGGGCATGTAGATACATATCTCGAGTTGGATAAATGAAGATCTGACACTATACCAATAATCCCATTGGATAAATAGCATATCATTTTGAGAGTGACGGTTAAGTTAAAGGTTCTATGCTCTAGCTATACGTTGTAGTCGTGTTTCATGGTGACCTTTCACCAATACCTAATGTACGATGAACAGTAGCGGTGTAAATATGCAGGAAAACGCAGCACAGAGACGGGAGCGACTTATCACCAACCATGTCCATAACATCCAAACTTGAGAAGATGAACACTCTCAATGTTAAAGATCACTTTTCTTATATTGCCCCAATGCTCAAAACAAAGCAAACAAATCTCGATTATGGATGTGTAATGACGTGAAGAATTCGAGAAGAACGTGACTGACCAATCTTACGTTGTCAAGTCTTTGTAAGAAATACAGTCAACGTTTGCTTAACTTTTCCAGTAAGTCTTGAGTAGTTGAGAAGCGGGGGTTGAGAACTGCAGTTGGCAGGTGTCTGTCGTGTTCTAGATCTCAACGACGTAAAAGGGGTATCGATGTTCCGTATGCATGGGAGATTTTCACATGTGCATAAGCGATCGGAACAATCTCCATGCCTCAATGATGGGAACATCTTTGTTCGGTTCGCTTAGTCTTCGAGGACCTTTTTCAAACCTACCGTCGTCGTTGCGACCAATGTTAAAGCATCGGAGTTATTCTGGTACTGTGGGCCGCGAACCATCAATTTGATATACGCACATGTGTTAGTAAACCGCTGAGAGGGAACGAGAAAGCGCCATATGATTGTTCCTCGTGTAGATAGCGGCGGCAACTACAACTTAGTACTTTCATTCATCGCCAGCGATCAAACGTTCCGAACAGTCGGTCCCCTCTTGTTGCTACTTTGAAACGTCCGCACATGTAGTGTATACATATCCTGCGGGCTGTGTAAATCATTGTGCTGACCTGAGACGCGGGTCTATGCCATGGAGGTTTAAACGTTCCGAGGCTTCTGTTAGGTCGCTGAATTATACTTCAACTCGATTCGGGGGATGACGATTCTGCGAAGAGAAGATGACGGGTATCGATCTGACAAGAGCGCTTCAACACCTTCAGCTCCAATGTGATACTATTGCAACCCCAACAGGATATTCGACTGCTACAGCCTGGTAGATATGCATCGTAAACCTTGCATGTGCAGAATGGTGATGTAAGGTTGTTGTCGAGAGTCGAAAGCTGTGTGTGCACCTCGATTGTATATTTTCCTCAACATGAAAGTGGGACATGGAGCTATTGAACGCAGCCACAGTCCCACTCGAGCAACCTCTTCTCGCAAAAGTGTAACTTCAGCACTCTTGGGAAGATTTGCTCAAGAGATGGTTGATCCATGTAGCGAAATGGTAACTACTGCAAGGTGCGGGTCCAGGCACCACAATACCTATCTTGTCTATGCAGGTACGGTTGCCCCTGTTGTACGCAGTACAGAAACGCTTCCGAGAATAACTTTGTGAGCTGGATATCGGAGGTTTTTGGGAAACGGTCGAATAAAGCTTGTATCAGGCGACTATTATCGGATACGAAGGAATTTTCGTCAGATGTTGGCTGCGTGCGCGGTACCAAAGACTCATGACAGTAGGTATCCACGCGTATGGGTCTGCAAACGCGTTCTCCGGATCTCGGAAGTGCGACGACAGTTATTCCTGGGACCGAAAGGCCCACAGAATGGGGCTGCTAGACACTCTCCTCAGCCCCAGGTAGACGTCATTCGAGCCTGGGCGCACAGCGTGCAGACGTCGCGCGTTGGGGCGATATGGAACTTAGAGCAGGGCGAATATTGGAAGCGTTGTATTGCGCGTTCACCAGACGTCATTGCTACAGCCACGACGACAGCGTGGTGGAGTGGTCGTTATTAGTACGCGGTGGATATGTCGATTCGCTCCTTCCTCTCGTGGCCTGCCGCCTGCGGTCGCTTCGACACGGCGTATGCATAGATGGGTGGACCTCCGCCAGTTTCTGACCACACTCTCCAGTCTGCCAGCATAAGCGCACAGCGCAAGGTGGACCAGGAGTCTCCTCAGCATCTTCGCGCCGGTACAACCGCTTGAGGGCGTGCAGATGTGCTGGACAGTGGCACAAAACGCCTCACATCAACGTAGACTGTGCCGGAGTGCCCGTCCGATGCCAATGCACATGCCATAGACAATCCCCTAGGCCGTGATACCCAGGCACTACACAAGCCGAGTCAATCATTCGCTCTCTCCAGCAGTCTTCGTGCGAGCTCGTACACGCCGGGCTTCTAGGCGCTCGTCATACGTATCTACTGACTGTTATACCATCCTCTCTTCTCCATAGGACCTTCTGCAAAGCTGTTGCACAGCGGCTGACGGAAGATTCCATGGTTCCGACCAAGCTACAGGGTGCACTCGGCGAAAGGGCCCAGCAAAACGCGACTGCAACATTGCCCACACTGCAGCCATGCTTCGCTGTGTTATGCAACTGTGCTTCCAGCTAACGCTGATCACTAAGCCATGCCTAATGGATGCACGGCCCTGATAATGGCTTGGCAGTCTAGTCTGAGTGAGATTGAAACGACTGGGAGCATCAGTGTTTGAGAAATGGAGATGATGAGGAGCCTCAACAACACGCCTTAGCCAGCGCATCTCGAGCCTTGCCTGAGTAAGGAGGCGGGGTAGCGAAAATCGTCTGCCAAAATGGCCGTTACCGTAGGGCCTTCTTCGGCTGTTTCACCAGACATTATCTCCACCGTTGTTGTGGCCTAGACGGCATCATTTCTCCGATGAGGCTGTTGACGAACAGCACGACTGCGTATTTCGTCCATTCGACTCCTCGCTTTGTTCCGCGTAGGTCAATCCGCACACCTCGAGGCGGCATATCTCAAGGCGGCAGGACGCTGCAGATTCACGCATAAAGAACGCATACCAGCCGCAGGCACAACCTTGACTAATCCTCATTGTAGTATGCTTTCGCCGAGGTCACCCAGAGAACACGAGCCCACGGCTTGACACTGTAGCGGCTGTCGTAGTCGACACCAAATACCACCTTTCGCACCTAGGTAGTATCGCAACTACCATCGCACCCGACGCTCAAGCCTCTAAGAACAGTATCAACTCGCCTCGATGATATTGCCCAGGGTGCTGTCAAATCAGCCTGTGTTGCACAACATGCCGGCATCGAGCAAATTGAAGTGCCTGCCCCTGGCCTTGTAGCGGTCCCAGCGGGACCTGCAGCAGCGCTGTTTTCCGTTTATTCGCTTTACCGTCCAATCAGAGCCAAGACGTAACTTCCCTGCCATGTGAAATTGGTTCAAGCCGACCTGTCGGGCCGCATTTTTCTTTGGCGTAGATGTTCTCAGTGGCTTGCGGGACGGTAAACCTCAAGCATGCTCCCGTGGTCCCCAGCCACTAACACCTGTCCAGGTCGCCGTTCCTAACTCCTTCAGCAGTGGGATCCCCATGTCCGTTTTTCGTGCAGCAACCCCTGTCCTTGCGTTTTGAGTGTCACCAAAGTTTGGTGGAGCGCACTGAGCACTGCGTACCCATCCTCCAGCTTTCTCCACATGCTCTACTCGTGCATTCTGGCCATGTACTTACACTCATTTCGTTCCTACGTTTCCAGTCCCCTACAGGCTTCCAAAGTCTCACCTGTCTCAGTGTTACAACAAACTCTACCTTGGGAATCGTCCTACATCTCTCATGCACTTCCCGCATTCGTCTACCGACTCTTGCTATTTGCAATCCTGTTGCCCTGACGCAGTGCGCGGCAGATCGTTCTCTTTGCTATAGCTCTATCGGCCGACTAACCATCCCAGCAAGTAAGTGTATAACGTATACAATCCTGTTGCAGTTCTTCCTGGCCCTTGCTCATCCTCATTTCGAATTCGCTAGTCCTGATCGCGCCATTGTTATGGATTTCCCCTCTCCGAGCTTCTGACACAGCAACCCATATATTCGACCTGATCACTGACACGTTCGCCAGACAAACAGTCCAGACTTTCCGCCCTATCAATCTCAGACCCGCATATACAAGAACGTCTTCTGGAATACCCTGTCCATCTCGTCTCTTGATCCCTTTCATCGTCTAAGTTGGTCGTCTGTGTCAAATCTAGTAGCAAGGCTTCCACTGTGTTCGTCCAGCATTGCCCAACTTTCACTGGTTGTCTACGATCACAGCTTTCTTCAGTCTCTGAACCATGTTTGCATTTCATAAAAGCGAATATTCATCGCGTTCCAGGCAATCGTCCACAGATTCCCAAGCCTTAGATCTATGGACATCCCAATGCTCCGATGCACCTTCTCAGAGCGATATGCATTCCCCTGAGCGACGTCGCATAGCCCACTCGGGCAAACGGAGCTCTGTGTTCAACCTACGCTCAAGAAGCAATACAGCAACCTCATCAACATCCCTGACTCTTTCAGGCATGGCTGAACACGGATCATGGTCACACGAATCTTCTCCAACTCCCCATCAGCTCGAATTTCAGAGTCAGGACGAGGCGTCAGGGACGGCTAGATCATTGTTTCGAGGAAAGAAGGGAAAAAGAATAAGCGGGTCCATCGCATCCAGCATAGACATGGATGACGATCAAGAGATAGATGCTGGAAAGAAGCGGATGTCAATCCTGCGGAGAGGCAGAAGACGAACAAATCAGTCTGATAGTTCCTGTAAGTCTTTTCCTCCGAACTCCATAACATCCAATTCTCATTCATCACCATAGTCAACAACGCCAGACAACGCATCTCCGGCCCTTTTGACTTTCAGCACCTTTCGCACACAGACAGGCATCAGTTTGCTGCCTTGGATGAAGCCTTTGGGGACGAGTTAGCTGCAGGTTATCAGGCGGGACGCCAATCTTCAAATCAAGATTCCGTCATAACAACGGCGAACAATCGCCCACCAAACATCACTACATCACACAGTCCGGCAAACTCGGACTTAGTATCCACATCCACTGTAGATCATTCGTCGTCGGTTCGCAGCCCAAAATCCGGTAACGAAATCCAAGAATCGGAGTTCACTTCGCAAGTGCCACTCTCCAGACCACCGCTTCGCCTAACTAGATCTGTAGAGAGTTTTTCTCAGCCTGGTGTCAATCCCAGAACGCATCGTCAATCACAATCGATTGTAGCTCCGTCTCGAAGGTCATCTCTGCATCCTCTGACACCTGTACACGATATTCCCGAGGAATTCGCAGAATCCGCAGAATCCGCAGAAAAGCAGAGTTCACCTCAACCAGCCCTATCCCGCTCCAAGCGAGAGTCGGGTTTCTGGGGTTTCTTCGATTTAGCCAGCGCTACAGGAGAGGCGGACACATTCGACGATTCGGAGTTTGTTGCACATGCTCTCACGACTCCTGATGACTCTACTGTCAATATAACGACACCACCTTTTAGTCCCAGTCTGGAAGATGTCGCCGAAGAACCTGAACGATTCATAAGCCCAAGGCCTGCGCCACAACCGCCTCTTCGAACTCCCACCACTCCCAGGTCACCCTTCTTGGAGGCGTTCTCGTTTGCAGGCCATCGCTCACCAACATCCAGAAATCGCAGTCGAGGGAACTCACACGCATCTCCAAAATCTCTGAAAAATCGCGAATCGATGATAGAACCCATCGTACAAGACCTACCTTGGCAGCCAGTCACGTACAAACGTTCTCCACAAACAAAATCCGCTACTCGCCGCCAATCCAACACGTGGCGTGCGATTGAAGAATCATGGGAGAACGATGTTGACTACATCTATGAGAATGCTCTGGAAGCAGATTGCGATTTTGACTGGGATTTTGCCCCTGACGATGGAACCCATAACAGCCAACAACAGACTCTTGAATCGGCCACTCGCAACGACAGCTATACCAAGACGTCGCACCATACTAGAGCTCCATCATCCGCTTTAGGAAACTATTCAATGTATCGGATCAAGCCTGATCGCTCCAATTCAGAACGGGATGCCCCGTCCGGAATACCAGCTTCAGTTGTAGAGAGCAGGCTACAGATTCTTTCCGATACACTGGATATCGTTGAGGCTGACGGCTTTATGTTGAGCCCTTCTCTCTTACTACCTCAGGATTACAAGGACACTCGCGAGTCGATGTTCCAGTATGAAGACGTTGAGAATCTTCTTGGCGAATATGATTGTGTCAATCGCCAATTTCCCATCACTGATGCGGATGATAGCGCTTTCAACTCTGCCCGGAGCAGCCGTGTTCGCTTTAGTCGACGAAGCTCGTACGACAGCAGCCTAATATCTTCAACGCAGAGTTTGGGCCTTTGGAATTCTCCAGTTCGCCGTTCTGCAAGTTCTACTGCGAGTATCCCCGAACTTGTACATTCTCGCCGCAATCCACGAGAGTTCACTTCTGCGGTCGACGAGCTCTCCGAACAAGGTGTGGCGCTTGGACGCTTCCACGTGCAGACAGATACCAATGATATTACCCTGCCAGGGCGCGCCGGTGACGGTACATTCTTTGCTTCTGAAGAACCTCTTCAAGACAACTCCTGCTCCTTGGCCTATCTTGAAGAGGAGCTTAATACGTCACCTGAAGTAGCGTCACGAGGCTCGCAGAGCTCAAAGAAAGCTCATCACAAGCAGACATTGTCCGCCGAAGCAGCCAGTAAAGTTCAAGCCACCACTGAGAATCAGTCGATGAAGGCACGCAGCCGTGCCGCGACTATCAGTCATGTTGTCCGGCAGCCACAACTGAGCCTTTTTCCATCACCTCCAAGACACTTGCCAGCCCATCGAATGTAGACTAAGTGTGTCCTGCACAACGTCCTAATTCCGTAGCGCAATGTCCAAGATACTCTCCGTTCTAGTGGTTTCAAGAGCAGCAGCCTGGCTCCACTAGAAAAACCATATTAACGACGACACGGCTCCCATAAACTATCGCAATCAACTTTTTACGACTTATGACTACTCGGCGTTACTCTCTCATACCTTAGATTTTCTCTTACTTTCTGGCGACTTCACAGCTTCTTTCGTTTCGTCACATCTTGTTTGATCGGTGTGTGGGCTCTGTTTTCTCCTCCCTGCCTCGTTTTCATTAGTGTTTGTTGTCTATGTCCTGTTCAACATTGTGTATCTAATTGTTGATGTTTAGACAAATTTCATCTCGTTTCAAATCCTGGGGAAAAGAAATTGGGGCTTAAAAGTTTCAAAGCGGATCGGGTGTTAAGTTTGTGAACGAGAAAGTGATAGTTGTTGTGTGCGTCAAGTTTGCTTGCAAAGTCTTCTTCTAGTCAGATTGACTTCAACACATGTTTGGTAATTTGGAGCATGTCAGTTGTTTGTATTCCTCCCATAACAACTTGTAACCCATTTTCGTGGCGGTGCATCCGTCGTGACTTCATGTAAGGATGATACTCGATAATCGTATGAGATAGGCTTAAGGTAATTTTATTTCAGTAAACAACTTGTCGAAGAAAGCCTGGTACTAAAGCAGGTTCATATTATCGTGTAGACATAGCTGTTACACGCAGAATCCACAACCTAGGGTTTGAGATGAGTTACCAGGATCGTCGTGAACTTTATCCTGAAAAAACAATCAGCAGATGGATCTACGGGTGCAGACAGTGTTCGTTTTATTACTCACGTTTATCAATGCGACGGTAATCATCAATAGAGATTATCTAGTCCGCAGAGCCGAGCCTACCTATATGGTGAGGAGCAGTATTGAACACCAGTGATATAGGAATTTTATACTATCTACAAGGGCTCACTTACACCATTAGAGTGAGCGAGGTAGGAAACAAATACGCGAGTACATTGGAAGCGAGCAATGCCCTACCAAACTATCCCCAACGCAAAACAAATCGAAGCCTCAAACCACCATACAATGATTCTAGCCATAGTACAGCCAATATAAAACCAAATGCACACACGGTATATGGAGCAGCATCACTTGCCACTCTCAATCTGCGCGTAAAACCAATCGATCAGATGAATCACTGTAGGGTGGCTCCATGTGAGTGTCGGTGGAACTTTGATACCCATCACCTTCTGCAGCTGTTGACGCAAGGAGACTGTCATCACTGAATCGACGCCTAGGTCTGCGATCGCTGCTCTATCGTCGATATCCTCAATATCAAGATGCAATACTGCGCACAGACACTCGCGGATTTTGAGACTCAGGTCAGCCTTGAGTTCTGGGCCAGATTTCGGTATCGAAGTTGACCCAATCGACAATAGTGAAGACGAAGATGTTGAAGGAGTGAGGACAGGAGCCCGGCGTTGTACGATGTCGTCAATCAAGGGACACGGAGATGGTTCGTTGGCATCAAGGATGCGCGTCCGTGTCACAACAGCATGGTCGGTGTCGTACATGGAAAGATGTTCCCAGGCCTGGAATCCTTCCTCAATGGTAATATCCGTGACACCCTTGTTTTCCAATTCCAATATCAGGTAATCCCAAAACTCTGCAGCCAGACCCATATTCCTCCATGCAGTCCACTGTATTGCTATTGCATTGTCGCCCAACCCACGTCGGTGGATTGCAAGACCATCAAGGAATGCATTGGCAGTTCCATATGAGGATTGCCCAGCTGACCCAACGATCTGACCAATCGAAGAGAAGAGAACGAAAAAATCCAGTGACTTGGGCGGAAATGCGTTGTGGAGTGCCAGCGCACCTTGCACTTTCGGCGCAAGTACACAAGCAAGCGAATCGGATGTCACTTCCTTTATATAATCATATCCTGCGACTCCAGCCGCATGGACGATACCCAAAACAGGGGGGAGGGAAAGCTGATCAAGCCGAGAGAGCATTGTGGTAGAAGCGGAAGGAGATCCAATGTCGAGCGCTATGGCATGAATGGACGCACCCAAACTTTCCAGTTTCTGTATTTTCTCAATGATGACAGCTGCTTGACCAGTAGCACTATGCCAGTCTTTGCGAGGTGGAAGTGGCCGGCGAGAGACCACTACAACTCGCCGCGCGCCCTTCTGGACCAGAAAATCAAGGACTTCTAGCCCAAGATCTCCGAAGCCTCCTGTGACAAGATACGTTCCATGCGGTCGTGGTAGCAGAGCTTTGCTCGAGTCATGTTGTAATTGGTCTTTTACAAATGGTCTCATCCTCGCCACCCGTGGAAGACCATCCTGCATGCGAATCACATCCTGGTCCCGGACATACTTGATTGCCAATAGGGGGAGTACAGTTCCCTCGTTGTCGATCAGACCACCCCAAAGCTCGGGATGCTCTGATGCTGCGATACGTGCGAAGCCGTGCAGCGGGTAGTGTGCGAGTGTAGTCGGTGTCCTTCCTGAGTAGGCCATATCAGTGATGACGAAGAGCCTTGGGCTATTCGGGATGGTCGAGAGAATCTTGAGCAAACTAGCCGTCTCCCATGTGAAGGCATGAGTTGCGGCAGCCACCTGCTCCATCTCTTCGACAACGCCGGGTATGTAGAATACATAGGTATCCTTCTCCGCCAAAATCCTCATCACATGCGGCTTGTATAAGTCTACACTAGAACGTACCGATATCGTATCCCGTGTCTGGAGTTGTAGACTACTGGCGTGTTTGTCGGCTATCTGACTGTCCGTAGCGACAAGAACCACATGCGTCAATGAAAGCGGTGTTTCAGCGAACTTGGGTGGCACCCAAGCAATTTGATGCACAAGTGTGTCCACACCTTTGCTTTTCTCGTCTACGGCCTCCACGTCTGAGAATCTCATCCCCTCTAGTTTGGCCAACAGTCGTCCCTCTTCATCCAACACACTGATATCTACCCGTAAGTTCTGATCTTCGCTCATTTCCTCGATGAAAAGCCAGCCGATCTTTGGTGGAGTCATATCTGAGAGAAAGAGCACTCGATCGATACCGCTCACGATGCGCAGTCGGACGCTCTTGAAGAATATGGACGATCCAACAGAGGTGGCAGCATCAAGGAAAGGTGCCCATGAGACTTTGTTCCATGACATCGTTTGAGAAACAGGATCCATATCCATCTTGACTAGCATCTCTTTTTCATCACCGAAATGCTCCAAGACAGCCCATGGGAAAGCAATCCCGGAAACTCCGATCTTCTGGAGATAGTCCCATGCAAAGTTGTTTGATAACTGAGTATGAAGACGTGCCTTGATATTGGAGATGGAGTGTTGAATTTGATATGGAGCCATGTCGACTGTGCTAAATTCCGCAGTGCTATGCTCAACCCAGGTATGTTCAAAATCGTCGCTGTCTAGTATTCTCTTGGGGTTACTGAGCCGGGAGTACATATAAATTTTGTTACACTTGGTAACGACTTGAACTTCGCGCTCATCTGCTGTCATGGGTAACGGAATACGGAGCTTCAGATTGTCGATAATCGAAGCTTCGGTTGCGCGATGAAATGTGTTGCAGTATACAGCAGCCGGAATGATCTCCGTCCCATCAAGTGGATGCGTCAACGGATATGGTTTCGATGTATCATTCAGAGTTGTGGTCCAAATCTTCATATCACTTCCTGCGACATCTTTCACCCCACCAAGCAATGTGTGCATGTCAATATCATGTTGTCGAGTATCGGTGAGTGGTACAGTTGAGATAGTTTTCCAGTATGGCTTGTGAACCCATGGCGTGTTTGGTACTAATACAGACCATGGAGAAGCTCCTAGCTGGATACGAAAGTCGACCTGCGCCCCTAGAGTATAGAGGTATGAGACTGCGTGTAAAATCTCGAGTTCTGTGGGTATATCACGTCGCATAAGCCCGAAAGCAGCGGACTCTTCGATAGACCGAGCGGCGAGAGTCTCGGCAATAGAATGCGAGACAATTGGATGGCTCGACACTTCTAAAAATATCCGATACCCATCCTCCAGGGCGGCATCGATGGCATCCTCGAGCAGCACGGGAGCAACCATGTTTTGTATCCAATACCCTGTGTTTCTGGGCGCCATAGTCCGCGCGTCTAGATGTGATGTTGAGTATATTGGGATTTCCGCTGGTCGTGGGTTCATCTCTCGCCTCAGAGATTCCTGCAGAGGAACGACAAGAGATTCTAACATCGGAGAATGGAAAGCGATGTCGGTTTGAATTTTCCAAGTTTTCACGCCTCGTCGCCCAGCATCTTCCACATAATCCTGCAATGCTGCTTTTGTTCCACTGACGACACAAGAAAATGGCGAGGACTTTATGGCAGCAACAACATCTGTCTTCTTCTCAAGCTCCTGTGCAACTTGCGCGAATGGTAGATTCACGAGGGCCATCGCCCCTTGTCCTTGCACCTGTGCGTATAACCTCGCTCGTCGAGACACTACAACAGCGCCTTCTTCCATTGTGAGACAACCAGCGGTCACGGCTGCCGCGATCTCGCCAACTGAGTGTCCAATAACTGCTTGAGGCGAAACACCCTTCGACCTGAGCAGGTGGGCGAGTCCGACCTGCACAGCGTACGTGAGAATTTGGATTCTATCGGAGCCACCGAGATCACCCCTCTCCAAGGCTTCTAAAACAGAGAATCCTGCCTCTCGTTGAATTCTGTCGTCCAGCGTCGAGATTACCTGACGAAAGATGACGTTGTGCAAGAGTTCTTTGCCCATGTTGGGCCATTGCGCTCCATGACCCGAGAACACCCACACGACGCCTCTTCGATTCGTATTCCCTATGATTCGATTGTTGACAGTGCATCGGTCTTGCTTGCCTTGTGCGAAATTTGTAAGAGCGCGGATAGCTTCTTCGTGGTTGGCGACTACAAATACTGCCCTGTAGTCATGAGCTGCACGGCGTTGAGAGAGCGTCCTTGCAATAGCAGTCAGATCCTCCGATCTTCCTTCAGCGGACAGCCACGATGCTAGCGTACTCGCATGACCAACAAGTCGTTTTTCTTGATGTGCCGACAATACAAGCGGGATGAGTACTTCAGTTGCCGTGTTAAGTTGATCGCACTTCTCTTCAGAAGTATGGTAGACCGGCGTTTGTTCGATGATTGCGTGACAGACGCTGCCTCCATATCCATAACAACAAACTGCTGCTCGCCGCGGGCCGTTACCCTGAGGCCAACTTCCTGCTTCTCGCACGACTTCTAGACCACTCGTCTCCCACTCAATTTTGGAGTTGAGATTCTCGAGTAAAGCCTGCGGCGCCAACTCTCCCTTCTGTACAGTCATCACCGTCTTAACAAAGCCAATCGCACCTGCCGCTGCCTCAAGATGTCCCACGTTGGGTTTGATACTTCCGATGAAGCAGGGTAGATCTCTGGCTCGTCCGGTGCCGTATACTTTGGCAATCGCGTCTATCTCCGTAGGATCGCCGAGAGATGTTGATGTTGCGTGAGCTTCGACATATCCGATGGTCAAAGGATCGATATCTCCAGACCGTAGGAGTGCCTGTCGTCCTACCATCTCTTGTGCCTTTGCATTGGGTGCCATGATGCCATTCGTCTTGCCGTCTTGCGCCGAGGCGGTGCCTTTCAGAACAGCGAGGATGTTGTCATTATCTGCCATTGCGGAACTGAGGCGTTTGAGCACAACAACTGCACCACCCTCGCCTCGTGCATAACCACATGCTGCTTCGTCGAACGATCGACATACACCCTCAGTGCTCAGAGCGCCAGCCTTTTGAAGCATATGTGACAACCCTGGTGCACAAATGACATTGACACCACCGCAGATGGCCACATTGCTCTCTCCTGATACAATAGCTTGACGAGCCAGGTGTATGGCTATAAGTGAGCTTGCGCACGCCGCGTCAACAGCTGTACTGGGCCCTTGAAGATCTAGATGATATGAGATCCTGTTCGGAATGCCGTGAGCTGCGGTACCAATGCCAGTCCAGGCCTCGATGCTTGGCAGATCTTCCATCAACATGCGAGAGTAGTCGTCTGAGTCAACGCCCATGTACACAGCTGTGTCACTCTTCGCAAGACGCTTCAGATCGATGCCTGCGTGTTCCAGTGCTTCCACGGTCAACTCCAGTGCTAAGCGATGATGTGGATCCATCAGCTCGGCCTCCTTGGGGGAGATACCGAAAAACGCTGCATCAAAGTGCTCTAGGTTGTCCAAGAAATAGCCTTTGCGGATGATGTTCTTGAGAATCTTGACATTTCGTGGATCCCGCTGGAGCCATGGTTCCCATCGTTGAGAGGGCACCTCTCCAGAGGCCTGCTTCTGATCAAGTAGAAACTTCCAGAGTTGTTCAGGGGTATCGTTTCCACCAGCAGTGCGGCAAGACAAGCCCACAATAGCAACGTCTTCAACAAAACTCTGTTGAGCCATCATGAGATGGTTGGATTGTATAGGGTGTGAGCGAGTTGCGCTCGAAACAACAAGCTATATGGGGTTTAGAGAAAGACTTCAAGAAATAGTCTCAAGAGAATCAAGTCAGGGTAACAATGGTAATGTGGTTGTTGTTCAGATTTGCAGTCAACCTTCCTTTTATACTGTGAAATGGTATAACGACCTACCAGTGAAGTGGCTTTTCGGGCGGTAAATCCAGACGAACTAACTGTAGCAGCATAGATTCGAGTGGCGGGTTCAAGTCAAACACGGAACAAGTATAGGCGATACAATCGCGGCACAGTGTTACTAGGAACCATCCGGAGATCCCTAGGTGCGAACGGCGACCCTTAGTAACGCCTTAGATTCTACGAATGATAGAGCACAGCGAGAACACTTCCTCGGATTTCCATGAAGCCACCACCGTCGTGAGTGACCCATTGGATTGTTTGGGATGTCGAGTATGCCTCCCCGGCGGTAAAAAGAAAGCCAAGAACACGAGAAAAGTTGATCTATCATTGCATTATCCAAGCCAACCTAGACCCACAACCGGTGGTGTTGCTTCAAGCCGAAGGTCATGGATAGAAGTATGGTTAAAACATTCTTCATGTCTATGGTTGAATCTCCTATGCAGTTTCTGGAATCGTTCGGGTCGACCAGATTTGCTGCATGGAGGTTAGAATACACAAGCTCAGACAACACCATATGCCTATGTATGATGTAAGACTAGGTTGTAGACATGCAGGCAAGAGCGAGCACATGCTTTTCGAGGGCTTGCCGGAACAGGAATAGATCGTACCAATTATCCGTATACGGCGCGGAAAATTGTTACATGCAATGCGGCGAGGTATTGCCGCCGCGTGGAAGCCTAGGGCTGATTGGCAAGGGATCGCCAAGTTGGGGGTAAGGGTTCTTACCGCGCGTATAACTGTTATCTTGCCCGAGCCGTCTCGGCGAGAACGAGGTGGCTTTCCATTGTAACACAGCTTTCTCAAATCATTTCGTCAGTGAGCAGTCAACAAGACAAGACTCGCATGTCGAGATAGCGATAGGAGGTGAATGAAACTAACGGGGGAAACAGTTTGATATACGATAGCCATGTATTCTAAAGTGCTAGCCTCGATCTCGGCCTCCAGGCGTTTGATGTTTGCTCTCAGGTGTGACGCGTGGTTCCTATCATCGCCGGCACTCTGGGTCGCCGGGAGCGCCGTGTCTTCGAAAGCCAGTAGAGGAGATGTTGTGCACCACACCAACATCCGCTATCATCTTCACATTCGTATGTAAGACGCACAGAAACACCTCCACCCCCACAGCGAAAGCAGCGCTGAAGGCAGGGTTTCTGTCTGGCGTCCTTACCACCCGTCGACGACCATACTCGCTTGCTGACATGCGCTGTTTCGCTTGATGTCGCGCCGTTGGGTTAGGGGCAAAGCCACTACTCTCTCAACGCTGAGTTACGATTTAGACCAGTTTATGTTACCACTGGTCAGCGAGTATGATATCTAGGCGGGCATGTACATGTGCACCCCGGATGCTGGGCTTGATCTTGGCTTGTTGGATGAGGAAGGAGGCATGAAGGCGCCGGCCAGCTTCCTGTACCTGGGCCAAATTGGGGATAACGATTTGAACGGAGGCGGTTTGTCTAGTGGGTCTTTGCGGAGTATTTTTGATGTTGAGATGCCATTCAACCCTGGACGTGTACGTTGGTAGGACTGCATGATGGCAGAGGAATTGTGTGACCAGACATCAGAGTCGGTTGAGGTCATGTCGAGAGTTGTGTTCGAAAGGCGGTCGCACGCGCAGTATTTGACCAAAGCAATGTCCGGGTGACTGGTGGTCTGAGCGTGAACCAAACTCTGTAATCCAATGATCACGACGCGCTTCATAGTAAAGTGCCAGCCGAAGATTCAAGAAGACTGTCGGACAACTGAAAAAGCAGCACGTAAGCTATGTCCTCCGCGGCTCTTAAAACCAGAGAACTAGACAATTAAAATAGACAACAGTGCACGCACAACCCATATTGCAAGGAATGTTGGCGCAAGATTCCCACGCTAGACTTAGTAGTAGTTGTCAAGCTGTTGTATGATTTCGTTGCACCTTGGTTCCTAGTACTTCGATTGACCGAGAAGAAGGCTCCAAGACAGGCTAGTCGGCAGCGTGCTATGGATCAGATTTGGAAAATAGAGCTGCCCTAGGTCCACCAACCTATGGAATGTGTCTGGGTGAAGATACCCTCTACCAAAAATGTAGTCCATGGCCAAGGATGCTACATACGCCAGACGCCTTGCAATGCACACGCTCAATGAATACCCCATAAACTAGCCTTTATCCTCAAACTTGCGTGTACAAAGCTCATGCTGCGTTCTTCCTCCTTTCAATCTCGTCTTTCAACTGTACCAAGTCTTGTTCTGTAGCCTCAAACTCCAGGCCCTGTTTGACCCAATGGTCCGCTTCGTCTAGCCTCCCCATCTCAAGCAGACACTTTCCCCTCCTCCACCAGCCCTTGGCATTACCCACCTTCTTCATCTCGACGCTCGCCTCGGCATCGACGGCGCCCTCGGCCCAGAGCTGCTGTGCCATGCTCGCCTGCGCGCGGTTGCTCAGCAGACTCGACAGCTCCTCCCTCACAAGGCCCGAAGGTTCCCAGTGTGGGCGACCTAGGGCCATGTCGATAGCGAGGGTGTAGAGCTTGACGGCCTGGGCGGGGCTGCCTTTGCGGAACTCGGCGTTACCGGACTCGCGCAGCTTGCCAATCTGGGCGGAGCGCTTGGGGTTGACGGGGACTGGTGGCGGAGGCGTGCCCGTCGGTGTTTCGACGCTCAGGAGGCCGCGGTGCAGAGTGTTTAGGGCGTCGAGCTCGGCGACCAGTGCGTTGCCTAAGTCACTTGTTGCCGCGACGGCTTTTGTGGAAGGGTCCATTTCGAGCGGGAGGAGCGTGAAGACGTCGGGAGACTCCATGACGGGCGAGTCTTGTCGGATGTTGGAACGGCGGGGGTCTGGACGTGAACCGGGAGCTGTGCCTAGAGGGAATGTGTAGGACTTGGTGATGCGATGCGATGTGGAAGCCCGAGATGTGGACACTTGTCAAACACACGTGACGATTATCTCTAATCACCTGACCCATGGTCGCACCCTCTTCTCGGTTCAACGTGAAAGCCGGAAGTAGGCTGCGTTCTCCCTAGCTCCAAAATGCAGCAAACCCACAGGCATCACAGCTACACGTGGAGCGGGGAAGGTACCCACTTGCAGAGATGGTGACGCAACTCTTCGGTGACTCTCTGTAGGTAGTTGTTAAACTGCCGGAAGACTTCATTGGAGCTTGGTTCCAGATTTCCCACGGGAACAAGAGCTTCCTCCTGTTACATTGGCATGGGCAAGGACTATTTCAAGCTTCCGTCCAGGGCCCATTCCTTGACGACATCCTGTTATTCAGAAGACTGGTAATGATGCCGCTTGTATCATTACCTCTCCCCTACTTGATAGTCTATCCCTGCCCTATCTTGATGTGTGCAGTCTGCACATGCGGACAGCTTCTCATCCGATTGGCCAATCTGGCTCCCATGTATGGCTGCAACGGGCTGGCAAGCTGCATGGCACTCCCGAACAGATAAAATTCATCGCGCCAGCGTATAAAATGCGCCTTTGCGCCCATCTTTGCTGGGCAAAAGCTTGATGCAGCTTGGCTATACTTTGTATTCTCCCCGACATCGACATGAGAGTGCAAGCATCTCCGATCGCGTGGGCAACCGCGACCACCCTTCTAGCACTCGTTTCCCGGACTGGAGCAGCGCCCACAACAATCCAGGCGGCACCCTTCGCCGGTTCATCCAGTGCTGATGTTTTTCCACCTTCGGGTAGTAAGTATTGTCCAGTGTATCGCAAGAGCATGTCACGGCTGGTTGCTGATCTGCGTCCATAGCTGCGGCCAACTCTCAACTCTTTCCTCCAGAATCTAAAGTTGGATTCCCTGGACCAACGCCCACGGGAGTAGAGCCTGCAGCTATACAGACAGCCAAGGCATATCCGTACAATGACGGCAATGCCAATCATTTTCCTCTGATTCAACCGCAACCGTATGACAATGATGCCGGGTCCAACTTTGATATCAGCAAGTACTGGGGTAATCTCTCTCCATGGTATTCTCTACGATCTTCCGACTACGGCTTATCTCAGGCGAGTCCACTTGCACCAGAAGGCTGCGAAGTCACCCAGATGCATCTCCTCTACCGACACGGAGCTAGATATCCAACCAGCGGCGCAGCACCTAGCACATTTGCTCAAAAGATTGCAAACTCTACCAAGACTGGACTTACCTTCTCAGGCGAGCTTGCGTTTCTGAGCACCTGGACCTACAAGCTCGGTGCGGAGCTCCTTACGCCCTTTGGACGTAGCCAGAACTTCCTCTTGGGGGTCGAATACCGCCAGCTCTACGGACATCTTTTGAATAACTTCACTGCTGCCAAAACAATTCCAGTGTTCCGAACCGAGTCCCAGGACCGTATGGTCAAAACTGCCGAAAATTTTGCGGCTGGTTTCTTTGGTGTGCCGGAATATATGGACCAGGTTAACATCGAGATACTCGTTGAATCGATAGGAGTCAATAATTCGGGTGCTTCGTACGACGTTTGCCCGAATTCTAACATCGCCAGCAGGGGCAGCATCGGAAGCACTGTAGCTTCACGTTTCGCCGCCAATGCCTTCAACAGCACGATTAATCGGCTCCAGACGCAGGCCAGCGGTATCACTTTCACCTCCACCGACGCCATTGCGATGCTCCAAATGTGCTCGTATGAGACTCACGCTCTTGGATATTCGGCCTTTTGCAACCTCTTCACAGAGGAGGATTTCTTGAACTACGAATACTACTACGACTTGAGTTTCTACTACAACAACGGACCTGGTTCCCCAGTATCGGCTGCCCAAGGTAAAGGCTACCTGGATGAGTATCTAGGTCGTTTCACTGGGAATTACCCGTCCGCAAATTCTGCTTTGAACCAAACCTTTGACAACACATCTACCTATTTCCCTCTCAGCCAGTCTATCTATGCGGATGCAACACATGAAGTTGTTCTACTGGATGCTCTTGTTGCCTTCAATTTAACAGCTTTGTTCGATGGCCCTCCTCTGAGCGCTGGTGGGAACCGTATGCAGAACACCTTTGTGGCTAGCAAGCTTGTCCCATTCGCGACGCACTTCACCACTCAGGTTCTTTCCTGCCCAGCCTACACTCCAACTAAGCAGATAAGATTCATCGTGTAAGTTCCATTCTACTTTTCTTCGACACCTCAATCGTTTTCCGATTCTAAGTTCAATATCCAGTAATGACGCCGTTGTACCGATCAATGAGTCTCATCCCGGATGTCCCACAGATCCAGATGGGCTTTGCTCTTTCGATACTGTTGTCTCGGTCCTCCAAAAACGAAGCGCCGAGATTGATTTCGACTACGATTGCTTCGGCAATTATACTGCTTCGGCTGGTTCCAACTATAATGGCAGGGCTCCTAGAGGTTAGGTGAAGATGGACAGTCTCATAGTAGTGCGGTGGGATATCAAAGGCTCGAACCACGCATGGTACACTATCGATCGTGCAAGTCGGCGTATGCCTTTCTTTGTCATGATGGAACTCATGCTTAATAGCCGTGTGCGTTCCTAACTCAGCGACTGAAGTCAAAAAAATCTCCAGCTTGTTTCTCCCATATTTGTATGTCCGTGTTGAAAGTTTCCCTGTCCTCCTTATACGTAATCTAGGAGTGAGATCCGTGCATAAGAAAAGCGACGGCTTTGATGCTGACGCCGGGCTATGATGGATGTCTAAAAGAATATTAACGTGCATGCATGAAGTGGGGAACGCTAACCCAGGAAGGGTGCTATATCGCGAACAAGCTCTTATCGTCCGGATATGAGCTTCGATTAACATAACGAATTGTTTTGCAGTAACGTCAAGGGAGTTCGCGAGTGATTTCGAACATATCTGCCGTGCAAAAACTTCTTGGCTTTGTAGATTTAAAAAGCACCGCATCCACCGTCGGTAGCTACGGGACTTTACATAACACCCCGCTTCACTCTACGATTTACCTCCAACTACGCAATGGCACTCGACCGTCTCAAGCAAGCAGCTTTCCACCTGGCTGGTCATGGAGAGCTCCCACACCCGTTTGACCCGCTTTCCGAGTCGGAGATTGAACAGGCGGTTGCGATTGTTCGCAAACAGAACAACAACGTCTTCTTCAACACAGTCACGTTGTGGGAACCGCGTAAGGTGGAGATGATGCAATGGATGAAGGATGTCGAGCATACGCCTCGACCACATCGAGTTGCTGATGTAGTATGCATTGGCAGAGGAAGCAAAGTTTATGATGCGACCGTAGACTTGAATGAGGAGAAGATTGTCAGTTGGGAACAAATGGACGGGGTACAGCCTCTGGTCAGTCGACGAGAAGCATCTTGAGGATGTCAAAACACTAAGTCGATGACAGATTACTATGGAAGATCTGCAAATTGTTGAGAGCATTGTGCGAAAAGATCCGAAGGTCATCGAACAATGCGGTATCATCGGTATTCCGCCAGAAGATATGCACAAGGTGTACTGCGATCGTAAGTACGTGCATGACCACGTTATTGCATCTCAATTGACACAGACCAGCTTGGACGATCGGTTACGACGAGCGATTCGGTAACAATGTCCGCCTACAGCAAGCCCTCATGTACTATCGCCCACATGTCGATGATAGCCAATACACCTATCCACTTGATTTCTGTCCGATTTACAACTCCGACACGCAGGAAATCGTTCACATTGACGTACCTCCCGTCAGAAGACCACTCAATACCGCATCACCCAACAATTACCATGCGGCCGCAATCGAGAAGGAGGGCGGGTTTCGCACCGATTTGAAGCCAATCAACATCACGCAACCCGAAGGAGTCTCATTCTCTGTGGATGGCAGATACATCAGTTGGGCCAACTGGAAATTCCATGTCGGCTTCAATTACCGCGTATAGTTTATTCTCCCAGTATTGGCGAAGGAATGCTGACATGTACACAGGAAGGCATGGTTCTCTCCAACATCACTTTCAATGATAAAGGCACCATCCGAGACACCTTCTGGCGACTTTCACTTGCGGAGATGGTCGTGCCGTACGGAAACCCTGAACACCCTCATCAACGCAAGCACGCCTTTGACTTGGGTGAATACGGTGGCGGGTACATGACTAATTCGCTAAGCCTGGGATGTGATTGTAAAGGTGCGATTCATTACATGGACGCTGCCTTTGTTAATCGAGCTGGTGCTGCGACAACGATCAAGAACGCCATCTGCATCCACGAAGAAGACGCAGGTATTCTCTTCAAGCACACCGACTTTCGTGATGACAGCGTAACTGTAACACGTGCTCGCAAACTCATCGTCTCACACGTCTTCACAGCTGCCAACTACGAGTACTGCGTGTACTGGATTTTCCACCTCGACGGCACGATTCAACTCGAGATCAAGCTGACAGGCATCCTAAACACATACGCCATGAATCCCGGCGAGGATCTGAACGGCTGGGGCACTGAGGTCTATCCCGGCGTGAACGCACACAACCACCAGCATCTATTTTGCTTGCGCGTGGACCCCAATATTGACGGACCAGACAACACCGTCTTCATGGTCGATGCCACGCGCGGCGACGGGGAAGTTGGCAGTGCAGAGAACAAGTACGGGAACGCATTCTATGCCAAGAAAACGAAGCTCAGCAACCCTGAGCAGGCGGCGACCGACTACGATGGGGCCACGAGCAGGACATGGGAAATGTGCAATGAGGGAAAACTGAACCCGTACAGCAAGAAGCCAGTTAGTTACAAGTTAGTGAGTCGGGAGGTCCCCGAGCTGTTGCCAAAGCCGGGCGGATTAGTGTGGAAGAGGGCTGGATTCGCGAGACATGCTGTGCATGTCACAAAGTGTAAGATTGCCGTCTTCATTGAGCATTTCTAGGGTGTCAGGCTAACAGCAATCAGACGACGACGCGCAAATTCATCCAGCCGGTCGTCATGTCCCACAAACCTCTGGCGACCCTTCACAAGGCCTCCCCGCCTGGATTGCTTCGAATCCCACTGCCAACCTCGAAAACACCGATGTTGTTCTCTGGCACACGTTTGGTATTACCCACTTCCCATCTCCCGAGGACTTCCCAATCATGCCTGCCGAGCCGATGACACTGCTTCTGAGGCCGAGGAATTTCTTTACGAGAAACCCGTGTCTCGATATCCCTCCGAGTTACTGTAGTGTGCCTAGTGGTGTGAAGCAGGGCAGCACACTGGTGGACAAGATTAGCAAATTGGCGTTTGGGGACAAGGCACAAGCAAAGACCGAGGATACGTGCTGCAAGTGAACTTGTTCGCCTATGGTGCATAGATCGAGTAGTGTTCATGTAGAGCGTTCATTTGAAACAAGCTCTACCGTCATATATGGTGAATCGATATCAGGTGTTTGAAGTCGACCCTTCGGGTTCCCCGGGCCAACATGAACAAAAGGTTGTCAGACTGATGCAGAAGATTATGTGATTAGTCTTCATCGTGAGCTAGCTCCTCATCGTTTGGAAAGAGCTTGGGCAAGTATAGTTTTGTGTTTTCGTAAACAAGAAAAGTGACGACGGTTGTAGGGATGACGCGAAGTATGTTGGGGATGACGCCCTTGTAGAACGCGAGCAGGCCTTCGTTGCGATACGTTTTCCTCAGGACATCCCAAAGGCCGTTGTATTGTTGGGCAGCATTGAACTGTTGCATCCTGGCACGGATGGGCTGGTAGGGATAGGTGATGGCGCCAGCTAGCAATTTGCTCCCGCCGCTCATGTACACGTACTCCCAGTTGGTCAGCTTGTCCTGGCCGCCGAGCTGCGTGCCTCGTCGCTTCTTCATGTTCTCGTAGATAGAGAACTGCACCGCACCATGCAGGACGCCAAGCGACGAGGGCACGAACCCGGCCCAGAGGCCCTTCAGCCCACGCGTGTTGTAAACGTGGCGGAGGCCGATTCGCATCGTCTTGTAGGCCGAGGGGTGGTTCGCGCCGCGTTCGAGCATGCGCGTCTTGACCACCCAGATAGGATTCGTGCAGGCGCCCGTGAGGAGGCCGGCGGCGATGCTGGCTGAAAAGAAGTCGGCGCTGCCCAGAAGCTCCCCCTCGCTCCTCTGGCGCTGCAGCAGCTCCTTCAGATTCCCGTAGAACAAAAAGTACAAGCCCCAGCCCAAGCTGTTGCCCAAGAGATTCGGCCACAGCCCGCGATACAGTGCCCCGACGCCGCCCTCATCTCTGACGACATTGCGCAGGATGCGAAATGAATCGCCGAGTCGCGGCGGCGTCTGCGTGTTGAGCTGGAGCCGATTCTTGAGAAGATCGAGCGGGTGGGCAGCGAGGCACGACACGACACCTGCGCTAAGCCCCGCCACGCTTTCGATGATCGATGGGGAGAGCGTGCGCCGTGCCTTCTGTGGCTCATCGTCGCTGCTCTCGTGCGCTACCGAGGAAAGTGCGCCAGGCATTGCGGGTGATGATTGTGAGGGAATCGCGGGCGCATTATCGATTGTCGGCGCCAGTTTATAGGTTCCTGTGATCACCGGTCTGTGTGGGCAAGAGGTGTATTATACGGTTGTACTCCTGTGTAGACGTCTCCATGCAGTGTTTGAGGAGAGCTAAATTTCTCTTACCAATCTGTAGCCCATGTCATGGCGCGAATATCGGCACACGACGTCATCCCACTAGACTCCAAAATATACAAGACTGGAAGCAACGTAGCTTACGGAGTATCAGCATCAACGAGTGAATAGATGAGTAAATTAATTTGCTCAAATCATGTTCGAATAACTGAATAATTTTTAGGAACATATGTCTGTAGACAACTAAGGTAGACCAATCGCACTTTCTCAAAGATGATCAAAGATGTTCATCAAATTCGCCCTTTTATCTAATCACTTATGGACGAACGCAGCTCACGAGCAGAGATAGTTGTCGATCCATAGAATGTCATGCTGACAGTAGCCGTCAGATATGTTTTCGAGGACACTAAAAAAGCTGAATCAGAAAACCGAATGATGAAAAAGGTCATCTATGATGTTCGCGTTATCTAGAGTTTTTATAAGCTCGGTCTTCCCAAGGATTTCCTCGGGGATGAGCCGGTCATGTGTCACCAAGGTCTCAACCTGCCTGAGCCGTACCGCATTACAGAGGTGTTGTTCAAGAACACTGAGGTACCGCGTTAGTGTGATTTACATAAGCACTAGGTATTTTATACTGCAGAATTAGGTACATTTACACTTTCTACTGCGTGTAAGTAGATCTAGACTTTGTATATATATACTTAGAAATTTTCCTTTAAATATGCTATTACTAGTACTACTATTAATTATAGTAAACTTACTTAAGCCTGCTCTATCTAAGCTGAAAACCTAACTATTAACATTATCTTATGTTAACACTTATAATAAAGCCTACCTATAAGTTTATCTATAATAAAGCCTACCTATAAGCCTACTTATAAGCTTAATTATAATTAAGCTAGAGTTAATATTATTATTAAACTTAAACTTTAGAATAGAATTAAGCTAAATTCCAATTTAGAATTAAGCTAATAATAGAGCTAATAATAAAGCCTCTAGATAGGCTAGTTAGTAACTTATATAGAGATTGTGTTTTCTTTTTTTAATATATCTAATTTATCTTAGAAACTAAAATAAGTGTTTAATATATAGACTATTTAATGTAAAGTATATTAACCTATTAATACTATATTGTTATTATTAATATAGTCTTTATTCTTTGTTTCTTACTCTATTAATTAATTTAGTAAATTTACCTAATTCTGTTACTAAGTAGATAAAGTAGATATAAAGTATTAACAACTAGTTAATTCCAGCTATAGTATATATAGTAATTATTAAGAAATTATATAATATTAATTATAGGATAATTTTGTATCTTTAAATAACAGAATTTAATAAAGTAGAATAATTAAGCTAAAATAGCTAGTGTTATAAAAAAAGTTTAAATTAGTTTATATACCTAAAGCTAAGTTTATCTAAAAGAGTAATACGTAGAATGTCTATATTATATTAATAAATATAAAGAATTATTATTAAATCTTAGAATATAAACCTTAAAGATTATACAAGATTTTTAAGACAAAGGTATAAAAAGTAAGATAAGAAATAAGTTAGTATTCTATATATACTAAGAGTAAGACTTAATTTATTTTCTTAGAACAATACCTAGTAAAATTCGAAATATAGTAAAGAAGTATAAATTCTCTATATTAGTAATTCTATATATATTAAGGTCTTTTTGTAAAATATAAGAAAGTAAAGTAGTAATTTATTTATAATTTAATTTTAGTAACAGAAACTTAAATTATATTTTTTAGAACTATTATAGTTTATTAACTTATTATAAACGCTAAATTCGATTATAGTTAAAAGTCTTTATAGTCTTAGATATATAGCGTATATATACTTATTATATAATTAGATAGAGATAATAGAGTAAAACTATAGTATAGTAACCTAATATAGAAGCTATTACCTAGCTTTTTAATAATAGATTATATTTAAAAAGGTATATAGTAATAGTATAGGAAAGTAGAATAACTATCTGTTAGTAAGATTCTACCTACTATACTAATAAAGATAAGTGTTTAATAGCCCGGGTTACTATCAATTAGAATTAATATTAGTAATAAAGTCTAGTTTTTATTATTTACTAAAGCTCGGCTATAGTACCTCTTTATATTAATAAGCTTAAATTATAATTTCTTTTCTAGCTTATATATTTTAATTTCTTTACTCTTTTTATCTATCTTTCTATCTATCTATTTATTTATTTACCTACCTATATATTAATACAGCTTATTTTTCTCTATAACTGTAATTAAGCCTAAGTATTAATATTACTCTATTAGCGCAGCCTAGAAGATAAGACACTAAGTCTTATATTAATCTTTTATTAAAAAAATTAAAATAAGTAATTATAGCGTTACTATAGTAATCTCTAAACTTCTAGTAAGATTTCTAAAAACTAAGTTAGGTAGTAAAGACAAACAGAAAGAATTACTATAAGTACACTATAAATAGGTAATTAAGATATAGAATAAATAGGTATATATAAAGTAATTAGATAAATCCTAAGAGTATAAGCTCTAGGGATTTGTAAGTACTATAAACTAGAGCTTTAAGAGTCTTACACTTTTAGCCTAGAAGTTTACTAAAGGTAGGCTAACAGAAGCTTAGATAGAAATACCTATAATAATTACTTAGTATAATAGTAATATATTCTACTAAGGTAATCTAGATGTTTAGCTATACATTCTACCTAGTAAAGGGCTAAAAGTAAAGCTTTATAATATTATAGTTTTACTTTTTTCTATAGAAGTTTATAAAGCTAAGAAAGATTTTATTAATACTTTACTCTTTTAACTTAAGTAGCTGCCTATAAAGTAGTTTAATAATACTATTTTAACCTTAGATAGAAGCTAAATTAAGTAAACTATTTAAATTATATATATTTTTCTTAATAGATAAGATTAGTAGCGGGATTCTAGTATATTTAGAACCTATATACACTATTAGTAGTTCGAGAACTAGTAACTATTAAAGTAATAGTAATAGTAATAGTTATAGAAAAATAGATACTAATAACTTTAAACTAGTATAAACTTTAGCTATATAAAGACTAGTTACTCTAGAGGGCAGAGATTAATATATTACGTTACTATTTTATTTTAGTTAAACACGTATTTTAATTACTTATTAGTTCTTATTATTTATACTAACTATAGCAACTAAAGTTAGACTTAGTCCCCTCTACTTTCTATTACTATTACTATTACTATTACTATTACTATTACTATTATTGCTGTTACTAATACTATTACCCTAATAGTTACTCTTTATCCTGCTAACAGTGTATATAGGTTCTATACCTATATAATTTCAGAACGTATTACTATTATACTAAGTAATACCTTTTATCTTCTTTTACTATCTAGTTAGGTCCTTAAAAATCTAACTAAAGATATCTAAAGTACTATAATAGTATTAGGAATTATACTTAGTAATTTATACCTTATTAGAGTACTATAAGATACAGTACTTAAACGTCTAAGCTTTAGTAATAGTATTAAATTATAGACATATAATCTTAGTTATAGTAAGATAAAATTAAAGATAGAATAGAAGATAGATAAAAAGTATCTAAGCTTTTAAGTATAAAATATCTTTATATATTAGCTTACCTATATAAGCTATTATTACTTAGACCTATTTAAAAGCTACCTATTATAAATTTATTAATACTAGTTTTATTTAAAAGAATTTTTAACTTAGCTATAATTTTTAATATAAATAAAAGTTTAGTTTTAAACTAAACCTAAACTATTAGCTACTTAGGCTTCTAAATATATATCTATACTAGTATATTAAGTTAAATATAACTAGAAGATATAAAAGTAATTTACTACTTAATACTTTTTATATATACTCTTACTAATATTTTCTATATATAAAGAGGCTAGGTTATGGCTTCTTTACTAAGTTACTAGACTAGAATCTTACTGTATTACGTTTATCTGCTTATATAATAAGTAAAAATACGCTATAACTCTAAATTAGTAAGGACTAATAAATAATAAATTTACGTGTAAGATAATAAAATAATTTAAGTTTATTAAATTCCGTTTTATTAAAATAAAAAGTTTATAAAGATTTTCTTTTAATAATAAACTAAATTAATAGAAATTATAGAAACACTTCTATAGTACCTATAAATACTTAAACTACTATATTATTAGTTTTTCTTAATAGAGTAAGCTAGCTTAATTTAAAATTTAATTTTATTCTCTAATTTCTTAATAGTATTTTATACTGGATATATTATTTAATTCGTTTTTATATTAGGAGAGATACTAGAATCTTGTTAAGGTTATAAAATACTCAGCTTACCCTAATAAAGATAGAAAGAATTTACTTTATTCTAATAAGAACTAATAAATAATACAGTATTGTCTTTAGCAAGGTATAGTTTATTATAATCTTAGTTTTTACAGATTTTAAAAGAGCTTATTAGGCCTATCTTATAGATATATATTAATAAGTAAGTTTTTCTTTTATCCTAAGATTATACTTAGTTTTAGGTACCTGGACTATATTTCTATATCTATTACTATTTCTATTTATAGGTCCTATAAATATAACTATTACTAGAAACTCTTTATTTTCTTTTTTCTTTTCTAAAAGTAAATTAGAGATGTTTTAAAAGTTATTAGTTAGTCTTATTATATTCTTAGTTAGAGTAGTAAATCTTAGTAAGATAGAATACTATATAGGGTACTTTTAATTAAATGTAAAATCTTCTTCTTTTTACTACTTAGTTGTCTAACTTATATTAAAAATAGTTATACGGTACAGTAAGGCTTTCTCTTATCTATAACTTCTATAAGAATAGAAGAATCTATCTATATATACGTAACTTATTAAGAGAAAATTAATTTTATAAA